CCGACACCGTGCCGATCCAAAGCCCCGGCGTTCACAGCCGACACGGTTCCTCCTCATTAACGGGCAGAATAACTTACGGGATACCAGGTGAAGCCTGTCGAGAACAATGGCACAAAACGAACCTCCGAACGGCTCCTCTGCTCAATCAATAAGCTTGCGGCCGAGTGACGGGATCATCAAAACGATAAAGGTTTGTGTTCAAATTTAAAAACAACGTTTATTTGAATCCTTTAAACTGTATTTCTTGCAGAAAGCGTAATGGTTCTATTATCTGAGCGTTCTGCGGGCCTGGACAATTTCAAGGTAAGGAACGATTCGGCCGACTCCATCTGTCAATCAATCCTCCCCAGACGAATCGGATCACAAAGGAGCAGAAGAGCCGCGGTAGAAAAAGAGAATCCAGACGATCTGTTCGCCTTTAGACCGCTTCGAGTCCTCATTTCAATTTTTCTGTCACGCTTTACCGCGCTGTGATTTATTCATTAAGACGTCGAGGCCTTCCACGTGGGAAGGAGGAGAATCAATCGAGGCGGCAAGAAAAACGCCTTTTTTATACGTGGATGACTTATTCGGTGAAATCAACTATCAGATTCAGGAGACTTTCTCCTCTACCTGGGAGAGGCATCTTTTATTCATACAGTAAAAACAAGGTTTAAAGCAACCACTGATGTATTATAGTGAGGTTGGCCCAAACAACAATCAGAAATCAATGAAATTGGATAATTCTGGTGAATTAAAATACAACGTTTTGAAATAGTTTTAACGGAACGATTGACATTTCTGTTTGTGAGATCCTGTTAAATCAAAAAAGCAATATTCTAATTGCGTTTCTCTCTTTCTCTTTGCTATATTTCTGCAGACGGGGTGGAAGGTTTTTATAAACATTCAGCTTTTCTTCCTCTAAAGCGGCAGTGTAGTTTCTGACATGAAGCTTAATGATCAGGCCAAAGCTGTTGGAACGGCTGCTGCCAATGTGCATTTAGGTATTTGGAGATCTGCTCTGAGAAAATGCTGATTCAGGATGGATTCGCTCGAGGAAAAAGCGGGAATCTTCAGAGTAACGCAATGTGCACTTAAACCTGAAAACAGTAAAGCAGATAAAAGCACGTCATTCGAACTGCCTCTGCCATGGATTCCACCACACGCCCGCCAAGCTGGGTGAGCTTCATTTTCCCACACTGACAGTCCGACCCAGCAAAGACGGAACGGGTGGACGGACGGATCCTCCATCAGCCGAGGCGGGCTGGCAACAGGTGGAGTTCGAACGCGTCGTGTTGGAATGTCGGAGACGACGTGGTGGGAGACAGCGTGACGACTTGTGAGAGCAAACCCGAGACGCCGTACTTCAGCATCTCGGATGATCACCTTCCAGTTTTTTCATTTCACTGGCTCCCCGTCTGGTGATACGTTTTAGTCTTCCTCCAAACCGCACTATTCTGTTAAAATATTTGTTTAAAGTGCCATTTTCTATGGGATTTGGTAACAAAGAGGCTCTATGAAAGGCGACCCTTTTTCTGGGGGACAAACAAAAAATGTATTCAACTCCACATGACAAAACTTGAAGGACGGAGCTCTTTTTATTCAGTTGTAAACTGACTGCTGGGGGGGCGTGGAGAAGTTTAATCCACCCTGCTGCAATGAAAGAATGAAGAATAACATTCAAACAAATGTTATATTATCTATCGTCCCGTTAATTGAATAATCTCTCAAATGCTCGACATGTTTCTCTTGGATTCTCGCAATACCACAAAAATCACGTCCACCGGATCCCGAGATCACTCATTGCATAAAAATCCATCAGGCTTCAAGTGCCAAATGCGTGATTTGTTGCTGCGGGCGTCACCATAGAGACAGTGATGTATTCTCTGTTATGTTATGGGTCTTGACAACGGTGCTTTTATGAGAGCTGAACATCGCGAGCATATTTAGTATAAAATATCTGCTGTGTCCTGTCCAAATAACAGATAATTCAACCGTGCTCTATGCCATCAAGGTAAGAGGCAATATAGTGGAGATGAATACGACCTCTACTGCAGAAATCAATGGCTCTTCTTGTTTCAGTCTAATTCAGTTGCTGGAGGTCATTTGATCTCGGCCCCACAGAGAAACATAATCGTGGTTGAGTAAAAGGAACGGCGGAACATTTTTACAGCCCCAAATATTATATCACTTTAATCACCTGAGAGCCAGAGAGGAAGTGCGCTGAAGGGGAACATCACTTTCTTTGCAGGGTGAGATTAATCCACCGGGTCACATTTGTGAGGAAAACAACGGCCTGTACGAGCGCTTCACGCGTCTCTTCCCACGACACGTTGGGCCGAGCCGACTGCGGGAAAGCTTCCACTGCGCGGAGCGTCTGTTAGAGTAAACCTCGTGCTCCACGGAGCAGCACGCCGACGGAGGAAACACGTTATGTAAAAGTATTGCTTTTATTGAATCATTTCGAAAGTGTGTTCAGTGCGCTTTCCTTCTACGAGCTTAAGCAAGTAGTTTTTAGCTGCGTGAGCCCAGTGAAGGAAGAAATACTTACTCATCAAGTACTGTGTCCTGCATTCAAAATGTGTAAAAGTACAAAACCAAAACTACACAAGAAGAAACCAACCTGTTGATAAAACGCATCAATACAGAATCCGTTTGATCAAGGTGAGAAAGTCTAAGCAACCGAGGGTAAAGACACTTAAAAGGCCTTGAATGACATCCAACATGGTGGTTTGTGAATATAATATCAAGTTTTAGGTTTTCGTTTCATGGATTACAATTGGTAAATTCTTGATTTTTTCCTTTTATTTGTCAGTGAAACCAAAATGTACTATGAAGACGTTAACAATGTACGTGGTTTTACAAAATATAGCACTTGGAAATCAGCCATGGCCATTTTATTGTTACTTTGGACTCAAACTATCGCCACCACACACACACATTTGTACAATGGGATACCCAGGCGTCCGCCGGGCAGGGAGGAGGTGTCGCCATGGCAACTGGTTCTCAGCGAAGGCCGCCGGTCAGCCGGCTTCTTGTTAAGAGAAGTACACCGGCACAGCCCTGTGGTGGGTGGGATGAACTCACACGAGGATGGAGATTTATTCATCCAACGTGGACGATAATAATACGAAACAATAATTCATCAACCTCAATCCAATAAAATTGGATTTACTTATTAACTGGCATGCATTGTATAATGATTCTAACTTCAGCCGAGAGTTTTTTTGACAATGATAAAATAGTACTATTTATCAAGTATTGAATTCACACAGGTGAGATATAAAATTACCTATAAAGAGATTTTATCCGACGCCCGGCTGGAGATAAAAATAAGTCGACCCTGGAGGACTAGACAAATAGTGTGACTTGTGTCTCACTTGTTATTCTTGGCAGCGAGGGAGGCGAGGATGAGGCTGTGTATGTATGTGTGTGTGGGGGGGGGGGGAGAGGGGGGGTCGTTGACTCCATCGAAGCCGCGTCTAATTAACGCGGCGCGGTAAAGCGCAGCGCTTCATCGCGGAGGACATAAATTCCGCCGGCGGACAGATTTACATTGATTGAGCACACTGAGATGAGCCGAACACGCCCCTCGGGGTAATAAAGTGCCACAGTCCATCACCCAGCGGGCAGAGCGCGCGGGGTGACCGGAGAGCGATGCGGGGTGCGAGGCGTTCAGGGACGGGCGACGGATCGGCGAGTTTTGGAGATGCTGCGCACATGTGGAGGTCAATAGTGAATTATATGGTGCGGCAGCATGCAAAATAACGCTCTAAGTAGTATTTGTCCACTCTCCAAACAGCAATAAGTGCCTTTAAATTGAAGACATTTGGCAGTGATGGATTGCTGGATGGAACAGAGCCTGCAGATCCATCAGCTTTAAACAAAAAGAGAAGAGAAAGTTGCAGATTTTGTCTGCGAGGGAAAAAAAGCTTATCCAAAATCTATTTAAACTTCATAAGATTTACTCAAAAGGTCTCTGGGGCCCCATGTGAGTTGCTTATAATTGAATCTAATGTGTCTGTGGCAGAGGGTGCACGTTTCCACGTAATCCAATATGTTTTCATGTAACATGTCGGGAATCACATGCAATGTGTGGCCGTGCAGCGTGCTCCGCTCCAATTATATTATCTTTATACGATGTCTGGCCTCAGTGGTTCTAAAGGAAGTCATCGATCACCCGGCCACATGCTGGACCTGTAGTTACTGTAAAGCGGTATTCAACGACCCATTTCAGTGACTTGTTTACGACGTCTACAGCTGGAAAGTATTCTCTTAAACTGGTTATAATATCATGTAATGTCATTCTGTAGCTTTTTCCATTACCTCAGAATCTCTTCACCAATCTCAGTTGAGGGGAATTAGAGCATCTGGGCTTTGTTGATTTGTTTGTCTGGGGGTTGATGCAACTGTTGAGGGGGGGGAATAAACAAAGGGTTTAAAAAACATGTTTAACTACGTCTTGAATTTTGTTAAAACAGACCCCTTTACTAACAGACACCGTATGCAACACGTTAACTAATGAAAGGATTATCTCATCCTAAACACGAATGTAAATGCAGCCATAAAGCTAACATTACAAGCTTACCACTGCAGCTTTCCAATGGCAGCATGAGAGGAGGTTAGAAGAGAGAAGCATGCTCCCTCCCCGTTCATTACAAGGGAAGTAAATAGATGTAATGCCTTTTTACTGGGACCAATCATATTCGATGAGAATAGCTTTAACGAGCAATTATTGTGGTGCAATGGACCGGCAACGGGGGGTTATTCCGGCTCTAATGCTACTATAAAGGAACACAATGCATGATGGGAACTATTCCTTCACATGCAGGAGTCCTAAAATAACGTAACGTTTAGGTTTGCAGGAATATTTAGGAACCAGGAAGCATTTTAGAGGCATCGTTCGACGTTGATGGAGACTGTAATTCACAACCATGCAAACATTTTAGACACGGCAATGGAACCGTAACTCACGACGGAAGCATCAATTCACGACATGAGTGCAGCCAGAGGAGGCGATGAAGTATTAATGGTATTCGTTATTTTTAATGTATACTGACGCGCACGTGAATCCCATTTTTATGGTGATTTTTTTTTAACGATGCATCGGTGCAACATCATTCAGGCAAACGTTGCAATGTTCATTATATCAACCCAAATAAGGTCATAGGTGTCATCACGATTGACAATCAATCAAATATCAGCCATCTATGCACACAAAACTACGACTCACTGCATTGTGAGGCACGGGTGGGGGTGCGGGGGGGTGGGGGTCATCCAGCTGCCTGATGACTCACACTCTGCTGCGTGAGTCACCTCTCACTGCCGTTTACCACAGCAGCAACATGACTGATTTAGATGGAGAATATTAAGCTTTGATGTCGAAGAGCTAATCAGAACAGCTGTAGCTTCCTAAACCAGGAGGCACTGAAAAGGAAGCAGGAGATTTGTTGACACCCTTGCTTTAACCTGTGCTTTATTTCATTTCCTCCGAGCATGATTTCATTCAAGGAAGCATGGTGACATTTTTATCATAATACTTGATTGATAAGTTGATTAATTGCTTGGAATTGCTGCCTTCCCGCTTTGTCCGCAGGCCAAAGAACCCGTGGCGAAAGAAGTGAAGATCACACAAAAATAGAACAACGTGGCTACATTGTTATCTCAACTGTCTATGCATGTTTAAAAAGCAAATGACAGACCCTTCGATCCTTGCATGGAGGTCTGGAATGTGTTGCATCTTTTGCTTGGCATTTATGAAAGCCAGTTTGATGACATAAAGCTATAGACTGTATCTATTTCAAAAGGGAACGAGGACCAGAGAAATAAAAAAGACCAATAGATGGCAGTATTATTATATTTAAACAATACATCAAACTAAAGTTCCTTTAAAAAAAAAAGAAAAATCCGGTTGTACACTACAATTGGACAGTTTACAAAACTATACGTAAATAATATATATATATATATATATATACATTTGTGTTTTATATTTAGCATGCGTTGATGCTGCCGCAGTCTTGGCCCTCCTGTATTCACTCCTGATATTTAAACCTTTGTGAGAAACTTTCCTGGTTAGTGAAATCAATATTATGATGAAGAGGAAGCGGCAGGATGATGGACATAAAACCTGAAGCATGTCGATCTAGTCGAGCGCCTCGAGGCCGACTCAGAAAACGTCACATCCAATGTCTTTGGGGCAGAAATAAGGAATTAATATGACTGGTGTTCACACAGGTTTGATACGTATTCTCTTATCAGCACAACAAAGTGAAAATGAATAAGTGAAAAACGTTGTGACTTTTAGTCCTTTACGGCCTCCGAGTGAGAGCCTGATAGTACGGTGCGAACATGGCGGTCCACAGCTGTCTCAGCAGCTGGAGGAGTTTGGAAATCCACACGAATGAAGATGGATGAGCTGACGGGGGGAGAACAGGAAGAACAGATTTAGCTCCAATAAAGAGGTTTCAAACGCTGTGATGAAACTGAGCTACAAACATTTTATTCCAACCTGCGTCCATGCGGATCAGAAGCATGTACAGGAGGACGGTGGCCAGAAAGAGTCCCCGGAGACGGAATGAGTCGCGGGCGCTCGACGACGCCTTTCTGCACAAAAACCTGAGCATGGCTTCAAGTTTCTGGAGTACAGATCCTGTTCAGCACAAACACAATCAGACAATCGGCATTACTTGTTTGTACTCATATGAATCAGTACAAAGCACGTCAAAAGGGCCGAGAGGAGGACCTCGACTTGAGACGGGACGTGAAGGGATCTCAGAGTTTGGACCGGCGTCGGGATTCAGGGGTGGTTCCGTATCCAGCTGCTCTTTTTCCTGCACAACGTCCAGTGCCGTCTGCCTCTGATCTTCCGTGAACGCGACGCTTCCAACCTCCCCGACGATCAGCTCCACGGCCTCGTCCCTGCGCCCGAGAGGCACGAGGACGTGCAGGAGGTACAGCTCGGCCACCGTGCCGAACCCCGTCGCCGCGCCGTTGGACGGGCAGCGCAGCCAAACTCTGGCGGGCTCCCGCATCGCGGCCGGCTCTCCCACCGTGGAGTAAAGAAGTATGCTGCCACGAGAGACGAAATATACCGCATTTAAAAAAAAAAATGAAAATCATTGTTTCAGTTATTTATCAAGAAAGAATAATTTCAGCATGAGAAAGGCAAGACCAAAGGCCTGCTTGTATTTTCAAATACTTAAATGATATAAAAAGAACCACCTTTAATAAGAGGGTACCAAAAATTAACTTATTAATGGATGGACTAAAAGCTTCAGCTCTTCTCACCACATCTGCATGATCTTAGCTGGTATTTTCTCCCGGTGCTCGTACTGCTGAAGGACCCACGAGAAGACGCCCTGCCACTGATTCATCTCGGCCAATGCTTGAATTCCCAGGATGCAGAAGCCAGCCTTAAAGTCGCCACATCTGGGGGACACAAAGCGCAGGAACACGCTCAGCGACATAAACCAGACAGGCAGTGATTAAAGGTGCAGTTGGACCTTCACCTGCTGTCCTCTCGCTCGACGTCGACGAGACTTTCCAGGCCTCTGTCGCACGTTTCGAAAGCCGCCTGGAAGTCTCTGTCGACCATCATCTGCTCTGCGGCGGTGTCCAACATGCTGGACATTTGCGTCGCAGTGAACGCGGGCAGCGGGCTGCAGGCGGGCGCCAGCCTGGATGAACAGTGGCTCATGGCCGTCACGTGTGATGCCGATAAACATGAAGGGAAAAAAAACTACTACTAAAACTATTTTAAAGCCCTAAAATATACCACTGAGCCTGTCTGGAGGTTCGATTTCTACATCGTCCTCTCCTCTGCGGTTTATTTACACTCCGTAATCCTTCGAGCTTCCTGGTTTGAGACCAACAGCCAATCAGACGTCAGGATCTTCCGCTCGGCTGTCGTGGCCAATCACATCGCAGCTTCTTGGAAGACGCGTCATAGATTTTTTTTCCTCTTGTAAACACGTGCGAGCAGCAGGTTGTGTGTCTATCGGGGACAATTGTTGGCAGTTAAATAGTTGTTATGTAAGTCGTTGCTTATTTTTTAACGTGTTAAATATGTGTTGTATACTTTATTAATTTAACACGTGGCATTAGTTTGCTTTAAAGTGCGTACTTAGGCAGCTTTAGCTTCTGATAGCTAACAAGCTAGCGAACAGTTTTTTATCGTATCGTTTGGCTATTTACTCACCTAGCCACGTAGTGTAACGGATTAATGACGCTGCATACGGTTATCTTATAGCTATGATCGTCATGTGAATCGTGTAATAACTTAATGTATTATGACGTTAGGCCAAAGACAGCTTTGTGCGAGCCTTTTGTAACGTTAAATACCTTCATCGAGCTGCTATCTTGGCCGTGGAGCTATAAACTCATCACTTCTCACGTTTATTACTATTCGGCACTGCTATCTGACTACCGGTTGTTCCCATGAGCTGCATGTTCTCATACGATTCCTGTCCTGAAGCTTAAAAACAATGTCTTCACACTACCTCCAGGGGGTTAGTGCCCTCAGAGAAATTATTCCTGGTTTGGTAAATAATTGCATCAGAACGTGTAAACTGACTGCTGTGTTTGTTTGTTTTTTTTAGATCAAACTTAAAATGGCAAAAAGCCTCCGCAGCAAATGGAAGAGGAAGATGAGAGCCGAGAAGAGGAAGAAAAATGCTCCGAAGGAGCTGATCCGTCTGAAACAGGCTCTGAGTCTGGATAAGAAGGCAGAAGCCGTCATGACTGACATTCAGGAGATCGCCACTGTGGTGTCAGCTGACCAGATCATGGAGGCAGCGAGTGTGGCAATGGGAGAGGTCGCGGTTGGCGGTGAGAGGATGCACAACATGTTCCACGGGGGGGAAAACGGGGCTGAAACAGTTGCATACTTTTCCGGCTCAAAGACAAATATTTACATCATACACAAAGCATTAGACAGACATCACTTTCTAAATTCCTCATGCCGCTAAAATGTCTTATTTAACAAATTGCTGTCCCCTGTGTCACAGAGGGGAAGATGGACATGGACAGCAAGCGCAACAAGAAGACTCTGTTGGACGAACATGGTCAGTACCCCGGCTGGATGAATCAACGGCAGGCCAAGAAACTGAAAGGCAAGCGGTTGGGAAAGAGCGGCCAAGGCAAGAAGAAGAAGAAGGGTATCGCCTGGTGAACCAGAGGATAACCAAAGACCGCTGCTTTGCCTTTTTAAAGACTTTTGACGCAAGAGCAACTCAGTTCATGTACTCCGTACTACGCGATAAACGTGGAACTTCTCTGGTTGAATCTCATTCTGTTCAGTGGATTCTGATATTCATGTTTGTGCATCAGAGTCTGTTGTAAAAATATTTCAGTGCAGGAAAATGTTTGTCCTCATGGAACAGCATTTCTGGAAAGTCTAAACTAAGACTGAAAATATGATTCCGCTGGTCTTACTACATCACATGAGTGCAGCGGATTGTCATATCCTCTATTACAATGTAAGTCTACGGCTGGTTTATTACTGTTGTATAAAGCCTGGCCTGTGTGTTATTCCTAATTTTCTCCCCTCATCTTGTACTGGAATGTTTTTCCAGTATTTTTGGTGTATGCAAAATAATGAATGAATAAATGTTGAAGATAAACAACTTTATTAACATTTTTTCTTATTGAATAATAATTTTGGAAAGCAGAATAACGATTAAAATACGTTTTCAGTAAATATCCCTGAAGGTTGACACTGACACGTTGACAATACAGAGCAGTTTCCTACTAGAAGATTAAATTCAATACAGATTTAACTCCTTTTCTTTTCAATATGGTCCTGTGAGATATTACACAACCTCTTTTTTTTGTCATTGATTCTATAAATACAGCGCTAAAATGAATTTCCTCTGCTGAACAACCAGAGAAACGCGAGCGCTCAAGTGAAGCTCGTCGCTCACTGCCTCAGCTGAACGTAAGCAGACGGGAAAAGGCCGACGCGTCCGTGACACTGTCCCTTCCACCAGCCCTCGTCGATCATCTCTATGTGGGTGATGACGTCATCCGGGTTGAAGGAGATCTCATCGTCTGCCTCTGTGCGGGAAGGAGAGCGGAGGGATGTCGTCACAGATGTTGAGGGATGATTATTAACTGTCAAACAACGAAGGACTTTAGACCGCTAAGGTGTTCGCACCTCCTTGATAGTCGTAAATTGCGACGGCCTGCATGCCGGCCGACAGGTCTTCGTAGTCGTTGTCGCAAGCTGTTAAAAAAGAAATTGAACAATGGAAACGAGCCGATGTTTCGCAGTCAAACGGTGTGGCCTTCGACAGACGGGTGACAAACCCGGCGGCAGAGGAGGCGGGTCGTCGCGCTCCTCTTCGTCCTCCTCTTCGTCCTCCTCCACAGGTGCCGGAGCGTCGAGCAGCGGGGGGGAATCCGAGCGCGGCGGCAGAGCGGGGGGCTCGTCGTAATCCGGTTCATCCTGGAAACGGCCCAGAACGTCTTTTAGTGACCTCAAATCCTGAAGGTGACCTGAGAGGTTTTCAGTACGACGGCTGTTTGCGTCACAGCTGAGGACAAGCGGCTGGTAGCGCCTCGTTTTACTAACAAACGTGGTTTAAATAGAGTCAAATCGTTGCTATAATTAGACAACCCAAATTGATGTGACTGATTTTCTATTTTAATACAAAATATCACATTGATATATGTAAAATGCTCCAATATAAATACTCACTGCACTGCTGAAATAATCCACAACAGATTTACTTCTGTTTGAGCAATAAAAGGCAGAATATTTCCCGCCTTATCAACGCTGACAAATAGATTATAAACTATATGCGTGTCTTACGTCTGGCTCCGGTATTTCCTGGATCTCTGGCATGTGGTGGTGGATTTCAGGCGGCGGCGTTTCATTCTCCACATCCGGGGCCTCGTCTTCGGCCTCATCTGGAAAAGACGGCGGCAGACGTTCCTCCTCTCTCCTGCTCTCCTCCTGCGGGAAACGCGGAAAGTCGGACAACGTGCGGGCCGATGCGTCCACTCAACGTCCGGGCGTCCTCGCGCCACTTCCAGTTACCTCTTGCCTGCGTGCCGCCACCTCTCGCTCTCTGCTCTCTCTGGCCTGTCTCCTCGCTCGCTCCCCCTCCGCCTTCTTCTTGTTCTCGTCGTCCGAAGCTTTGGCCATGTTCTCGAAACGCGCCTTCAGGTTTCCCGCGCCTGCACTCGCTGCACACGGCGGAGAAAAAACGGTTTCCGAAAACAGCACATGGGAAACCAGCGTTGGAACATCGCAGACGAGCGAACTTACAGGCCTCTACTGCTTGTGTCTTTTCGTACGCAGAGGTAGGGGAGTCCATGTCGGAGAAGCCAACCGCGCTCTAAAAGAGGACAACGGAGAGGAGGATTTACTCTGGGAATCATTAGTCAGATGCTTCGTTGAAAATGAAGCGTGTTCAGTGCTGACCTTGTCCATGCGGTCCGCCTGGACTCCATAGCGACCCCCAAAACCTGCGGAATAATCTAAACAGAATCCATCCGATCAGCCCGGTGCGCGAGAAGAGACGCGTCCGTGCGCGTACGTGACTCCTCACCTTTCTGTGACTGGTGCTTCTCCGTCTCGCTCTTATAATCGTAGCCCAGAGCAGCTTTGTCCACGTTGTCCTTTTCGACGCCAAACTTCCCTCCAAATCCCTTTGAGTAATCTGAACGGCAAACCAATAAAGATCAATCCGATGGCGCGAGAAGAACGCGTCGAAAACCGTTACCGCTTGAACTGACCTTTCTGCGACTGGTGCTTCTCTGTCTCTCCCTTGTAGTCGTACCCCAAAGCCGCCTTGTCCACTTTCTCTTTCTCCACACCGTACTTCCCTCCAAACCCCTTTGAATAATCTGAGCGGCAAACGCGTGAAGATCAATCCGATGCCCGGGGAAAAAAGAACGTGTCGGAAAAAACGCCCACGTTACCGCTTGAACTGACCTTTCTGCGACTGGTGCTTCTCTGTCTCTGCTTTGTAGTCGTACCCCAAAGCCGCCTTGTCCACTTTTCCTGTATCCACACCGTACTTCCCTCCAAACCCCTTCGAGTGATCTAAACACACGTGGACGTTAAGAGGAATGATGTACGATGACGGGGGAGTTCTAGCGAGCGAGCGAGGCGGCGGGCGGACGGCTCACCTTTCTGAGACGCATGTTGCTGCACCTCTCCTTTGTATTCAAAGCCCACGGCTGACTGCACACAACACGCACACGTGGCATTTGAGTCCCAAACGTTACTTTAGGAAGTAAATGTCTTCTGTCTAAACGTTCCCACTTGGTTGCATCGCGGCCCCGTGTTGGCACGCAGGCTTATTTACAAGGTCTTCTCACCTTGTCCACTCGGTCTTTCTGCACACCAAATTTCCCGCCGAAGCCCCGCGCGGCGTCCTTCTGGGAGGAGTGCTGCTCGACCTGCGCCACGTAGTCGTTCCCCAGGGCCACCTGGAGACGAGAGACGGGGAGACGGTTCGTCCACCAGCTGTACGGCGAAGTAGAAACAACCCGGCAGACACCAGGAGAGACGTGTCACCCGGCGCCCTGTACCTTGTCCATCCGGTCTTTTTCCACTCCGAACTTTCCCCCGTACCCGTACGAGGCTTTGGGAGTGTGATCCTTCTGCTTGACCTGCTCGTGCTCCACGGTCACTTTGTCTCTGAGCTCCGCGATGCTGAATGAAAGTGAAGGGATTCATTGGCACCTTGCAAGAAGCAACTGATAGAGAAGCCTTAAAAAGTGCCTGTTGGCTTTTCGGGCCGCGTCACACGAGTCTGTCAACAGTCGCAAGTCCTCTGCATGCAATCAGCACCACTGCCTTGAATGATGTCAAAGTGTCATCATATATTACCCATATTAGGAGAGACCTACTGCCTGAAAGCTTGTGCTCTGTGCTCTCACTTCCTCTTCCTGTTGCTACACAGCCCCCCCCCCACCCCCCCTCCACCTCGCTGCAGAAACAGGGCCTCCCTTACCTGATGTGCTCCTTTCGCCCCGAGCCCTCGATTGTTTTTGCTCCCCACCTCTGCTCCTGCTCCGACACGTCGTTCTGGAAAACACAAAGTCAGAGACGGTTCGACTTACGCGGACGTCTTCACCCCCTCCCCCCCCCACCTCCCTCAGAGCCGGACAGGTCTGCAAGGAAGTATACAGTACCTCAAAGTCGGGGTCCGTCTCCCAGTCGTCCCCCTCAGCAGCCACCTTCATGCTCACATCGTGGCCCACGGCTGACTTCCACATCTGGGGGGCGTAAAACTGGGGGCGTAAGACTTATGTGCGACCACAAGCTGTGGCCACCATTTGCTGAAGTATCAAAAAGGAAGTTATTTCTAACATTCATTTCCCCACAATGAAGCTCAAACTACTTCATCGTGAAGTACGAACACACTAAAATCCTCCGGACAGACTACTTTTAAAGAGAAATACTCCCCGTAGAGCATTAAACCAACCAGCAAATTAAAAATAACTTTACTTATTGACTGAAGCACACAAAAGAAATCTCAACATGCATCTTATTAATGTTAAGGTTAGTTGTTTTGTACTATATTCCAGTCATAAGCTATAGTACCACAGAAGTAACATTAGACATAATGTTATGGCACACAGGTACAAGATAAGAATGCTGATGTAGTGTTATGACGTTGCGTCTGACTAAATCTACTTCCTTAATCAACGTAATAAACTTAATAAAATACAAGTAAGTACATTTTTGTGGGTGGCAGACTTTGAGGGAAAGAAACACAACGTTACCTTCTTGCTGTCAGGTTAATATATCCGCTTTCAGGTGGATTTTGCACCGACAACCTGAGCTCCTTCTTCTTCCCTCAAGCTGCGACTGTTGGACGCCGAACACGTGAACGCGGATCTCGCTCACGTGAACGCGCGTTGATGTATCGCTAAATGTAAATAAGTTGTAGTTCATTTTGAATTCAGAAATTCAAAACATAATGTATTCATTTTGTTTGTGGAGTATTGGATGGCTATCTCTAATAAGAGTTTTTTATTTTTAATTGAGTGACAAACTTCATTGTTGTGCGTCATTCACAATAAAGCGCTGCGTCATAAAAAACGGGATTTATTTTCTTAGTTTTTGCAGATATATAATGTAATCACACTTAAAAGTCTTATTCATTTCATACCAAAGCAAGTAAAAAAAAAAGTAACTTATACGGAAACAACGCACTTAAATAAGTAACTTTCATTTCAGGATATGCTTTGTATGTATTACGATTTGTTTGCTTTATTGCTTTTTAAAATTTCAAAATATATATAGATTTTTCAAATGTATTTGAAGAGATAAAAAGCAAATGAGAAATGCTGCTTTCGAGGAGTTTTAGAATTAAAAACGCCAACTACGTCAGACCACATGATCAAACACACAGGCCTCTGATTATAGTTCTGTATTTTGTCTAAAACGAGTTTACGAGCAGCGCTTGAAGGCAAAGACCCTTAAATGTGATTCATCCGGTTGAAGCGTGACTCCAACACTTGGGGGCAGACTTACACAATAAAACTAATGGCAGAAAGCTGCTAAACAATTAGAACTACGACCACGAAACAATAAATTCAAAGACATTTCTTTTATTTTGTTGTTTGGTGAGCAAAGCATTTAAAAAGTGGCTGCAGGTGTCACGGTTCCAGTGCCTTAAAAGTGACTTAAGCGTGTTTGAATTGTGTTTCTATAGAAGAGCACAACAGTTTTTAAGACGCAGCGCTTTATTGTGTAAATTACAAAATGTCACAGTAGGTTGTGATCTCACTCCCGTTGTTATGAATGTTTTGTGAAACAAATCACTGATTAATGAAACCCATTTCTTCATCACCCAACAGTTTATGGTTGAATTAAAATTAAACTGTGGCCAAATAAACAATTCTCACAGTAAGTTAAAAAAAAATTATTAATGCCTGGCAAGATTTTTCCCCTGATCGATTCCACCATCACTTTTATTACATTTCAGTTTCCCACAAAGCCCTTTTAAACAGGTATTTACACTTAAAAGTAGACTTCAGTGTGTAAGATGTGAATAAGAACACGAATGTTTAGGAGGAGGATCACAGAGGAATCACTTCACCAACAGTGAGCGGTTAAATAAGCAAGAATCGAGAGGGTGATGTCAATGCACGCGTAGGTAGTGGATCATCTTAACCGTTATGGCAATAAATTATGCTACATCGGCGTCGCCAATCATTGGATCGGTATCGTTAGAAAACAGCACGTCTTTCTCCCCTGGAAGGAATCCACACGGTGGCTACGTTGCACCTGAAAGGCAACTTCATCCGTCATTAAAAACTACAGAGCAAACCGTAAAGTCCCCACGTCCAGATATCATACGTAACACAATCATATATGTACAAATATAAATACGACCCCCTTTTTCTAATTGTGATTCGTTGAAGGAGAAAAGAAAAGTAGACCCCCGATAGGAATGTGTAAGGTGAATTGCACTGTGCTCTGTCGCTGCGAAGGAGACGAGTGGGTGAGGAAGAGACTGTAACAAAACGCCTCCGAACCTCAAGCCATCCTCGAAGAACAGTGACATTTTGGGAAATATATATATACGCTTATTACACAGCAGATGGTTAGCTTAGCACGAAATCAACCAAACGTGGTACAACGTGGCGCTTCCCAGTCCGGATGCTAAGCTAACGGACGACTGTGACATCGTTATTAACGGGGATTTAGCGTAGCGACAAACCGGCCCCCAGGATGCCGGTGACACCTTTCCTGTGCGGATCTAAAAACTGCAGCTTCCTGTACCAATTGACACAGTTTGGCCTGTAAAGTGCAACGTTTGTCTGTAGAACATCTTTCTACATTCTATCACACGCAACGAATAAAAACACATAGATGGCTTGGGGTCAGGTGTGTGTCGCATTTCCCAGTTTCTCTCCCCGCCTCGATCTCATCCGCCAGGTTTTTTGTCTTTTTAAAAAAAAAAAGAGGGAGGCGGTCTCAGAGGTATCCGCCCAGGCACAGCAGCAGCAGCACGTGCACGGTGAGCAGGTAGAGGCTGAACAGCAGAGGAGTGCGCTGACGGGAGCAGAAGGCCACGCGCAGCATCCGCACCAGGCCGGGGCCGCCTCTCCGAGTCTGCAGGAGGGGGAGGGGGGGGGGGGGGGGGGGGGGGGGGACATTCGGTGAGCCAGTTTTAAATCGGCAAAGCTATTGAGGCGACAAAGCGGGCGGAGGGTCTTACGCGAGTGACGACTCCTTCCGGCTCGATCAGAAGCGCAGTCTCAGAGGGGTCGGCGTCTTGTGCGGGGGGCCACTTAGCCTGGCTGTGGGTTACACACACACACACACACACACACGTTTGGTTGATGGAACAAATCTGTCAGAGCAAAAAGATGAGCTACGTAAAAGAGAACAAACAAAGCACATTTATGCCCCAGTTATTACAGAATATGATCATTAGTTATGCAATTCAAATTTAACGGAGAACAAACTCGTGATCGATATTTCTCTCTGTCCGTTTGAAGGTACCAGCTTGGTTCTGGTCTTGCTAGGTCTGCTTCCTCCTGTCAAACACGTGACCGTGAAAATCATTCTCCCTTCTCGTACCGTTTGAGCCGATCCTGTGTGCACATCAGCTGCTCCTCCGCGGCCACCCGCTGCTGCACCTCCTCCCCCAGCCTGGCGTCAAACAATCACGGTATCAGTACCCCTCGGTTTCATTTCACCTAAAAAGGTTTGACTCTCACCGTACCGTCTCTGTAACTCTTTGACCTCGGCGACGTAGGCGCTGCCGTCCCCGGCGCTGCTCCGCTCCTGAGGCGCCCCCGGAGCGCTGTCCAGCGCCTCCGAGGCCTGTTGGCAGAGTGATGACGGTGCAGGAAGTTCACATTGTAGAATGTTAAGCTGATTTTAGTGTTTTATGCCTTCTGCAAGATACATTTGTTTCTGATAGTAGAAGATACGCACCGCTCTCTGATACTGCTCCTGCTGAAGTTTGGGCTGCTGAGCGCGAGCTTCCTCCAGCATGGCGGCGAGCTGCCGCAGTTGCTGGTCCCTCTCCGACAGCGTGGCGAGAGTCTGCTGCTTCAGCTGCTCGGCCTGAGCCCTCCAGTCGACACACTCCAGCCTGACAAGCATCAACGCCGACAAGGTGTTGGCGCCAACTTGGCTTATTAAAAGCGGCGGCGGTGTACGGCGACAGGGCGCCGGGCCTCACCTGAGAGTTTCGATCTCCCGCTTGCCCAGTTCCACCTCGTTCTCCAGCTGCTCGGCGTCACCCAGCAGGTCCTCGTTCTTCGCCTTCTCCTCGATCAGCTCCCGGCTGACTTTGATCAGCTCTCCCGCTCCCAGTCGAGCCAGCTCGGACTTCAGCGCCTTGATCTCAGACGACTGGGCCTGAAGCTGCTCCAGCTGCACGAATAAAAAATACGCATCAGTGAAAAGCCGCGGCATCGTCGAGCCGCTCGCTTCATTTACGTCAGCCTTCGGCGTGGGACCCACCAGCCTCTCCCGGTCGTTCTGCAGGGCTTGCAGCGCGTTCTTCAGCCCCCACACCTCTCCGGTGGAGCCCCCGTGGCCGCCCGCCTTGCTCGTCTCCTCCATCTTCAGGCTCAGCTCCTGGGCCTTGCTCACCGCCTGGTCCCTGCTGTCCTGGAGGGACGCCATGGCCCTGGAGAACGACTGGTTCTCGGCCCTCAGCCGCGTGGCCGCCGCCCTCTCCTCCAGCAGGTTCTGCTCCACGGCCAGCAGGTCCCGGGCCAGCTCGGCCACCCGCTCCTGGGCGTTCTCCGACTCCGTGCGCATCACGCCCCCCTCCCACCGCAGCTCGGCCAGCTCCTTGCCCCCGCTCTCCTGCGCTTGCCTCTCCTGCCGCAGGCTCTCCTCCAACGCCGCCGCTTGATCCCGCGCCGCCCGCAGCTGCTCCCTCAGCTTCTCCACTTCCGCCCCCGGGGCGTCTGTCACCGGAGGAGGCGGCGCCCCGAGACCGTCGGCGGCGCGACTGAGGGTCTCCCTCTCCGCGCCGCCCGCCGCCGGCGCCGCCCCCTCCCCCACGCGCTTCACCTGACCTTCCAATTCCTGCCGCTCTTTCTCCAGCGAGGCGATCCGCTGCCGCTGAGTGGCCAGGAGCTGCTTGTGCTGCGAGTCCTTCATGCTCAGGACTTGGGTGAGCTCGTCGCGGTAGCCGTGAAGCTGAGCCGACAGCTGGGCCTTCTCCGCGTACAAGTCGTCTCTCTGGACGAGCAGAGAGCGCAGCTCCTCCCGCAGGCCGTTGTTCTCCCCCGCGGCCTCCTGGATCAGAGCGTCTTTCTCCATCATCACCTGGGAGACGACGCAAGCATTATTTCGAGCACTGCGCCGGCCGTGAGGGGGTTTAGGCTTTTCTGCGTTACCTGCAGGTGTTTCTCCTCCAGCTGTTTGTACGTGTTGAGGACTCGGTCTCTGTCGTCCTGCAGGGAGCTCATGGCTTTGGTGAAGGAGTCCAGTCTGGCTTTCCGGTTGCTGCTCTCTTCTTCTGCCTTCCGCAGCTTTTCTGCCAGATCCCGCAGTTCCCCTCTCCTCCGCTCCAGCTCCTCCTCGGCTCCTTTCGCCCGGCTGTCGGCCTCCTTTTTAGCGTCCTCTGCGGCCTGCCAAGCCAAACACACGCGCGAAGGGAGGGAAATGTGTCATCCATGAACCAGACAGAAGACGCACCGTGGATGAAAACACGTCAATACCTGAGTTACGGCTTGCTCCTTCTCCCCCAGCATCTCCACCTCTCTCCGTTCCTTCTCGTTCAACTCCGTCTGCAGAGTCTCCGTCAAGGCCTTAGAGGACCGCAGGTCCGTCTCCAGTTGCTCCACGTTGAGACACAGCCGCCTCTCTTCTGCCTCCCTCTCCCTCAGCTCGGCCCTGGCCCGCTCGGCTTCGCCCTGCAGCCGGCCGACAGCCTCCTCCAGAGCTCTGGCCCTCTGGTTTAGACTCTCCGCCTCAGTCTTCAGGGCACGGGCTTCGTGTTGTGCGGACTGCATCTCGGTGGCGGTTTGCTGGAGCTTGCCGCTCGCCACCTCCAGGTCCGCTTGGCTCGCCGCCACTTTCTTCACCTCCTCTTCCAGTTTCAGCTGCCAGTCTTTGTCTGCTTTCTCGAGTCTGAAAGGAAAGGAAAATCGTCAAACACATTTTTTTTAAGTGTTTGTTTGGTGCTAAAATAGCTGAACCGAGTTAATCAGAGGATTCTGGGAAATAAGACAAATGCATATTTTTTACCTGTCCACTAAAAGCTGCAGTCCATCTTTCAGCGCAGATTCTCTCTGAAGCTGCTCCGTCAGTTCCTTGGCCCTCGTTTCAGCCTCCCGAACTTCAGCCTCCTTGCTCTTCAGAGCATCATTAAAGCGAGTCTCCCACTGTCGCGTCTCGTCCAGAACTCTGTCCCGGTCGTCTTGCAGCGAGGACATGCAGCGCGAGAAGGCGGCGAGCCGGGCCAGGGACTCGTCCAGGCGGGCTTGCATCTCCTGGGCGCGTCTCTCCGCTGCTCCCGCGATCTCTCTGGCCTCCAGCGTGGCCTCCTCCTCCCGGTCCCTTTCTCTGTCCACCTCCTCCAGCCTCAGCTCCATCTCCTTCAGCTCGGCGCCGAGCCTGAATCTCACCGAGTCGAGGGTCTGCTCCGCCTCGGCCTTCAGCGAGGCCTCGCGCCTTTGTGCCGTCTGCTCGGCGGCGGTCCTCTCGGCTACGGCCTCGCTCGCCTGCCTCTCGGCCTCCTCCAGCTGGGATCTGCAGCTCGCCAGCTCCGCTCGGCACCTGGTCAGGTCCCCGGCAGTCGTGGACGTCTCCAGCTGGGATTGTCCCAGCTTGCATTCGAGCTCGTCGTGGGCCACCTGCAGCGACTTGGCGTCTCTGCCCAGTTCGCTGATCCTCTCCTGGTACTTGATGCAGTCCCTCTGCAGCTGACGGACCTCCAGCTGCTTCTCCCTCAACAGCTCCTCCAGCTGGCGCGCTCGGCTCTGGCTGCCTTCTCGGACCCTCTGGGCCGACCTCAGCTGCTGCTCCAGCTCCCTCCGCTTGCCCGAATCGGCCTCGGCCTCGGCTCTCTCCCTCTGGGCCTGCCTCATGTCCTCCTCCAGCCGGGCCGCCCGGTCGCCCTCGCTCTGGGCCTCGGCTTCCAGCTCGGCCCGCTCCCTCCCCGACCTCTCCGCCTCCCGCTGCAGCTCGGCCAGACGCCGGCGATTGTCGGCCGCCTCCTGCTAGTAGCCGGCGATGCTCCCGTTGAGCTGGGCCAGCTGGTTCATCAGCCGCTCCTCCAGGTTGTCCTTCTCGGCCTCGAGGCTTCGGAGCAACTCTTTGACCCGCGCCTCCCTCTTTGACGCCTCTTCGCCCAGACTCCTTTCTCGCTCTCTGCCCTCCTGAACGCACTTCTCCAGCGACGCCACGAGGCCCTCCTTCCCCTCGCTCTCCTGAAGGTCTCGCTGGAGAGACGCCAGCTCGGCTCGGAGTCCAGCCTCCTGTTCCCGCCACAGTTCCCTTTCTGCATTGGCCGCGGCCTCCATCTCCCTCATCTTGCTCTCGAATAAAACTTGAACGCTTTCCGTCATTTCTGCCTGGGTGTTTTCCTCGGTCGGTTCATGTGTTTCTGGTGCAGCTGTTGGGTCAGCTGGTGTCTCTTCTGGAGTCGGTTTTAGTTCTTCATCCTCGAATTCACTCCCGGCAGGCTTTGCTTTGGTTGGGATTCCGTCGGATTTCTGGGCTTGGACCTGGTCTTCTACACCCGCTGCAGAGCTAAGCAGCGGAGCTTCAACCACACCGACCTCGCTCTCTCTTGCCTGGGCGAGTTGTTCCCTCAACGCCTCCACCTGCCGCCCTAAAGAGGTCTTTTCTGCCACAGCGGCGTCCAACTCCGCTTTCAAAACCACCGTCTCTTCTTGAAGTCTTTCCACCTCCGCTTTGAGAGCCCGGCCCTCTCGTTTAATCACATCCTTGTCCTGCAGCTCTCCGAGTCTCTCGTTCTCCTCCTCCAACTCGAGGATTTTCTGCTGCTTTGTTTTGGCAAACTTTCTCATCTTGTCTTTCACCGAGTTCACCTCCTTCTGTGCCTCTTCCGCCCGTCTCTCAGCTTCCTGCCTGCCGGCCTCCTGCCCTCTCACCCTGGTTAGGAGCTCTTGTCTCTCCTGCCTGGCGGCCTCCAGGACTCGTCTCACTCGCTCGGCCTCGTCGCTCACATTTTCGTAGGACTTGAGCAGCGTCTCGTACTCGTCCTTCATGCTTTGGACTTTTTCCTCCCATTCTCCGCAGGCTGCGGCCGCCACTTCTTTCGCTAGCTCAACTTCTCTCTTCCAGGCGTCCTTCTCGGTCAGTATGCCGTCCATGGCCAGTTTGAGGCTCTCGCACGACGATCCCAGGCTTTGGTTTTCCAGTAGTGTCCGGTCAACCTCATCGATCAGTTTCGCCTTTTCCGCTCTGAGCTTCTGCAGCTCGTCTTCTCCCGACTCCATTTTCTGTCGCAGCTCGGCTAAAAGCTTCTCAGTCGAAGCTACTTTTTCCTTCTGGCTTTTGTTTTCCTTCAAGACGTCTTTGCGAGAGATCAGCGCCGCCTGGAGCTTTCGCTGAAGCTGCTGGATCTTGGCCTCACCGTCTTTCCCTTCCTCCTGCTTCTGTGGAAGCTCATCCTCGGACCTTTGGGCCTTTCCTTGCTCGGCCTTCAGCTCTTCCTGCAAGGCGGATATTAGCTCGTCCTTCTGAGACACGGCGTCCTGCATTGAGCGAATGAGAGAGCTCTGCTCGCCGAGCTGCTGGCTCAGCTCCACGATTTCGCGGTTCTTGTCGTCGAGGAACTGCTTGAAGTCCTGCACTTCGGTCTGAAGAGCTGCGACGGAGGGCGCGGAATCTGCCGCCGCCGCTTCGGCCTCCATCTCGGCTTTGAGGGATTCCGCGTAGGACTCGGCCTGGCGGTACTTTTCTCTGAGGTCATGAATTTCCCCCGAGAGGGCGTCGATCTGCCGCTCCTTCTCTCGCAGTGCGAGCAGCTCTTTGCCCGATCCCAATAACTCGGCCTCTTTCAGAGACAAACTGCTCAGCGTTTCCTGCAGCCGCCTCTCCAGCTCCGCGTTAGCCAGCCGCACGGACTGGATCTCGCCCCGGAGTGCTCGCACAGCCTCCTCCATGTGCGCTGGGGGGACCTCGGACTGCTCGGCCGGGGGCCCGACCACGTCGCCGGGTTGTGGTCGCGACGAATCCGCCTCAGATGTGGCAAAGTCCACCCAGTCCTCCTGGACCCAATCGCCGGCCGCGTGCTTTTCCACACTTTGAGCCGGCTGGCCGGCCTCCTGACGGGGTTCTTTGGCAGCCGCCACTTTCTCTTCTAACTCTGTCACTTTAGCCAGAAGCTCCTCTCGCTCGCCGCCCTGCACCTCGAAGCGTTCCACCAGCGCGCTGTGTTCTTCCTTCTGCTGCTTCAGCTGCTCCCGGTGGTGCCGGTCTTTCTCTTTCGCTTTGCGGATGGTTTCCTTGCGGGATTCTTGAGCCTCTTGGACCTTCTTCTGAAGGCTCTCGCACTCGGCCTCAAGAGAGGCCACTTGCGATCGCAGCGCGGCTGTTTCGGAAGAAGCGTCGGCCTGCTGAGCGTCCGCGGCTTCTTCCGTTAGCTTCTGATTCAGCGCGAGAGTCTCGTCGAGAACTTGATCCAGCTGGTTCACTTTCAGCTCAAGAGCCTCAACCGCCTCTTCTTTGGATCGTAACGCCTGCTGGAGTTCGGCGGCTTTGGCCTCCGTCTCCCGGATGTCCGGCCCTCTAGATTGTTCCACCTCAGGAATGTCAGAAGGACTTTCTCCCGCTGCCGTTTCACCTCGCGCCGCCTGTGCCTTTGCTTCTTCCTCAAAATCGGCGACCTTCCTCAGGAGCTCTTTGCGCTGCACCAGCGCGGCCTGCAGCTTCTTCTTTGTGTTTACCAGCTGGGCTTCCAACAACGCCTTCTCCGCTTGCACACTAGCCAGCTCATCGTGCACGCCAGCGGCCGAGTCTTCGCCGCTCGCCATCGGATTCTCCTCCGTGGCTTTCTCCAGGTCCACTATCTGCTCCTTCAGTTTATTCACTTCCCCTTCCGCCTGGAACTTCTCTTCTTCTGCTTGGAGGAGTTTGGCAGCCATGCTGTCATTGAGCTCGGTCGCCTCTTGCTCTGTTTGGCGGAGACGGACGTGTAGCTCGCCGATCTCCGCGTCCTTCTTGGACAAAGTGTCATCGTTGAGCTCTGATGTTTGCGAGTATTCCAGCAAGCTGTTCTCCGCATCTTGAAGCTTCCTTTCCAGCTCGGAGGAGAGGAGCTCTCTGTCTTCCAGCTGCGCACTCAGCATCCTCGCCTGCCCCTCCTGCTCGGAGAAAGCCCGGCGGGACATTTCCAGATCAGTCTGCAGTGCCTGGATGGTCTCTTCCTTGATTGTACTTTCAGTGCTTAAAATGTCCACCTGATCTTCAAGAAGGTGCATTTCAACGCTGTGTTTCTCCACCACATACCGGAGTTTCTGAGAGAGCTGCTCAGACTCCTCTCTGGCTGACTTCAGTTCCTCTATAAAATGACTGGCCCGGGACTCGGCCTCTTCTTTTGCAGCAATCAGAGACTGTGTATCTTCTTCCAGATTCTTGATTTTCTCCTGCGACTCTGCAGCCGCCTGTCTGAGAATCTGAAGCTCCGCCAAAAGCTCACTGTACCTCCTCTGAAGCTCCTCCGCTAAGGCCTGAGCGAAGACCTGGCCCGAGGCCATGTCACCGTCGGTGGTGGAAGAACCCTGGTGACTTACGTGGAGCTGTACCGTCTCTCGGATGACGACAGAGGAGGACTCGACTTGAACTGTGGAGGATTCCTGCTCCATGCTGGTTGCCTCCCAGGACTGCAGCTGCAGCTGGCCAAACTCCTGCATGATGGACGGCCACTCCTGGCCTCCTCCATCTTGATTCATAGCTTCCAACAGGGTCCAGCTGCTGTGGGCCACCTCTGAATCACTACTGGCCACCATCTCATCTGAGGAGGCCCCCTTGGATTCTCCTGGAGACTCAGACTGGTGTCCAATAAGCTCTGGGCTGCTCTCGTTATCAGCAGAAATGGAGAGGACTGAGGTGTCCTCAGCAACTAAGGTGGTCTCATCTTCTTGCGTGTCCTCCATGAAGTCAGGAGGGGCCGTGGAACTCTCATGGGGTGCTGCACTGGCATCCTGACCATCATCTGGAGTCTGATCGTCTTTTTCACAAGACGCAACGCCGCTGGCGCTTCGCTCGTTCGCCAGTCTGAGGGATTCCCGCAGGGCAACCAGCTCGGCGTCTCTTTCGCGAAGCTGCTGCTCCAGTTCCAGTAAGTGTGCTGAGGTCAACAAAAGGAGTAATTAATGAGAACAATTTTGTTTGCCATCTTTGCTAGAAAAATTACCGTATGATTAATTGAATATCAAAAGCTGCCGATTCATTTTCTGAAAATGGATTTCTGATGTATTTTTGTATTATTATCATACTTGTTCTTTAACAAACACCACAGAATCCTTTAAGGTCTAAGTGTGAGCAAACAGACCCGACATAATGTTCCATGTTATGCAGGAGTATGAATTAAGTTGTACCTTTTTCAGCTTCAGATGAATCCCGTGCTGATGGTTCAGTCCCATCCTCCCTTTCAGTCGCCTAAAAAATAAAGCAATATCGTTTTATATATATATATATATGCATGTTTGAACTTGAACCAGCAGCACACACACACACACAGGTGCAGCGCGAGGTGAAGGTCAGCTAAGACGGTCAGTCCTAGCAGTGGATCAGTGCAGAGGGGATTAGGCGCATTTCTAGCCACCGGCTGTCTTATGACCCGAGACCGCCTGAGACGGACGGACGTGACCAGGCCGGGACCAGCTGGAAAAGGACGATTCTGACTCTTCGCACTCGATTTGAATAAAAGGGATAAATTAAAAAAAGACTACTACTAGATTTCGTATCCAGTTAAAGCATCCAGATACAGATCATTTAATAATACCAGGTGGTTGTAGGTTTTTGCCACTGACCGTTACGATTTGATCCTGTAGCTGTTGTATCTTGGCTGTGGTTTCCTGCTCTTCAGCGCTTTGTCTGTCAAGTTGTTCTGAAAATCATAGACGCACATTCAAACATCTGCGTGAAGCCAAAAGGTTTGAACTCTGCAAACAGGGAAAAAACGTCGTTACCCTGAAGGGTTCCCATGGTGCGGGTGAGCTCGGCACAATATTCCTCTCTCTCGCTGCGTTCATCCTTCAGCCTCGCCAGTTGTGTCTCAATGGTCTGCACGGCGCCCAGGAGCAGCGAAAGGTCATCGGGGAGGGGGACGCCCTCCGCTGCTTCTTGAAGAGCGAGGGACCGAAGAGGGGCCCAAATTTCAGCCAAGGTCTCAGCCTTCCTCTGGGCGTCTCGATGCTCCTCTCTTAGCGAGGCCAGCTCTCGCTCCAGTTTATCAACTTCTGACGTCTCCCTCTCTGAGGCGTCCTGGCCGGCGTGGACGACTTCCTCTCTCGCGGAAGCGAGTTCCCTTTGCAGCCGCACTATTTCCGCCCCGTCGCTCTCTGAAGCGTCGCGGCTCACTCGGTAGGCCTCCTTCGTCAGAGCCAGCTCTCTCTCCAACCTGGCAACTTCCACCTTTTCCTCCCCCAGAGCCTCCCGACTCGCAAGCTCCGCCTCCCTCAGGGACTCCAGCTCGCCCTCTTGCCCCGCCGCCGCCGCCGCCGCCCTCTCTCTTTCCAACTCCTCCAGGCCGCCGCGGAGGGCCGCGATTTCCGCGTCCGCCCTGCTGGCCTGTTCGGCCCACTGCTGCCTCTCCTCCTCCCTCCGCTGGAAGCCCTCGGCCAGCTCCTGCTCCATCTGCCGGAACTGAGCGGTCAAGATCTGAGTGGAAATTAGATGGGAGGGAAGGAAGGAAAAAAAAAGAAAGGAAAGGATACGAGTGGGTGTGTTTTGTGTGGCTCAGCCAAACAATGCAGAATTGTGACATGCCATCGAGGAGAGGGCGTGTGTTCTTTTTTATTCAGCACTATTCATTACAGCTGAAGGTTCTGTGAGTATATAACAGTCTCTATCCAACACACTATACACATCTGCACAAATGGCACCCGGTGCATCAGGAGCCGTACCTGTTTTTGTTGATCAGCACTGCTCACTTCCTGCTGCAGCATTTCCAGAACTTGGGAGCGAGAGCTTAAGGCTCCCTCGAGCTCTTCACAGCGCCTCTGTGCTGCATTCAGGGCCTGAGAGAGAGAGACGATCGCGCAGAGAGAGAATCATCAGATAAAGGGCATGTATCTGAAGCGTGGCCGCCGTCTGCTCTTCAGCTCGTGGAAAACCTGAAACATGTGTGTGTTTATCCTCCTCGAGAGGAGCTGATGCAAACGTCAATGTGCCAGTAATCAAATTGTGATACACACACAATGGGTTTGAACTAGTTATTAAGAGGGGCCAGCTCCTCAAGTGAACTAATGTTCGTGGTAGTAAAGTGAATACACTTCAGACTGTGACTGAAAACAAGGAAATTAAACTTGATAACTTCGGCTCTATAACAACATAATAACGTCTTTATTGACCAAACAACTAATTAAGGTAATAACAAGGAGATTCATTGATAATTACAGTAATTGCAACGCAACAATCAACAAGAAGAATAAAAGATTGACAAAACAACTAATCAAAGATCAGGTCTCATGCGTCTCTTACCTGCTGGAGCTCGCCGCCCACCTGAGACTGAGCAGCGACCCTCAGCAGCTCCTCCTCGTGTTTCTGGATCTGTTCTTGGAAACGCACGTCCTTCTCGCAGACGACAGCCTGCAGTGTCCCCAACTGAGAACAAAAAGCCCACCAATCATTTAAAAGTGTCCGTTAGCGGAGCGCGACTACGCGTGACGAGAGAGAGAGACACCCGTCACCTGTTCGGCGTGGGCGGACTGCTCCTGTCGAAGCAGCTGCTCGGCGGCCCGGAGCTGCTCCCGGAGCTCCCCGCTTTTGGCTTCTTCGTCGCTGAGCTTGTTCTTCAGCTCCTGCAGCTCCTCCTCGACGGCAGCGCCGGCTCCGGTGAAAGAGACGTCCGGACTCTGCTGCGGAGATTGTTGTCGTTAAAAAAAAACAACAAAAAAAAGATTCGAGAGGCTGAGGCTGTTTGGCGCTCTTGAAACTTACTGTCGCTCCTGCTTGTCCTCTCAAGTCCGTTATCTGTTTGTTGAGTGTCACCATCTTGGCTTTGGCTTGCAGTTTGAGCTTGGTGAAGCGAGCCTCGGCTTCCTCTTTCTCGTTCTGTGGATACGAAGCACACAAAGCATTGGTTGACAATTATTATTATTTTTATTTTTTTTAAACAGATTGAAATTCAGGTCATTTACTCTGAGCTGTGCATCTTTGTTAAACAGCTGAGCGTCTTTGTCTCGGATGAGCTCCTTCAGCTGGACAACCAGTTGTTCCAGGTGAGCCAGCCTCTCGATGGCCTCCTCCGGTGACTCCTCAGGAGCCGGGCCCTCATCGGCCGGGAGCTGAGGCACCAGCACGCCCTGTTCAAGGGAACAGACATAAATCGTCATTTGTATAAACGTCCTCTATAGCTCTTCAGTCTAATGGAATATGCTAATGAGGGGCGTTACGATTTAGAATTAGGATTTACACTTTGACGCTGCCCCAAATGTATAAAGTCAGAATATCCAGATGAATTTAGAGCGTTGGTTATCTTCTGAGTGCCAGCCGCTTAATGGAAGTGACAATAAATCACAGGAGTGCTTCTTTATTGTGGCAGAGACAGAAGGAGTCCTTGAACGTGAAGACGGCCAAAAGTAGTCAAAATAAATATGCCAACACAGAAACTACGTAAAGTAAGATAAAGCTGTATTTGAAATATCTGCGTCCAGATGGGATGCCTTAATAAATAAAAAGACGTTAGATTTTAAAAGATGAAACACGATGAGTCATCATCTCCCTCTTGTGTTTATTTTAAAAATGGAGGGCAAAACGCTGCGGAGACAAACGAGTATTTATTCAAAAAGGCAGAGGACACAGTTGGCAATACTCTTGATTATAATTTGTCATAATTGATGTGCTGCTCTCTCACCTGCGGATCTCCATCTGGTCCCTCCTCTCCAGAGAGCTCCTGGAGGACCGTGGCCAGACGGCTGAACATAGAGCCGGCCCTGGGAGAGGAAAGCGTGTCAAACGTTAGCGATATTATTCCATCTCTTACAGCGCAGCCGTATGTTTATAACACACAATATATAATGGAGGATATGTACACTGCCCTTCTACCGTCTTTGCCAAGAAGAGCCTGAGGTGCTGCCGGACATGTCCCCTCAGGGTGTGAATTTACGAATAGCACCATGTAAATATACTGTATACCTTTGCATGTGCAGTGTCCCCATGCAACTGCATTACATCACACTAAAAGTGTATTTATATATTGTCATATAAATAAATTATATTACTATGTAACCTGGGCTTACGCTGACATCGATTGTATCACCCCCCGTGTCTAAAGCGACACATTGGCAGACACTCCCCGGCTCGTTTCTCCCCAAGCCGAACCGAAGCGAACCGACCGTTCCCGAACCGGCCGGGCGCTCCACTGCGGCTGCGTCACTCCTCTCGAGAACAGCAGAGATGATAAGCTAGCTAGCGCGAGAGAAAAAAATGGACGGCAAACTTCCCAAGCGGCTGGACAGCGATGACTCCGACGTCATGTAGGCGCATTTGAAGGTTAAGAAACGGCGGCGTGAACAGGAGAGTCCGGGGGAACATCCGGTGTTTGCCGCGGCCGCACATACTTTCTACCATACAGTAAGTTGGCTAATGCTATTTAGCAAGCTAACGCTGGTCACTATCCAGTGAGGAGAGCTTTTAAAAAACTGCTTCGAGGACTTTTTCTCCTTCGTGGATGACTTGTCCTGCAAAGCAGCCCAGTAAGTGGGGTGGGGTTTTTTTGGAAGCAATGACCTTTGACTCACCTGTGCGGTTGCTTCCCAGGTGAATGTGTCTGCTTTTTAAAAGCTATATTTCCTCGGATGGATGGCAGAGCATAGCCACATCACCAAAACATTCCCGGAAACAAAACTTCCTTCGCTCTGATTGGACGGCCGCGATGCGCGACTTAAAGGGACCGTCTGCAACTTAAAAGGCGCACACTCCTTGCTAGGGAGCGTCTACATTGAAATATACATAACAAAAAAAAACGAAAAGGGAGCCTTTAAGCATTTTTTAATTTGATTTTTTTTTGGAAGAATTCAGAAGACAGAACAATGATGGCAGGACGTGAGCAAAGAGTCAACCAGATCTTCCACCAGGGCAGGCAGCTAGGGAGGAGTCTGCTGCTGCTGGTACACTACACCACGGTGGTTGTGGCCTTCGCGGGGCGCTCTGTGCAGTGGATGGTGGGCGCTGTGAAGTGGACCACCCTGTTTGCCCGCTGCACGGTGTCAGTGTTTGACTCCATCTACAGACATATGCCCAGGGGGAAGAGGAACGGTGTCGCTGGAGGCGCCGGGGAGGTCTGCAAGAGCTCTGACGCGGAGCCACAGTGACTTGTCACTCTGTTTGCAGAGTGACTGTGTTTTTCCGATGAAGACAGATTCAGACAAGAGCAAAGATTGCAAAATGAAGAGGTTAAACATTTGAAAACTGAGTATGAAGAAGGAAAATGAGGCCTTACCAAAGTTATCAAATGAAAGCTTTTTACTTTTTTAATCTCTTTAAACATAGCGCTATGTTTATATAGTCTACTTGTGTTATAATGTTACATGTGGTTACATGTGTATTCCATGTTTGTTATTGTCCAGAAAAGCTCTTCTTATGTGTTAGAAACACATAAGAAGAGGTGGGGGGGGGGGGGGGGGGGGACCTTGTGTCCCCCTTCATCACCTCTTATCTGCTATACCACTGGTAATGGCAAAGGATTCCCGGGGAATGGCAACTCCAGTGAAATATTGGGGGGCGCCAAACTGGAGGGTTTCTCCATTACATTTATTGGGAAACCGCAGTGCGAATGTTTCTTTGGTTGTTGGTGTTTTTGTTTTTGTACATCTGTGCCTGTCTGAAGAAAACACTGCAACATATGTTGGGTTTTTTTGCAAACGTGCCGTTCCTTTGGTTTTAATAGTGAAACCATGAGCTCTGGCTGCCCCTGTTGAGATGTCGCTTGCCGCGGTGTTCCTGTGATTTACTGAAACTGTTTCGCAAGTTGTATTGCCAGAATGAGACCCGACATCCCTCCTGTGAATGTAGATGCAACTCGTATGAGTTCATGAAAAGTGAAATGTTGCTTTAAAATGTCTGACGGCTGCCTTTTACTGATGGAGTCATAATTTTTTTTACTATTTTATTCATTTATTTTGCATATTTAGACCATTGTTCAAGCACTAACGTCGACTTATAAGAGTATATGATATAATAAGTCGTAAACATGCACTGTTGAAACACAAACCACACTTATCGCTACTAAATACCACTCAAACGAGATTCATGAAGGGAGGCAACGTTTTGTACAAAAGCTTTTTGACGTGTTTATAGGTGCATTTTCCTTGTTTCTTGATTCCACACGGATCAAAAAGCGCCGTGCGCGTTTTTTATATTCATTTCACTAACTCAAACTGTCGTGTTTTAGCGTCCTTGTCAACGTTGCGTATTCTTGATATCAAATAAAAGCCTCTACAGAACAGCTCTGCCACCTTTCGTCAGGGTTTTGATTGTTATTTATTGATGACCGCTCTGCTGAGGTTGGTGTGTCTCTGTGGTGTTCGCCGGCCTCACGGTGGTTGAGTCATCGGCTCAGGTGCACGGGTCTCCACGTGGGGGGGGCGCTGCGTCAGCAGTTCTCACGGGGGAACGTGGACGGAGATGAGGCAACCCAACCTGCCCTTTTGCAAAGAGGCGATTATGCTGATGATCTGCATGTTCGGGCCTGGATTACAGACAGCGATTAAACCCAAGGTGGACGCGCAGGGGAGGGCGCCTCCTCATCCTCCCCCCCCCCTCCTTACGAAAACACAGGCAGCTACAAAAGGCCCCCCGGGCCCGGGCTGCTCCTCTTGGACCCCATAAGCCCCCTTGTTGTGTGACTGTGAAGAGGGATAACTCTCGGCTTCGCAGTAGACCAATCGGGCGGAGCGGTCCGTGGATAACAGCAGCGAAACACAATCCGGTGTCTCACGCACACACACACACACACAGAGAGAGAGAGAGCGATGGGCAACTCGACGGGAAGCACCGTGGACGACCTGCAGGCGGTGGAGATGCACCTGTGGTACAAGAAGTTCATGACCGAGTGCCCCTCGGGTCAGCTCACCCTGCACGAGTTCAAGCAGTTCTTCGGGCTGCGCGGGTTGGACCCGGAGGCCAACGCCTACATAGAGCAGATGTTCCGCACGTTCGACATGAACAAGGTGAGGCAGTTTTCTATCCCGTTTAAAAAAAAAAAAAAGTAATTTGGTTTAATTCGGGAGGGTTTGTACTTTGACTGCAGAGAGATTCACTTTCAGAAAGGCGCCGAGGGCTCGAGCCTCCTGTGGGATGTTTTTGCTTTTTATTTAACCTTCAAGAAAATCAATCACAACAAATCAGCGCCGTATGAATGTAAATACTTAAACTTGTGTACGTATTGACTTCTAAAACTGTTTTCTTGACATTCGTTTTTTTAATCAATATTGTGCATCAGGCAGGTATTTCTTTATTTTCAATGTGTTAAAAAGTAATGTAGCAAACACATTTTGCCAACTAATCAATTAATCAACAAATTGTGGCTCTAAAACAGATAAAAGGTCTGGACCAGTCCCTCAAACTTAAATAACATCAGCACAACGCAGTGACCTCAGGGCAACAACACCTACAGATCTAAGTGCTCTCTCTGGGGAGCTATATTTACCCCCCCCCCCCCCCTTCAGCTCACAAAGGGCAGTTGCAAAATCTCAGCATGATTTAAACTGGGAGATTATCCGAGTATATAACTGCTCCGATGCATGGATTTGTTGTTGGGACACCCCCTGGAGACAATCCCCCGTCACGGCAGGATGTCCCACAGAGAGCCTCCTGTGGGGGGGGGGGGGTCGGGTCAGTGTGCGGCTCTCATCCGCCCTGTGGTGTCTGCAGGACGGCTACATCGACTTCATGGAGTACGTGGCGGCCCTCAGTCTGGTGATGCGGGGGAAGATGGAGCACAAGCTGCGCTGGTATTTCAAACTTTACGACGTGGACGGCAACGGCTGCATCGACCGCCACGAGCTGCTCAACATCATCAAGGTGCGGTGACGTGGTCGGGAGGGGGGGGGGGGGGAGACCCCGCGGGCAAAAAGGGCCCGAGGATTCGGAAAGTGACCGCCGTGCTCTTGTTCCCCGCAGGCCATCCGCGCCATCAACGGGAACGAAAGTCAGGAAACCTCCGCCGAGGACTTCACCAACCGGGTGTTCGACCGGATCGACATAAACGGAGACGGTGAGTTTGCTCAGCCGGACCGTGATCGACATATCAATGTTATGCTACTGGTTCTGACCTGGTTCTGGCTTGTTTGGGCCCCACGTGGGGTCCTCTCGTTTGCAAATGGATCAGCTGCAGGCTGGAATCACAACCAGCACGTTCTGCAGGTCGCTGCAAGACCCCCCCCAAAACACTACTTTTACACGTGTGTGCCACATGTATAATAAAGTGCATTTAAACCCCCCCCTCTCTGACAGGGGAGCTCTCCTTGGATGAGTTTGTGGCCGGCGCACGCAGTGATGAAGATTTCATGGAGGTGATGATAAAGAGTCTGGACCTCAGCCACATCGTGACGATGATCGACAACAGGAGGCACAGCGTCTAGCCCCCCCCCCCACATCACACGCCACCTCGCCCTCCGCCGTGTAACCCGGGGGCCTCTGGGTATGAGGTCATTTATAGACTGAGACCGAAGGACTCCAGTGTACTGAAACAGTGACACACGTGCACTTCATATGCGGTCAAGTCTGGCAAACTGGTCTTTCTTATCGGTGCTGAGCGTTTTGTTTACTAAGCTTGTACCTTGAGTTTAATGTACTGGATATAAAGCGTGCTGCAGGTTTACAGTTTATCAAATACTCATTAGTATAAAATGTACCTTTTTACACAACAAATCTTGATAAAAGCTTGTTTATTATCTCAATTACAGTATCATATCTGACTCCAGCACGATGGCGACACATCTCAGGAACAAACTCCTCCCCTCCAGCGAGGTGAGGATTCACCTGCATGGTGTCAGAAAATGCTGAACCTGCAGGATGAACCATATTATGAAGCTATGTCACACCTTGATTAAACAAATTTAACAGAACCGTTGAACAAAATATACAAAGTAAAGTTGCCATTGTGGCGTTTATTTTATACAAATGAAGATCTGTACCACATCCGGTCATAAGAGAAGAGAAGCTCGTTCAGCAACCACAGGGGGGCAGCGACATAATGGGATTAACATTCCTCCAAAGACGTTTCCACCATTAGTCTGAGCGCTTCCTTTTGCTCGTCTTTTAATACATAAATAACTTTCGTCTTGCGGTCCGTGTGTGTCGTCTCCTTTATTCTGAGCAGGCTCACAGGAAGTCGTAAAGGTACTGGACGATCTCAAAATTCACCGTCCTGGAGGATGAATCGCACACAACACGTTATCTTTGAGAAGAAAACAAGTTAAAAGGGTAATTTACATGAATTATTCTGCTTTCACGCCAACTCTGCGTATTAACACACATACACACCTGGAGATGGCGCAGATGAAGTCCATGGAAACGGCACATTTGTACTTGGGGGCGTCGAGCTGGTCGTCGTGACTGACCTGAGTCAACAGCTGTAAGGTCACCAGGGAGGAGATCTGAGTGGGGGAACAGGAAATGGCTCCAATCACTGCTTTCCCCATGACATGATGGATACGGGTCGGGTACGGGTAAAAATTTGTTCACGTACAAAAAAAAAGGTCTGAAGAGCCTCGTCTAGTCAGTTAATTGCACCTCTCTGCACTGTTAAATAATAAATAAGGTAAAACATTATGCAAACGTGACTCAAGCCGCCCGCCGGCCGACTGACCTGTGAGAAGATGCTGGCGGTGGGGGCCACTCGGCTGTCCACCACACTGTAGAAAATGGCGAGCAGGCGGTCCAGAGGAAACGGCTTCGGCCCCAGCAGATGGTTACTCGTCTAGGAAGCATATTGACAAAAGATACCGATTGATTATTTAAACCGGTTGAATCTGAAACGTGCGATCAAATCTTGTTTGGATGAGGACCTTTTCATTTTTCTTCAGGAAGTTGGTTTTCCGTATTTTACCGTGGTGCTGAAAGGAGGGAAACAGGAGGGACGTCAAAACCCAAACACACCTTTCATCAGCGTAATATCCTTTCGGATAAAACCCCTGTACCTTCAGGAAGAAGCGCTTATCCGTGCGGGCCGGGTTGTAGGACGCCAGGTAGGCGGCGATCAACAGGAACTTGGAGTAATAAGGCAGTTCAACGTGAGTGTGAGCAGACAAACCTGAGGGGAAACAAACGCTATGACTCGGCCGAACTATAAACACGGTGGACCAAACAGACTTTCACACGGTGTTCGGTGTGACCGGAGGCGAGCGGTTAAAAAAAAGGAACGTAGGTTTCCGCATGAACGCCGGGCGTCTCTCGTCGCCCCCTCGGTGTGCGTTTGTACCTCTCACGGCTCCGGTGTCCTTCTCCTCCATTTGCTGCATCTGCTCCCACTGGAGACTGAACGCGGAAAGGAGAAGAACGTCTGATCAAAATGAACCCCGGCGTCGGGCGTCTCAATCGGCATGACTGAAATCATCAAGTAGAACAAAGTGTTGAAGGCACACGGACCTGGACACCTCCCGCAGGTAGACGGTCCGCATGGCTTTCTTCAGATGAGGCTCAATGTTTCTCCACAGCTTGTGTGTGTCCGTCTCTTTCACTGAAGACGAAACAGAGCAGGCGTGTTGCAGGGGCCACATGCACAGCGTACACAGAGGGACGCAACCAGGGACGCAACCAGGGGGGGAAAACAACGAATCAAATAATGAGACGTTATTGCAAAAGCTGTATAGATGGTCGTCAAAAAAAGAGCAGCGATTCTTTGACTTTGGGGACATATGGGGGGGTTAAGCTGCACCTACAGACATTAAAAAAAGCAACTAAAACAACGGCCAGAACCAATTTTTAAAGCTTCTATTGAAGTTTTTGGAGCTGCCACACGTCACGACAGCCTCGCCATTGATTTCTTTTGTTGAGGTTGCGTAAACGTTTGTGTGCGGTAAGCAGGAGAGCAAACTGTCATTTTAACTGTGGAGAAAATGTTGTTTTTGAAGGACAGAGCGTCAACAAATATGTTTTCAATCATACATTCCCCCCCGGTATTTCTTTTTACATGAAAATTTGTGTTGCATTGTGGGAAATGTTTGCTGACACATTCTCAACAACAACAACTTTCTCCGGTGATAAAATGTCAGCGTTTGCGGCTCCTTCTGCTTCCTCTCGGCTTTAAAGAGATAAATCAATAGTTTAAGTATAAGCCGCATCGTAGAACAATCCCTCTATTGAACACAAATAAAGAGGGTAAGAAGAGGCGTCTTTAAATATTGATCATCTGTCAGATGAAGGAATGGACCCCGTGGTGCTTTACCTTTTCCTTCGGCTAACGGCTCGCAGAACTTTGAAAAGTTTAGGGCAGCCTAGACATGAAGAGAATAAAGAAATCAATAATGCCGGATGGAAAGAAAATCAAAACAACTGAAAGTCTTCCCTGACTCGTGAGTGTGTGTCTGACCAGGTGGCGCAGCTCTCTGAGGTCCCGACAGACGGAGTAAAAGACTCCCAGCAGGATGTTGATGTAGGACGAGTAAAACTCAGCCGAGTGTGAAGGATGTTTGTCCTGGGACACACCTGCTGCAGCTCACCTTCAGACACGGACAAAGTAATAGCACAGAATGAAGAGAGACATTTAAAAAAACACTGTCAAAAACAAGAAATCTTCTCGCATATCAATTACCTTCATTTGCTCACTCGAAAGTGCTGAATTCAGTTTATGTAACGCAAACTGTCTCCACAGTCGCTGCCTTGAGTGTTAGAACAAGATCACAGGTACAAATCTCACATTTCACACCATTCGCCAAGCGTCTGTCATCATCACGCAGTGTCATGGCACCGGCTGATGTAGAGTGTGTGTGTGTGTGTGTGTGTGTGTGTGTGTGTGTGTGAACTGCTATACCTTTACTGTAGTCTGGGAAATGGAGCTGAAGGGGCTCGAAACAGCCGGTGTTTGGTCTGAACTTGTCCCAAACGATTTCACTGAGCAGGATGACGGTGACGTTGTCCTCGACCTGAAGAGGAAACAGAAGTATAAAAATATACATTTATAAATACACATATAGCAGCGGTTTTGTACAACAGGTTTTCAGAGAGAGAGAGGGTCTCCATGGTTACAGACATTGCAACATTCTGTGGCTTTTATTCTGTGCTGAATGGAAACAGAGTAACAATAAATATCTTATTACAGCTAAAGATCAAAAGATGCTGCTTGTATCTACATGTTTCACAATTCAAAATGTATAAACCAGTTAAAGACAATTATCTAATAATAAAGAAATATATATCACTAGCAAATATTTCCAATTGAGGAACCCTGGAATCATGATCTAGAACAACAAGAACACACCTTGACCTGAAAAGAAGCTTAGCATTTGACGGGCTGCTACACCAATGACATGACATGACATGACATGACGGGCAGAAATGCAGCGATTTTCTTAAAAATGTCAATACCTGCATCAGCAATATCTGTGAATACAAGTTGCCTTTAGAGAGAGACAGAACACTCATATAACCTCTGCGTGTGGCTCGCTGCCACTTCAATGAAACCCTCTAAACCCCCGGCTGTAAAACTGTCAGGTTCACTTAGTTGCAAAGAGGTCATAATAATAACGCGAATGACACACAACAACCCTTTGTCATCCTCTCATCTTACACGTGCGTGTCAATATGAATCCTTGTTATCACCTCAGATTCCTGCACACCTGCACTGAAGCTATGGGGCATTCCTCTAAAAACTAACAAGCCACCAAAGAACAACATGAGTCTTTGTCCTCTTGTGTGTTTAATGCAATTTCTGTGAGTCCGTCCTTCCGAACAGCATTACGATAAAGCACCACACACACACACACACACACTTGGCTCAAGGTCATTCGTTACAGAAGAAAGCTCCAATTCCTCTTCTTCGTCCACACGGTGAAACAACTTTAAAATGGTTGACTTGTGGCATTTTCTCACCAACTCCTGAAGACGCAGGAGCGCAGGGAGGAGGTTGGCATCGGCGTCTCTGAGGAGCTCCGCTTTTTCCATCACCTGAAAAATATGCGTGTCCATTTGACATGGTTTTGCAGCCATGCAAACATTACAGTGACTCGACGTGTCACAGGAGGAATTTCCTTTTCATTGTTTGGCCGTAACGTGCGCGGCACTCACGATATATCGCGTCTGCTCGGCGGGACGCTGGGAGCGCTGCTGTCGGTAGACGCGGACAAAGTCAGACAGGGAGGGACTGCGGGGGAGCAGCGAGGCGGCGTCGCAGCCGAAGAAGGACAGCAGGACTTGTTCAAACAGCACCGCCACGGAGAGGCATTCGACACAGCTGACCATGGCGTGAGGCAGCTGCAGAGAGGAGGAGGAGGAGGAAGCGTGAGAGGCAAACCGGGTTCATATCTGCTGAACTCGATGCACACTGCATCTCCTTTGAAACAGAGATGATGAAGAAAATGACCTGCAGATGAATCGATAATGAAAGTTGTTTGCAGCCTTAGTTGGTTACTTTATTGTATACATTGTGGCAACTGCCTTAGGTTTGATCCCATGGCATTACAAACAATGCATTCATGTACACATTTGAAAAGATATAAAGGAGGTGACGCATTGAACAAGGAAGACTCGCTGTACACATTTTTGCCAGCTATTTCTTAAGTATTAGCGTCTCCCTGAGGTTAAAAGCTCAAAGTGTAGGTGCAAAGCATGTGAAGGAATCTAAATCAAACACCTTGTGATTGCATCCATGCATTATGAATCAAGAAGGGAAACACACACAAAGATGTGCGACTGGGGTGCAGATGAGCGAGAACAGTGCAGAAGGAAACCACACACACACACACACACACACTCTCCTTGACATGGCAGAAAATGTCTCTCTCACCTCAAGTTCCTTCAGCAAAACATGCATCACGTGACTCTTCCCCGAAGACCGGTGACCGTAGATGAAGATCGAGGGGAAGCTGTACTGGTGAGGCTGAAAGAAACAAGATTCAATAGATTTGTAGAAACTTTCTCAAGAGCATTCAGATACAAACAACAGTGGAAATGTATCCAGCTATTTCCCACAAGACAGTACAAGAAAGGACTGTAAAGTAGGTCGAGCTCGTCCAAACCCGAAACACTAAGCTAACCGCTATTCCTTCCACTCACCCCGGCCTAACGTCACCTACCTGCCCCATGAGCGACAGCAGCATGCCCGCCTGGACGTCTCTGCAGGGCAGCTGCCCGCAGACCCGCTGCAGGCGCTCCTCGTCGTATCCGGGATGCTGTACCAGCGCTGACATCGCGAGCGTCGCTCTACCAACCGTAACACCGTGTGACGCTCGCGTTGGGTCGGTGACGACCGGCGATCCACAACCAGCCGACCGCTAGCCGCCGCAGTCACAGCACGCGCCAGACGTTACTCGGTATAAAACGCGAAAACGCGGGACATTGTCAGGAAACGATTCATTGTGAACGTCACAGGATATTTTGGAAATACATAAAGCCAATAATGACATGCGAATAAGACTTAAAACGCGGTGAAAAGCTAAAGTTGGAGCAAGCACTCGAGGACGCTCTCGTGAGTTTCGCGCGCGCCTTCAGATTACGTTGAATGACGCCCTTTGTTCACTAGCCAATCACAAGTTCCGCAGCAAAGGATCATGGGGAATGGAGTTTGTGGTCTTTCGAAAACAATTGTATCGATTAAATAATGGTACAGAAGATAATTGTATGTAAAAGCGTCTTATATATATATATGTATAAATGTATTATATATATATATAAATATAAATATATATATATAATATATAAACTGACAACTGGTCAGCGACTGTAAATACAAGATCCAGAATAGTAATAAGTAATAAGAGATGTTGAAATGCACATTATACATTTTCATATTTATTTTTTGATTTAGCGTGCAGAAATATGAACAGTATATCATGCAGGTCCAACACGATGAAATGTTTTTAGCGGTGTGCCTGTTTAATATTTCGCGCGTGTTGCTGCAATAATGCGTCAGACTGGGATTAGGGGATGTGGGCCGGCCCTGTGGTATCGAAGGCGATCCTCCTACTCCAATTCACTCCGGGATCTCAGCTGCCGGTTGTCGGTCCGTCGGCGTCGAGCACAGGCTCGCACAGTGAACCACAGAGCCGCGGACCACCTCGGAATAACATTCAGGTAGCGACATTTTGAAAATACACGTGAGGACAAATGTAAAAATGATGGAAATTCCATAGCGTTTTGTTTTTTTTATTATGCCGGAGCGCCCGTTTCGTTTCGTTTTTTGCGAGGCTGATGAATTAAAATCAGCCCAAAAAACACAATCTCCGCTCTCGCCGTGGATACGAGCGCGCACTGATGCCGTGGCTGAAAAAAAAGTATTAACAAAAAAAAAAATCTAATCAAATCTCAAAATAGTGACGAAGTTCTGCAGAACATCGAGCTTTTCGCTTCTTTCTTTTTTTGTACGGATCAGATGCGGCGGATGTTAGTTTGCTGAGGCACAGGTCCATCGACCCCCCCCATCCACCCATCCCCACCCCGGGCCCCACCTTCACCCAGACCGGAGCATGATCCCGGGGGCCCCCGGCACGACCACCACCATGCTGCCCGCCTCCGAGGCGGCCAAAATCTACCAGACCAACTACGTGCGGAACTCCCGCGCCATCGGCGTCCTCTGGGCCATCTTCACCATCCTCTTCGCCATCGTCAACGTGGTGTGCTTCATCCAGCCGTACTGGATCGGCGACGGCACGGACACCCCGCAGGCGGGCTACTTCGGTCTGTTCCACTACTGCATCGGGAACGGGCTGTCCCGGGACCTGACCTGCCAGGGCAGCTTCACCGAGTTCAGCACCATCCCCTCCGGCGCGTTCAAGGCCGCCTCCTTCTTCATCGGCACGTCCATGGCGCTGGTCCTCTCCTGCATCGGCTGCTTCGCGCTCTTCTTCTTCTGCAGCACCGGGACCGTGTACAAGATCTGCGGCTGGATGCAGCTGGCTGCAGGTAGGGGACTCTGCTGGTTTCAGAGGGGCTCCAATGAGATTTCATTTTTTTTTAAAAGAAGTGCTGAAGGGTTTGCCCGCATCTCCTCAAAAAGTTAGTTTAAAAAGCTCCATGCGGTCGGTCTGATGAGGATCCAGATGTTCTGCTGCTTGAAAGGTCCGGTAGTGTCCCCTCAAACGAGTATTTACTTTAATGGGAATTGTTCACAATTATGTTTTTGTCTTCATCAGATTGTAAAATAAATGCATATAGCTTTTACTCAGATTGCATTCCTTCTTTTTCAGTTTTTTTTAACTTATATATTTTAAACATTTCTGTTGTTCTCGAAGCCTTAATAAACCATTATGCAACCATAAGTGTAGGTGGTTAAAAGATCATATTTGTTAAATAATGAAAAGGCACATTTTCTTTTTACAATCTCCTGAAAATGAGATCAGGTCGACCGAGGTCACTCATAATACACACAGAGGTGTGATTTCCTTACATCACCGTGAACAAAAAACCTTCAGAGGTGTCACAGTCACCGATGATTAAATCCCTGAAATACAACATATTACAAAGTAAACCGTGGCTGTCGTTATTAAAGCTTAATAAACCCTCATCCACAAACAGCTGACTTTTGGTTGTGAGACTTTTAGACGCAAGAGCCCGTTGAATGGGAAAGACCAACGGATCAAAGAGACGCGTAGTGTGCGACTGACTGCTTCTCCCTGCCCTCATTTATTCTGTCACATTTCCAGCATCGTCTCTGGAGTAGACGGAGAAAAGGTTCATTTCCTTCCACAGCGATATTTTCAAATAAGTGGTGCGGATTTTTATTTCTCAGCCAAGTGTCTCAGTTCACGCGGGACATTCACACGTTTATCAACTTGAACATTTTCCCCTGTAAATCTTTACTTTTGGTCAATTGGATCTAGAGCAACAAAAGCGCTGATTTATTTTAGGATTTTAGAAAGATTGAATTTACCAAGAAACGCAGACGACAAATATTTGGATGAAAAACCACATTTTGTTTTGTTTTTTAAAATATTTTTTATTGTTGAGGCTTTTCTACCCAGATTTCATATGAAAATCACAGTATGAATATTTCCACGCACAAACTCGGTTATTTTACATTCACATTCAGTGTAACTTGCTCCTATTTGAAAACCGCAGATTGAAATGATTTTCTTTTTACATGTAACCTCTCTGATTTCTCACCGAGCTGCTCAGCGATAACTGATGACTATAAACTACTATGAGATGTAAATTAAAGAGATATCTTCGTGGTTTCAGCTGCAAACATTCACACGTTTACATTAGCAAACGCTCAGGCACTATTTGCATATAAGTGATAAACAATAGCGGACAAGGTGAAAAAAGGAAGAATGCCTTTAAATACCCTTCAGTGAGATGGTGGACTTTTTGAATTGCTTTTTGAATAAAGCGTCATTAATAGACCAAACCGACCGAGTGTGCAAATGAAGGACCTGTAGAGACACGCAGAGAAACGCATAATGACTTCTTGAGTATAATTTAAGGTTGGTAATTCTCATTTAAATCTAATTTGTGTGTATAATATCCCCACATCGCCACGGATGGCTGCTTGTAAAAACACAGCTTGTTCTCAGATGGGAATTGAACGTCACACCCCATGATAATCACATTCATAGAGAGCGCGCTTCTATTTCTGCCTACAGACACACGCGGCGGCTTAATATTTATCGTGACTCGGGGTGAACATGTGTCCCGGGGTGAACATGTGTCCCGGGGTCTGCCGATCAGCCCGTTTCGCCGGGAAAACAGAAACGACAGAGTGGAATCTAATTACTCAGCGCACCAGCCGTCGATCGGATGTAGAGGTCATTGGGGGCCGTTGGCCAGATGTGAGCAAGTAAAACCCGAAACACAACTCCAGCTGCTGTGAGCGTTGATGAGCTCCATCAGAGTCCATCCTGGCAGTTTGAGTTCTTTTTTTCTTCTTCTTCTCGTGTGTTTGTCTCAAATCTGACCCAAAGAACCCAGTCAGGTTTTCTTCTGTGGTGTTTTTGGTGGAATGAGTACATTTTGCAGCTGAAAGTCCTCGCGGTCAGATGTTGTGTCAGCTGTGATCTGCCATCAGAGACCGGAGGCCGTCCTCTCCTCCAACGAGGGGATGTCCTGAATATTTGATCGCTGTAATAAAGTAGTTGTTTCTTTGCCTCTTCGCAGATGTGAAATATACACAGCTGGCCCGAGCAGAGAGACAACAATTTTCAATCATGTTTGAGGCTTCCTGTCACATAAACCTCAACCTGATTGGAAAGAAAAACAGGAGATTTATTCAACAAATGAAGTGTTTCATCCCCTCAGAGATAAGTTGAAATCCATAATGTTCTAAACGCTTTCCAATTAGTTTTTCTTCTATTTTTGTACAATGTTTTTATAAATTAAAAAAAGCGATTTGGAGACCGCCAACCTAAAGGCCGTCAAGATTAGTAATGGCTCATTATTTGTGTATATCAAGTCATAAACGAGTGCTTCATTTGGCGCTAATGAATCCATTAGTTACCATTTAAAAAAAACGTTCACTGAAAAGGAAGTGATGCTACAAACAGGATGAACGTTGGTGCCCAATAACCCCCGACGGCCTCCAGAGCCGTGATGGACATCTGGATCTCTGCAACGCCTGCGTGGAACCAACAGCTGCACATTTTCTGCTCTTATGTTCTTTTGTATGTTAAACATCTGATAATCACACGAGCAGCAAATGGAGTCTCTGAGTATCCATGAATCTTGAACGTGTGAAACATATGATTTTCTTCATAATGATTTTCTCAAGCCCCCCCCAGAAAAAGCTGAAATCACTAATCTGGCCCCTTAATAGAAATCCTGTGCGTTTTACACTCATCCGAATTAAATAGCCACATTAGCTCTGAACATTTAGCTGAGGTGGTCAGGCGGAGAGCTAATGACATCAGGCCCGTCTTTATCCTCTCACACGTATAATGAAGGAGCTGAAGGGTCTTAGAGGCTTTAAAGTGATGTAACACGACCACACAGGAGACTGAGACACAAACAAACACACACACAAAGACGGAGAAGCTATTAGTGTCCACCTGAATGTTTTCAGATGAAACCTTCTGCCCTCATTTTCTTTTATTTCCTCTTTTGACCACACACACACACACACACACACACACACACACACACACACACACAGAGTTGAGTGCTCAGCTGGTTCTAACTGACCGCCCTAAAAGGAATTATATGCTTTTTGTGAAGCGCCGAGAGTTCTTAGTGAATGGACGGTGGTGACGTCCAAAAAAATAAAAAAAGTACCAAAGCGTGAAGAAAAAAGAGAGATGTTGACGCATGAGGGGAATCGGCCTAATTTGGAGTCTGAGGATTAAGGAAGTGGATCGCCTCCTTCAGCTGATGGGGTTTTTAAAGGGACAGCAGCCGACCCAGTGACCCTGACCCCTCGCTAAGACTCTCACAGCCTCAGCGGCCCTTTGAGTATACGGAAACAACCAGCAGAGCAACGACGGAGGGAGACAAACGAGCCACTTTTGCACATGAACTCTACTCGAAGCATCTTTGGCGTGGATCTGAAAAACACGCTCGCACAAATAATTGCCACGGTCACGTCGCCTCGATGACGACGGACCCGCCGTCCTGAGGTGATGGTGAATCGGTTCTTCTATTAGCCGCGGCGCGATCGACAGACGGGGCCCCGGGAGCGGCGGGAGGCCCGTCCCGAGGTCAGCGGGAGCGGTGAATCTGAATTGGTTCTGGCACATTTGGAGCCCCGAGTGTGACGGACGGTTTTGATTGCGGACCAGTTAGGAGGTGGAATGAGCAGAGCGATGGAGGTCGTGTGGGACGAGCACGAGGAGGAGAAGAGGGGACTTGTAATTGTGCTCCACCAAATGGATGCACTGCTCAGGTTATCTGCAACGACATGAGCAGCAGAGGAAGTGGTGCTGATATATATATATATATATATAATGGCTACAAGGCCACAGACGGAAGCCTCCATGCTAAGGAGGACCCATCCTCGGTGCGCTTTGTCTATTAGCACAATATCCCAAAGATTAAAAGGGCTCCAAACAATGTTTTTTATATTAAAATTGAATCCCATCATTATTCTCTGCAGCTCCCCTTCAGCTCCACTTAGCGCTTCGCCAACCTTCGGGCTCATTGTTTTTGGTTTTTAACACCCCCACGTTGCGGCTCATGGTCCGTCCCACCCACGGTGCTCGTCCAGCAGCAGGTGTTTTTCAGCAAAACGGCCCAGACGAAACCGTCCTGCCCACCCAGCGGGTCTAATGACGGCGGTTTGTATTCAGTCAATATCGCTCATCAATTGCACCTTTTTTCTTTTTTAATTTTCTCCCAGGAAGCGACACAAAAGAGTTGATGGTCCCACACGTTTCTGTCGCGTCCAGCCGAGGCCGGAGGAAGAAACTCTGCCGCTCAGGAACCCTGCTGGCATCTTCCCCAGATGTGTTTCCCTTTTTAAATCGAGTGTCCAGTTGGCAGACTGAGGGAGCCGGCTGATGGGGGGGCAGGGGGGGGGGTCTCTCCAGGAGCCTCTGCAGGAGGTGGACGTAATGAAACGATGGGGTGTTTAATAACACACCTAACCAGGTGACAGTTATGGGGGAGCCAACAGCAGGGGGTTCGGGAGGAAATGAGAGCGCTGCATATAGCAATTCCAAATGTGTGTGTGTGTGTGTGTGAGAGAGAGAGAGAGTGAGACAGGCAGATTTATTCAGCGAGTGCTTTTCAGACTGTTTTCCTCTCGCTGTCGTATTATCCCCGTTGTATTATGTTTCCCCCGAGGGAGCGTCACTAAGTAGCTCGCCCGCTGCACAAGAAATGAGTGAGAAATCCCCCACCAGGGGAGCGTGATCATCTGGAGGAGCGTAAGCTCGTCCCAGAGGACAACAAAAGTACTCGTGTTTTTCCTGCTGCCTGTTGTTACGGGAAGCTTCCCGGATAACACTAATTGACTTATGACGGACGCCGAGCGGCTACCAGTTTGTTTGTTTGTTTGTTTGCAGGTTGAATTCCCCTTAATTGTGACCTGAGGGCAAAGATTTGAACACAGATGGTTCTAATGATGTCGTGTTTGCATCCGCATGTTTGCTGGGGGATTAAACAGGATTTCTGTGGGATGGATTCTGCTATTTCCATGTTGGCAGTGGAGAAAAATAAGAAACGCAGACAAAAAAAAAAAAAAGATGCGACGCTTTGATTGGTATTTTCAAGGAAGAACAACAACAAAAGGCTACCTGCTATTTGGTTTTAGTTTTTTTAAAGGGCACCTTTGACGACTTGACGGCTTTTTTGTTTCCCTTTCACACACAAATGAGTGACGAGCAGCTACATCGAGCTTCTTGCTTTCACGTGTTTCAGAGGGGGGGGGCGGGCTTTATAGACTTCCCATCAGGGGGGGTATGGGGGGGCTTATCGTCTCGATCACTGGGCCGCGGTGATTTATCCTCCTCTTACCGAGCGAGGCGGCAGGACGAGGACGCTGTGACCCGTTTCAAGCTGTGTTTCTTCGTTGAGGTGCGTTTGACTGATGTTGGTTTCGTTCATCTCAGCGACTTCATCGCTCCTCAGATGCTGTTATGGCACCTGACTGACGTTGTTTGAGGGTGAATGATGATCTGGTGAAGTTTTAAGTGTTTAAACTCCAAGAAACTCTCATTTCGGATGACAGTAAAGAGGAAGTGACTTTGAGATGGGATTTTAGGTGATGCGTCACTGTTGGTTTCTATTATGTCGCTCATGTTCTGCTGTCTTTTGCCATACTGATTGTAATGGAAAGATGTCTCGTTTTAATATAATATGCTGACAATGACTGTTTAGTCTGATGTGAATGAATGAATTGCATTTGTTAGGAGAGAAATATGAATCTGAAATGTAAACACAGTTGCAGTTTGGAAATACCAAAGCGGGTAATGACCCCTGGATGGGATCGGCCGGGCGAGGAACCAGGCTACCTCCTGGCGCTGGTTTCCCTGCCGGGCACCGATGATCCATCGACGATCGCGACAGGAGCTGCTGAACGAGGAGCTGCGTGGAAAACACGACTAACAAGGTTAACATTGGGAAACGTGTCGGCGGGGGGACTGAACCAAAGACAGCTCGGTGAAAACTGGGAGCAGACGTGGAATTCAAGTTTAACCTTTTTTCTGTCACGGATCAGAAATCCCAGACTCTGAGGAAGCGAGCGTGGGGAGAGGGGACGTTTGTTGTTGCAATGAAGTTCACAGCCGTCAATGCTCTTCCTCCCTTTTCGAGCTTGCCGGTTGCCATGGAAACGCCTCTCTCTCTCACTCCGTGCCGCTTTGGCCGCCGCCGCCAGGCAGCATCCCGGCGCTCTCGCTCTCCGAGACATCGCTTGGTTGTGAGCTGCCGGGTCATCAAGGAGCCGGCGACAGATAGAGGAGACGATGTGGGAGCTGATGCACCGCCCGGCGAGGAGGTTCACTGTGTCTCCACGGCAACCGGCATGGATTCAGGTTAAAGGCGGTTTGGCTGCTCTCTAAAGCCCACCGATGGCGTCCGGTCACAAAGTCGCAGGTCAGGAGAGCGTCAAACATCACAGCTGCAGGACGAGCGGCGAGATGAGGGCTTCGCTTCTGGCGTCCATGTTACCGTAGCAACACCGGAAGCAGGTTGACTGCTTTTACTCAAGGAAAGGCAGCAACATGCACGACTTGTCATTCATATCAACACACAGGTTTAGCTTCTACACTCTCCAACCTTTTGGAAAAGCGGTTGACCAAATAACCTCAACTCGAGCTCCGCCTGCTTGCGCGTTCAAACCACATCGCATGTTTTCGGGGCTGCGCCATTCTCTTAACAGGGAAGAAATACACACATTTTACTTCTTTGGGATCAAACAAACTGTGAACGATGCTTGAGCTGTTTAACACGAGATACAGCCAATAAAAGGCTGTCTTTGGAGATTTGGTCGACTGCAGTTTCCAATGTTCCAAGATTGCAATTTTAATCTCAACTTTTGGCCCAGAATGGATGAAAATAAAAGAAAACGTGTTTTTATAGTTGAAAGACCTTGATGTCTGTGTGTAGAAAGGTCAAAGGCTTTAGCAAATGAGCAAATACTGTAAGAGCTTTCCATTCTTCCTATCAGTTTGGTGGATTTTCCGGCCCCTCACATGATCATCAGTGCGAGAGAAAGGCAGCGAGAAGACGCAGCTCGAGAGAAAAGGAAAATAGGAGAAGCTGGACTCTCCACCACTGCCGCAGATCAGAGACGCCGCTGAAACGGAGCGGAGCTCGACTTCAAAAAGGCAGCTGGAGAGAAAATAGGGGCAGCGTTAAAGATTCAGAGCTGTCGCCAACATCTGAGGAGGGCGAAGCGGAGAGCGCGCGCCCGAGCCGTTAAGAACGTGCAACATCAAAGAGCGGCGCTCCGACCATTATCGGCGTCGGGGTTTGTTCAAATTCACACTGCGGCACTGAGGTGGTGTCGCTGCCCATGACACTCATCAGTCGTCGCCATGGCGACACAGCGTCTCCCTCATCGGGCCCCTCGGCCCGCGGGAGCGACGGCCTCCCACCACCCGACATTACCCGGCGGTCGGGTAGAAATCAGAGGAGGCTTTTGATTGAAGCTGGTTTGGAAGACTGAGCGACCTGAAAGGAGGGCGGATGGAACTTCTGAAGTCGTCTCCTGTGTACTCCAACGCAGCAGAGGGAAGGAGGGGAACAATACCTTCGCCCGGGAGTGTTATCAGAATAACTTTTATGCAGATGCTGACTAGAATAGGAGCGCTTGGCGTCTGTGGCGTGCCGAGGGCTTTCAAATGAGAGAGAAGTCTTAAAACAATCCTAATTTGCTAACTAACTGAACAGGTCTTTGAAGTGTGGCTCCTCTGCCTGGGAGCCGGCCTCCGCTCGGATGGAGCAAGCCGGTCTGTCTTCATGAGGCGCGACGGGATTCCGGTCGAATTCCCTCCGGGCCTTCACTTCAAACCTCACCTGAGAAAGACAAAGAGGCTCACGTGCCTCACGTGCTCAGCGTCTGTGCTCGAAACGGGACAACGTCACCCTCATCACCCTGATCTGCCGGTTCATTTCTGTCTCTCATCCTTATTTCGAACACACACAAACAGCAAACTGCCACTCAGGTTATTTTAGGCCTGAGCTGCGTAACGCAAGCTCCTCTTTCCTCGGCTGTTTCTTTCCTTTCTTCATCTCTTTGTTTCTCTGTTGGCTCGTCATCTCTTCGGGGAACGGAGCGGCACTGGTTGCTGTGTTTCTGACGTTTCAGCACTGCGGTGAGAGGACAGCTCCCTGCGAGGGTCCACTGATTTCCTTCCCTCTGTGATTATTGTCCATCATTGTTTATGGCCACACATACAATTATGATTTAATGAGTCCGCAAGTGCTGAACCAAGCGCGTTGCTCACGCCAACGTTAATAAAAGACCCCTGATCATGTCATTTGTTGGCTGACTGCGCAGACTTTTCTGCCTTTTGACTTCCGTCCAGCTTCACCGACACCTTTCTGGAGGATTCTCTGCGTTGACCTCAGCAACTGACCTCCTCCCCCCTTTCCGCCACGAGGAGTCGCCCTCAGGAGGCCGGCGTGAACTTCAGCTCGATATTAACCGCCTCGTGCAGAGCGAGGGCACGACTCGATTGAATCCCGCAGCGTGTTTTCTTGAACATTTCTGAATGTTTTGAAGTGTTTTTCTGGATCCGAAACGTTATCCGGAGCTCCGCGGGTTTGAAGATATAGACGCTCGTGTTAACGCGTTGAAGAAGAGCGGACACGATTCCTCGTTCGTCGATGATGGGAGGGATTGTGTGCAGGTCACACCGCGGCTGCAGGGGATGCTGAGATGAAGCAAGAGGCTGACCCCGGTGTTGTTACTGCTAAATGTGGAAGTAACCCACCTTGGGGATAGAAACAATTTCTGTTTGAGCTTTGCTGCAACAGGATGTCAGGTAGAAGATTAAATTCAGTATATTTGAAGGCATTTAGATGATTCTGGTTGTTTACGGGAAAGAGGGCATTGTACTAAATCCTCTCATGTGGATAAAAGGAAATCCACAGTAATACGCCGTGGAAGACATGGTGAAAGTTTATTCTTTAGTGAACATTAAAAAACATTTCCCAAAGAACAGTCAGAAATTCTAATTAAGTCTATGGTAAGAATAAGCCGTGGATTTGTGTTTTTCCCAACAAGCAGTCCTGTAAGTGGACCGCGTGGCTCTTTCTCTCCCAAACGGGGCACGTTGTGTCTAATAGAAATGCCATGAAACACATTAACAACAACCACCCAAGGCTGCTTTGCTCACTTTTCTTTCTCCCTCTTGCTCTGACAACATTGATCTCCAAACTCAGGAGGGCTGCAGTCGATGCCTCCTGGGAAATGTAGTCGTAGGATATGGATTAGAGTGCTTCTCCGTCAATGCTAGCAATGAGCATTATTACGGCAGCTTGTCTCGGCTTTAATCGGTACTTCTGTGGCAGCGACGTTTCCGTCACGACCAACAGGAAAAGCAAACACGACCCAGCGACTGCGTAGCGGCCTCTTTTGTCATTTGCCATCGAAGCATTAAAACCTGTGATATTCAGGCTTTCAGCAGCACCGTCCACCAATAACCCGCCCGTCTCTCTCCCCCCGACGCAGGCACCTGTCTGATTCTGGGCTGCATGATCTACCCGGACGGCTGGGACAGCGACGAGGTGAAGCGGATGTGCGGCGAGCAGACGGACAAGTACACGCTGGGGGCGTGCTCGGTGCGCTGGGCCTACATCCTGGCCATCATGGGCATCCTGGACGCCCTCGTCCTCTCCTTCCTGGCCTTCGTTCTGGGGAACCGCCAGGACGGCCTGATGTCCGAGGAGCTCCTGGGAGACAGTAAGAGGACGCGGCCGTAGACGGTTTTCCTTTTGAAGGACGCGGCTGGTCAAGAGAAACCGTAAACCGTGTTTTATGATCGTCCACCTTCCTCGTGTTCAGGACCTTTCAATGAGTAACTGCACTGATAATGGATAGTTTTACCACTCTAAATAGTCCAGATCAATCTGAGGGGAACGTTTCTTTTTGATTCAGGGAAAAAACACAAGGAAGTTCATCAGCCAAAGAACTATTCAATTCACCAAATCGTTGTTTCAGCTGCACTCTTTAGAAGACGTGTGCTCATTTCAAAGTGGAAGCACCAGAGTAGAAAAGTGCCTTTTTTAAATACTTATTCCATGGTAATTCATGCAGCACTTTAACAGGGCCAGTTTGGTACACAACAGCAAAATAAAAGCTTAATTGGCCTTTACATTAGAGCTCCGTGCTGTAATGCAGACCAAAGACACACGATTCCAGCTGCAGCTTGAAGCTGAAACCTAATTTCCTCTCTGGGTAATTCCCCACGACACAGTTAATCATTTTCTTATATTAGCCGGATGTTATAAACCACCTGCTCGCTGCGGTTACCATCGAGATATTCCTGCCTCATGACAACTCGCGGCACAAAGAGGATGATTCAAACGAGCGAGGAAGGAGGCGCGATGACGAGGAGGAGGAGGAGGATACAGATGAAGAGCGGCGCAGAGAGAGGAAAGGAGGGTAATGGGGATGCTGGACCGAGTCATGAATTACTAATGGCTGTTTACACAGCTTGCTGCCAGCCTGTCCGAATGAATCAAAGCCCCCCCCCCCTCCCATCAACCCGGGACACAGTCGCCTGTTAGCTCGCTCGAGCCAAAAGACCGGGAGGAAGAAGCTGTTATCAAGGAGACGGATGATGAGCTGAGGAAGAGGATGAGGGAGGAAGAGAGGCGGGTGTGCATGAAATATGAGCATGAAAAGTGGGGGATTCATCAAACAGAGGAGGATGTTTTATGAGGAGGATGTTTTTTTTTTTTTTTTTAATCTTCAGTAGGATGGATAGTGACGCTTGTCCACAAACGGTGTTTTTAACGACGCGTTACACGTCTGTGCAATGCTGCCACCTGCTGGTTAAAAAGATGGAGCACTTATTGTACATCGAACTGACTCCTTTTCTTTTCTCCCCACAGCGAGCGGCAATATATATATATTTATATATAATATATATATATATAATATATATATATATATTTATATATATATATATATAATATATATATTTATATATATATATATTATATATTATATATATTTATATATATATATTATATATTATATATACATATATATTATATATATATAATATATATATATATATTTATATATTTATATATTATATATATATATATATATCAGTTTATGATAAAGCAATCACAAATACACAGGTCAGGATCATATGAGAGATCAGTATTGTTAATAATGTCGAGATGGCGGCCAACCTTAATCTTACGTTTCCACCGCTGTACCTCTGTGGAAAAAGAAATGTAGTTTTTTAGTATTGTTCACATTGCGACGCATTTTAATGTGTCATTTAAATGTCCTGCTTTACATTTAATGACCAAATAAGCAAGAATCAAAGTCATTCCTACGTATATAGGAGTTGGAATTCATATACTCGGAATTCAGAAAAGAGGTTTTGCCACTTCGTAACATAAAAGTAATAGATATTAACCTCCTTGTATATTTAGTTAAAGCGTCACAAATTACTGAAAAATGAAGTTCTGCAGGTTTGAACAAAGCTTGGTTGCATAGTGGGAGGTTGTAAAGACCCTGAGTGCAGATATACAAAGTAAATAATGCAACGTCATGCTCCTCAAGCGATCAACATAATTATCACAAAACGGTAGTAATCAGTAAAAAAGAAAAAAAGTTAATTTTTACAGATTTGACGAGATTGTGCTTCTCGCCCGGCAGGTCTCACCGCCCGGGCGTGACGTCACTTCACGATGCAGCTTCCTTCTGCTGGTGGAGCTGATGTCTCGGATGGAAGGCGAGGAGGTCCGAAAGGCCGCACAACTTTGGGTGGAGACCAGGACGCTGCTTGGTCTCTCTGAACGCTGCCCGTGTCTCCAGGACGGACGGACGGACGGACACACACACACACGCACACAACGGAGCGACAGATCCAGACTTTGAACGACACAGATGAGGACTTTTAAAGACTTGAGGTCAAAGGCGTCACATCTGCCTTCAAGGACACAAACTTCCCGCAAAGGAGACCGGTTTGACCTTTGACCCGACTGCAGTTTTGTTACAGTTTAATGTTTGACGTGATGGATTCAAATGTTGTGAATAGACGTTTTGCTGTTGACAACCTTGGAAAATGTCATAAATAGAAGAATATAAATTGATGACAAATAGCCGGTGTTTTAGCTGTATGTAGATTGGCGATGTACTTTGTCTTGACGTTGAAATGTCTTGATGCATTATTAGTGCGTGCCGAGCAGTGTCTTGTGATCCGACAGTATTGTGCTAACAGTCGTGCATCTAAGAGAGATTCATATTACATTTCAACAAAGCATTTAAAAAAATAAAAATAAAAAAAGCAGAAAGTAGGTGCAACACAGCAACTCGAGAACTGTGACACTCCTTTGATATTCGTCCTGTTACTTCAGTTAAAATAGAGACATTACTTGTCTCTGAAGCCCGAAGGCGCAAGAAGAAGGTAGAAGAAGGTCGTGTGTCAAGGTGACGACATTGATTTGGATCCTTTTCACACAGGTGATCTCATGAAGAACTTAGAAGTGGATCCAAAGTGTCAGATGTAATAAAGAAATGAACACATTTGCTGAGGAATGTGTGCAATATTGTGTTAAAAGGTTCATTGTTTTAAAATAGTGAATAATTACACTTTGTAACATGTTCACATACCTTGCATGCAGCATCTGAAGGATGGGAACAATTTCAATGTACAATTTCTGCAAGGTGAGTCGATTATAGTTTAATGTCACGTTGAGGGTTCACACAACGTTGTTCAGAACCGTCGCCGCCCTTTCTGGGGCAGAGAAAAGTCACCGTATGCCACAAGTCACACGTACCAGTAGCCTATGAAACCGTTTGGCCATATTGTGACTTTTTTTCTGACTTTGACAATATTGGATATAATTAAATGTATGGTCTTTTTGTAGCATATTATACATTGTAAATCTTTTGTAACATTGTGTTGAATATTTTTTATGCCATCCTAACTGATTAAATTATGCTATTTCTATGACATTTATCATAAATTAACCTTTAAAAAGTTTTTTTGGGGCACACAATACGACTTTCATAATCAAGAAATGTCATCTGCAGCATGTTGAATAAAGTGAAGAAGGTCACAGTAAAGTTACAGTGTAGATCCCTGCAGAAGGTTTTGTTCCCAGTCTTCTCTCCTGGAGATTCATCAAAAGCTCGCAGAGACGCAGGACACAACAAGTTGTATAGAACTGTCATTACAGTGATTTATTATAATGAACCATGAAAATAGCCGAACAGTGCAGTGTCTGTGAGTCTCTGCCCTCCACACAAACATACACTCACACACACACACAAAGAATACAAAAAAAAAAACAAAGACAAAGTTGAAAAGTCCAGAGAGGGAAAGAAATCAAATAAAAATAATGCTACAGTCACAGAAACATTCAGCTTTGCCAAGAAGAGCGTTCATATTTACAACCATATTTCCAAAAAATGGGATGGGAGCCAATTGTACAAGCATAGAAAAGAAAGAAAAGCAAATATTTACAACCTGTTTCTGGTGAAAGCTGCAGTAACCACCTATACATTAAATTACACTTTCTACAAATAACCATTGATATTCAAAAATAAACCGCTATCGTCCTACATGTGGGAGCGAGACCCCTCTGCCTACCTCAGAAGACTACAAGCGCACACACACACACACACACACACACACACACACACACACACACACACACACACACACACACAGGCAACCATCCCCTTACTCACATACACACACCCTGTAACACACACACACACACACACACACACACACACACAGCCTCCCAGCATGGTACGGCAGGCTTTCTAGAAACGGGTCTTTTCTGAATCTGCAGCGGGGAGCAGATATTTGTTGTTAGACAGAGGAATAAAAAAAATAAGTGTTTTTTTTTCTCTGTACAAAAGCTTTTTCTTTGCTATAGTGAGCCGCTAGGTTATAACAAATAATGTGTAGAGAGACGAGAGAGAGAAAGTAAAACGAGTAACTGACAAAGGAGGAAAAGGAGGATGAAGGAGGGGAGGGCAGGGGGGGGGGGGGGTTAGGCTGGAATGTCCATTGATAAACAAAGTGCGGGGGGGGGGGGCTTACAACGGGGGTCCAAACAAGTCACAGAACAAAGAACTTCCCCCTCCATCACAGGAAGGATATATAAAAACAAACGGAGGCCAGGGGGAGCGGGCAAAGAGCACCGGGGGGGGGGGGGAGGGATCGTCCATCTTCCTTTTCACCAGTTCGTCTTGAAGAGTTTTTTCACTGTCCTCGTTTTGTTTGTATTCTTGAAAAGTATCTTTTTATCCCACAAGCAGCTGTTCTTCCACTGGCCACGTGTTCAGGTACATAGAAAACATATTTACAGCTTATGATACACGCCCCTCTCCGGCAGAGTTCTCAGGGGCTCCCGCTGGGGGGTTGGGGGGGGGGGGGGGGGTGAGGGGGTCGTCAGTGCCACCCAGTGCTCAGGTAGCCCGAGCTGTGGAAGGGGGTCGAGGACGCAGGGGCGCCACGAGGGGAGGCAGCGGCCTGGGCCTGGCCTTGTTGAGTCTGTTGGGGGGGTGGAGGGGGAGGTGGGGGCAGTCCGGTCTGCTGTAGGGGTGGCGGGTAGGTCGACGGGGGCACTGACGGGTTGGCGGTGGCGCCTGGGTGCAGCAACGCCGGCTGAAAAGCCCCCAAGTTCTGAAAGTGGTGGGGCTGCATCTGGGCGTTGGTCGAGGGCGCGGGGGGAGGCGGGGGAGGCGGCGGGGGAGGGGTCAGCGACAACAAGGCGCTGCCGGCGGGAGGCTGCTGCTGAGGGGCCTGGCCCTGCGAGGGAGGAGGGGGGGGGGGGAGGGGGGGCGGCGGTGCTCAGCATGAGCTGGTGTTGCTGGATGGGAGACGGCTGCAGGTTGACGTGCAGCAGGGTGGGGCCAGACATCGGGTGTGGGGGCGGAGGGGGGGGCGGCGGCGCCGCGGAGCTCTGGTAATGCACACTGTGGGGAATAGTCTGCATCAGGGGTTGAGAACCAGGAGGGTACGGGGGGGCGACGGCAGGTTTAAACCCAGGGAAGGGCCCGGCGGGCGAGGCGCTCTGGCTAGGAAAATACGCCGCCGTAGCCGGTGGAGGAGGCGGGGGCGGGGGCGGGTCACTCTGCGCGTTGTACTGGGGGAAAGCGGCCGGGCCGGTCGGAGTCTGCGCCGGGGGCAGGGCTTGAGGCGGAGCGGAGAACAGCGCCCTCTGGCCGCGGTAGGGAGAGCCCTGCGGCTTGGGGGAGTGCAGGAGGGAGGGTCCGGGGTAGTGGACCGGCGAGGAGGGCAACGGCGCCGGGTGGAGCTTGGTGGGAGTCAGGGGGGCCGGCTTCGGCTTGCTCGGCGGCTGGCCGTCGGCCTCCTCCTCCTTCGCCGGGCGACTGGGAGGCGGAGCCACGGGACCGGGAGAGCAGGGCTGCGGAGGAGAGATGGCGAGCGGGTCACACAGGAGGTCGGAGAGAAAAAAAAAAAAACTAGCCGAGAAGGGTCACGCCGCCTCAACCTACCGCGTGGGTCGGCGTCTTTTGAAGACTCGGAGAGGGGCAGTCCCTCAGCGCGGGCGTGTCTCCACCTTCGGTCTCACCATCTGAGAAAAAAGGAAAATAGTATTACGTAAACTTGAACACATGAAAAATGAAAAATTCCTGCTCAGATTCCAGATGTGCAGGAAAACTCTTCCGCGAACGAGTCGTTCTTCTCACCCGCGTCCTTGTCTTTGCTGAGCAGCAGCGCTCGGTGGTAGCCGCGCTCTCGCGCCTGCTCCACAGAAGTGGACGACGTCCTAAGAGAAAATACACAAAAGGATCATCACGATCTCATTGCTGGTACTGCGCAGTCACGGACAATCACGGACCCTTTGAATCCCGACACAATTAAATAAACAACAAATAAAGCTGCACATTCAACTTCAAGTATTTAAACAGGAAATCTGGAGGAGAACATTGAACTAAAATTAAAAAGGGCAGATAGTGCTGCATTATGTATTCGAGATGTGCTGAGAGACACCGAAAACGGGTCAGAGACACACATTTAAATTTAGCCTCCATTTTCTAACGATCACTAGAAAGAATACGGCATTGGAGGTTTTGAGGGTTTTTATGAAGTGGAGGAAACGTTTTCTCTGATGTGGTTTTCATTGAAAGAGGAACTTTGCTGTAAAAGTACATTACATCACATGTCATTTAGCTGACGCTTTTATCCAAAGCGACTTACAATAAGTGCATTAAACTATACGAATCCAAGCAATTTCATCTTTTGTTATAGATAAGTGCCATTAGAAGTACAATTTAAGTGCTATAATTTGCTAGTGTTTAGTGAAACGCACCACTGTCCCTCTCCTCCTTCCTTCTCTCCTTTCTCCGCTGGCACCTCCCCCTCCTCGCTCGCCGGGGGCTCTTTTGCCGCGGTGCTGGTGGCGGTGTTGCAGAGAGGAGGCGGAGCAGGAGGCAGAGGCGCTTCACTCGTGGTCTCTAACGCGGCGGCGAAGGCGTCCACAGTCAAAGGAGGCGCGGCGGACACGGGGGAGCCGCACTCGGCCTTGGAGCCGCTGCGCCGGGCTTCGCGCTGGCGCTTCCTGTACTCCAGCAGGGACACCTGGGGACAAACCACGGCCTCAATGTCAAGTCACCGACAACGGGAGCGTTGCGTGTTAAACCAGCAGAGGGCAGCACACGGGCGGCGACTGAAAGGAGCCCATTCGTCTCTTTGGATCGTAAGAATCCACACGGTCGGAGGGGGGACGTGAGAGGAAACAGGCTCCATGTACCTCTACTCAAATCAGAAAGAATATGAAAGTATCCCTGGATAAAACATAGTGTAAGTAGCACCGCTCGCTCACCTTTTTCTTCTGTGGGGGATTCTGCGCTGAGCCTCCCCCCTCGCCCGAGCCGTCCCCGTTCAGCGAGCGCGAGAAGCCCAGTGAAGTGGCCTCCTCGGGGCAGGGGTAAAAGAGCGGCCCCTGGGCTTCAGGGAAGGGGGGCTGAGAGACGACCAGCGGCACCGTCCCCGCCGCGGCGGCCCCCGCTGCGGCCCCCGCTGCGGCCTCGGGCCTGAAGGGGGCCACCAGAGGCTCCAGGGTGTGCGAGGGGGTGAGGTCCCTTAGGTTTGAGTTGACTGGGGAGAAGTTCAGGCCAGCTGGTCCAGTCGGGCCTCTGTCGGGGCTTTTTATCCAGCCGGGGAAAGAGGAAGCACATGTTTCTGCGGATGAGGAAGCCTCGTTGCTCCCCTCGACAACCGCGCCGTCGGCCCGGTCCTCCCCGCAGTCCATAGGCTCGGCGGCGGCGGCGGCCGGGGGCTGCGGGCTTTCGGGAACCGTCGCCGTGGCGTCTGTCGGGGGTCCGTCCGAACTGGGAGCCCTGACGCACGGAGAGGAGACCAACGAAGGAGGACGGTCGGCCTGGGAGAAGAAGGAGGGGGTCAGTCAGGGGGCAAGAAGTGCACGTAACACTCGACGCAAATCAGGTTGTTGACCTAAGATACAATCACGACTGAAGCTGTAACCTCGCGTAGAAATGCGCCCCTTGCTCACCTCTTGCACGCTGGGTTTCCGGCTGACCTCCGGGGAGCTTTCCACCGAAGAGTCACTCTGTGGGACGAGAACCGATTCAGTCACTCGGGTTCTGTTACCCACGCCAACAACCGCCAACGCGCTTTGCCGGGCCCTCACCTCCTGGAGGACGTTAAGTGTCTGCGTTGGGGTGCTGGGCGGGGGCTCCGCGCTCGGCTCCTCGGTCCGGGGACGCGGCGGGGTAGCCGGTAGGACGGGGGTCGCGGGTGTCTCCGATTGGTCGGCCCTGGTGGGCGTGGCACAAGGGGAGCCGTAGGGCGTGGAGCTCTCGGACATGCAGGCGTCCAGCGGACTCAGCCGCCGCTTTTTCAGCGGCGTGGGCAACTCTGCGGGAAGAGCAGGAGCGTTCAGCCAACAGCTTTCCCTCCTTTTAAAAAAAAACGTGTGCGGGTGAACAGACCCGAGTGCTGGCCGCCTACCTGGTAGCGAGCAGGTACCGTTGTAGGCTAGAGGGCTGTCAGAGTCCCCGTTAATGGGGGGGCTGAGAGGACCCTCGCTGGGCATCAGGAGGCTTGGTCCTCTGGCCGGGCTGGTGGAGCCCTCCTCCTCCAGAGCCTGCTTCAACCATCGCTGCAAGAAGAGCAAAGATCTAGATGTGATAACAACGTCTTTACGGACGTGCAACGCGTCATACGCGCGGCCATTTTATCAGAGGACAGATGGGCGCATTTGCGGCGGCATCGCAGCCGGATGGGGCTCGTTCCAAAGCAGTACCTTCTTGCAGGAGCCGGTGGTGGGCGGGGTTTCGGGCAGTTCCCGGGAACGCCGTCTCCCGGTGGGGACCCCGGGGGTGGTGGGGCTGCGGTTAGCCAGGAATGGGGACGAGAAGCGGACGTAGTGTTTGGGGGTGCTGTAGACCTGCGGAGAGCAGGCCATGCCCGGCAGGGCGTTCAGCTGCGTGGCGAGTACTTCGGGGTCACTGCTTATTCTCAGCGGCCTCTCTGGCACCGGCTCTGGGGTCCGTACGCCGCCGCGGTCCTGCTGCTTCTCTCCCACCCACTCACTCACAAAGTGCTGTTGGAGGGGGGGGTGGAACAAAAGAATGTTTGATGTGACATGTTGGACCAAAACATTATCAAAGGTGAGGGGGTGGGTCGACCAACCCGCGCAGAAGCAGAAGCAGAAGCTGAGCTCCGGCCGTACCTTTTTAGATTTGAAGCTCTTGCTCCCGTTGCGGTGTCGGTCCGGCGCGGGCGAGCAGCTGTGCGGGGGGCTGGTGTCCGGCGCTTCGTCGGGGATGGCCTCCGGCTCGGGCGCGGCCGGCGCCTCTCCTTCGGGGGCCTCGTTGGTCAGCGGCTCCACCGACTCGGTCGGAGAGCCGGGGGCCAGGTCGGAGCAGGTGCTGATGGTGCGAGCTCGCCGCCGCTGTTGACCGATGTGCGTGCGGTTCCTTGAGAAGCTCTTCCTGTTCCTCGAGCTTTTGACCTTAGCTGGCTTCAGTCCCGGCTCCTCTTTCACCTCCAGCAGCGGCTGTGAGAAAGACAGCCAGGGGAATTTAATGGTCGTTTGTGCCGTTATGGTACCAAGCAGGGTTTTTCTTTATTTCTTCACTTGACAGACAGTTTGTTGCCTTGAGCATTTTAAAAAAGGGGGCTTTTTGTGTCCACCACGTTCTCCCCTGCATGACCGTCGGAGAATCCACCCATCTCGGGCGTGGCGGGCGGCTCCTCCTTGACGTCGCGGCGGCCGCCGAATATCCGTCTTGACGCCGCCGATTTTCTCCAGGGCCTGCTCCGTACGATTATCCCGTTTCTCCATCCGGGCAAAGGCCTGCAGAGTGGCCTCCATCTTCCTCTCTTCCCGTGTCTGCGGAGAGAAAAGGCGCGGGGGGTGGGGGGGGGGGTTCGGAGGGAGGGGTGATGGGCGGGGAGAGGGAGCAGAGCCGTGAGTCCAAAGAGAACCACTCTCCCACACAGAGGTACGTAGAGGTGCAACGCGGCAAAAGACCAGCAAGCTGTGCAAAGTGCAGCGCGGCGAGTGAAAGAAAGGCGTAAAAATGGCACCTTGCATTCATAATAAGAGGAAGAAGAAAAAAAAAAAAGGAGAGGAGGTCAGGCAGAAGCAACAGGAAAAACTTTGTGGGGATGTAAATTAAACCACATTTATTTTAGCGCTTTTCTAACTAAGTGGGAATAAGAGCTTTACAATTAAACCCCAACAAACCGGGAGGTTGCGTGTCTAATGTGTGCGTGTTTGTGACACAAATAACCGCGGCTCAACCTCCACCAAAAAAAAACTCAAAAAAGAGCTCCACCGTATGCAAGAACACACCCCTTGAAAAGATGTTCATATCACGAAATATACGGAAAACGACTGAGTGCCGAGAGACCAGGCTGAAGACAGGTGTCTGTAGAGACGAGACGGTTAGTGTGCTGGGAAATCCGTCACCTCTGGGAGATTCGGGGGGGTGGGGAAGCTGGTAGATGGGTGGAGTAAGAATTGGCTATGAATGGGTCACGTTTACCTCCTTGTGTTTCAGTCCCTTCCAGCTGGAAGCCGCCCCGACAGGGAGATGGGACTGCTCCGCTGGGTTGGCCTGAATGTTCAATAAAGAGACAGCCCAGTTTAGAAGAGACATGTCCCCCCTAAACAAGGCTTCACAAACACTGGACAGGGCTACGCTAGTGAGAGATAGCTCTGTGGTACCGGAGGTGTTTCAAATTAGGTAATATCCTACTATAGACGATACGGATAACACCAGTAACACCACTTTTTTCTTACAATATTTTGGTTAAAAGCATTTTCTAAAATAGCAGTTTTTTGTTCACGGCTGCCCCACTACCGCACGGTTCCCCATCCTTAAAACAACTTCTCTATTTCACAATACGGGTTTGTCAAGATCTCTTTGAACTGTGCGGCTGTCAGAAAAAGAAAAAATATTATACTTTAAAAAATAAAAATACTTTAATATAAATACTTTCGCCCTGTTTGGAGCTTTTGGAAAGTAAACGAAACTCCGTGAAACCGAAACCGCGTCGGACATTTAGCACCACGTGACTGCTGCGACCACAAACAAGCCAATCAATAATATATATTTTTATAATACAGTTGAGGGAGAGAAAAAAAGCGTGCACATGTGACTCTGGCAATGATCAACTGCCAAAGATTGAATATTGTTTTTCTGCAAAAAAAAAAAAAAAAGGACGCAAAAACACATGTGCACCAATCCCCTAAAAACAATGGGCGCAGTGGTTAGCGCTGTCGCCTCACACGGGGCTTCGGACCTGCGACCTCGCGGCCTTTTCTGTGCACTCGCTAGTTCTGCTCGGGTTTCCTCCCACATTCAGACAGGAGGGGCTTCCTTTAATTAGCTCATTTTGTGTTTTTGAGTGGCGACCAATGTCCAGGGTCCGCTGGGATTGGCTGCAAGGACAAGCAGGTGCAGCTGACAGATGGGCCTAAAAATCAACTGGGACGTCACCGTCCGGAAGGGCAAATTCATCTCGCAGCCTCAGGAATTAGCCGGCACCAAGTGACGCCAGCAACCGAAATGTTAATGTCTACTAGAGCAGGACGTCTTTTCAAGCAAAGAACAATAGGGGCTCCTGTTAAAGTGGGCCAACACACAACCATGTTATCCCCCCCGCGCCTTATCGCACTATGCATCTACTGATCCAGAAGCAGCGCTCTCACCGGGGGCCACATTCCATGTAGAAACCAGCCTGTTGGGTCTCCCAAAGTCAATATGGCCCTGGCAACAAGGCTGTCCCCTTTCCGGCCCCTCCTCCCCCCGCCCGCCCGCCTCCCCCCTTCCCTGGAATGTCTGTCCCTCTCTGTCCGATTAGCAGGGCTGCATGTTGGCCAAAGATGAGTCAGCACTTTACACCTCGGTTCCACCGTGTGAAACGAAGCTGACTGCGGGGTAATTTCCAGAGTGTGTGTGTGTGTGTGTGTAAAGTGCACCTATGCTGGCCTGTGTGTGTGTGTGTTTTTGTTATTTAGTCGCGCTAAAAGGTGAGCGGAGCGCTATGCTCAAACGATATCACACGCAGAGCTGAGTGGGGGGGGGGGGCAGGGGGGTTTGGCTCACATGATCACACAACATGAGTGTTTGTTCCCACTGACGGGAGGACGGTGGCAACAGATGATGAAAACAAATGCCGCTGCGTAATGACAGACACGCATAAAGCTTCAGGGCTGTGGGGAAGAGGGAAGCCAAAGCTGCGAGAGGGAGAAAAAAAAACAACAACGAAAAACTGAGCAAAATATCAACAAGGGCACAGACAGAGGCGGGAGCAGTGGCAATAGATAAGCGATGAAGAGGAGGGTGGTTCAATGGAAGGGAGATCGAGGACAGCTGCTCCTATCCGAGCCGCAGCCCCCGTAGCAGACACACCGTTTGGCCCACACGCAGAGCAACAGGGAACACGCTTATTTTTATTGTCACTTTCTCTGCTGGGTGGCAAAAAGAAGAAGAAAAAAAAAGCTGTAGCCCCTAGCTTGGCACACTTACCATCTTCCTCCTCCTCTCTGCAATCTGCTCCTCTGACTCCATCTCTACTTCATTGCTAACGGAGGTTTTGTCTTCTAGATCCTCATATAACTCAGGATCCTGTGAGAGGAGGGGAGAGGGGGGGGGGCATGGCGCTTTATCACGGCTGATCAGTCAGTCTAGCTACAGACTAGAAGGAGACAGGTAAGAGTGTAGGAGAGGGAGGTAGGTAGGAAGGAAGGAAGGAGGGAGGGAGGTAGTGGGGAGCAACTCGGCTACTTCTCAGGGGACAATCTGCGCACGGAGCACACATGCTTGGAACTCGTCTATCATCTTTCAGTGTTGATAAATGATGTTAGCGGCTTGGTGGACCAGCACCCTGGAGCAGGATAAACCCCGTAGCAGCGGACGGGCTCTGCCCTTCCTTCAACATATGGTTTGTTTCTACTGCGTTGGTTTTCTTTCATCTCATCACTCTGACGGCGGTGACATAACTTAAGTGACACCGGACTGATTTCGAAATAAACTGATTTCAAACAGCTAAATGAATTCAAACGATTCGGTCGCGGCGAGTAAAATATGCTGTTCTGGAATAGACGAGAAAGTCTGTTGCCGTTAACACATCCGAGAGAAACGCCATTCCCCGAGTGCGTCACTGAAGGGTCGTAAACTGCAACACAACTCTGCCAGATCAATTGCTCAAAAAGCGCCTTGCGCAATGACAGTAAATCTCAACTGCGCCGCTGAAACTCTTAGTCGGGCGGGGGAGAGGTGAATGCATAAAGGGATGAAGGGGGTGGAAAAAAAAGAGGGCACTAAAGAGCATGTAGTGACTAACAATGGAAAACACGTGCACAAAACATCCAACAAAGATCAAACCAAGTTGCATGCATGGGCTAAAAAGGTAAATGTATATTAACAATCAATATGCTGTGGTGCTCAGTCTAAACATGTAAATATGAGCAGTTATGCGTAAAAAGAAAGGATGAGAGTGTGTGTGTGTTTCGTGTGCGGTTTCAGAATCTTGCCTGGTTGTTTGAGATGGAGAGGCGGAGAGGAGAGAGCTTCCTCTGTTTGCCGTCGCCGGCGCTCTTGCTCTTCCCCTCGCAGTCCAGGCCCACGTTCTGGTTCTGGCCCTGGTCGTCCCGGACCGTCTCCTTGTCCTTGCGGCTCCCTCGTCGCCGGCCTCCGGAGCCCAGGTTCTCCGTGGGTTCGAGGTTGTGCTTGAGCACCGGGCACTCCTGGTTCCCCTTCACGCAGGCACAGTCCACCTTGTATTTACTACAAATATGAAGAGAGATAGAGAGACACACAAAAGGAAGACGAGTTAGAAGGCGAAACAACCTTCCCGTACCACCGGGTTTCCTCGCGCTACCCGTTTGCTCTTATAAACTCACCAGCTGCCGTAGTCGTAATCAAAACCAATGGTGATTTCTGTGCCTTTGACGATCGGCCTCAAGGAGTAGATGTATAAATGCAGCATCCCGTCCTCAACCACGTGCCGCACCTGAGTAGAGACAGTAATGCGAGATTATAACTGATGCACGAGGGCCGACGTCGTTCACAAGCTTGATGTACTTAATGGGATGTTTGCTTACCTCAGAATTCGGGGTGCAGGAGCGACGGATGAAGCGCGCCTCGTTGCCGAAGCTACGAGCGTCCACACACATCTCTAGTCCATCAAACTTGGAATAAAACAACACAAAGGGGTATGGCCTAAAAGGAAAAAAAGCAGAAATGTCAGCAATTCACATCAAAAAATAAATTAAAAAAGCATTATGGAATTGGTGCCAGTCCTTTGGGCCTTTAACAAAAGTTAATTGGTTTGACCTGGATTTAAAAAAATGCTGAAATATCAACTTCACATTCATATGAAACAACTCCAAGGAGGAATCCGTCTGAGAAGTGACGGGCAATTCTGACCTCTTGAAGAAGTATCCGTTGGCCTCAAACTGCTGTCGAAGCATGAACTTTCCCCTGTACTCGATGATGAGGGAGTCCGGGGCCAAGTCTCGCACCGCCTTGAGGATCTTCTTGTTCTTCTGAACTTGACTCTGAAAGAGAGACACGTGTGTGTATGAGTGCAGATCCTGGACCCGCATTAAAATGACTAAATGCACTAAATGGTTGAAGGTAGCAAGGGATCAGGGTATCCGTGTCTACAGGTTTAGGTGTGAACAGGTTTCTACCTCCACCGGCGGCTTGAAGGAGGCCGGGTGCGTGTTGTATGCCAGGCTCTTGCCATCGCCTTGCTCTTTGACACGCAACAGGACCTGGACGTCCTCGCTGTACTGATTGCTGCTGGCCTCCTCGTATCGCTCCATCCACGTCTTGAGTTTGTTCTCCCACAGAGACGGGTGCTCCGTCGGCTCCTGCTCCGGAGCGGCGCCCTGAGAGGAGGAAACAAAAAACAAGACCGTCGGTGGTACGAGCGCTTCAGGTTTGGACGGGAGACAACAGGACTCCGGACACAGTCTCTGAGTGTCTTGTGTTCGGTGAGTTTACCTTTACTCTGGAGGACTTTCTGGACCCTTCTCGGAAGGCCTGCCAGTCAAAGTAAAGACACACAAAACATGTAATCTGAGGTATCCAATAAAATACAATAGGGATGTAATACATAATGACCTTTGACTTGATTAATGACCTTTGACTTGGTTAATCATGAACAAACGAGTGAAATCTGACCTTCTTAGCGCGGGCAGAGGAGGCTTGAGGCTCTTTATCGCCGCTCTTTTTACGTTTTTTATCAGTCTGCTTATTGCCGAGGCGCCCAGTGGTGAGCGTGATGGTGGTAGGCGTGTGTTGGAAGGTGGAGTAAAGTTCTAATGGCACCTCATCTCCACTCTCTGTTGCACTGGTGTCACCATCTGAATAAGTAAACAAAACACATATTATTTATGAGGAACACATAAAAGACTGCTGCACCACACAATAAAGGGCTGGCTATGTTACAGGAAGACGAGGTAGGATACAGAAAAGGAGTTTGCTTCTTGGCCAGCAGGTGTCAGCGTGTCTCAGGCTCGGGCAGAGTGACCTGCAGGGGGAGGGGGGGCATCCTGACACAGCCCCGCAACCTGCTGGGTTCAATAACAATCGGCCCATTTACTGCCGCAAAGACGGCAGCAGAAGCAGACCTGAAAGCCCCATCTCTTCGCACCAACAGAAGGCGTTAAATAGAACGTTAAAACCCTCATGACGTCCCGTGGCAGATGCCGCTCTCAAAATAACAACTTTCTACATTTGATCCAACTTTGTGTCAACGCGTTACACTGAAATATTCAGGAGCAGAGTAAAGCCTGTGAGCCTCCGTGTGGTGCAGCTCACCAGAGAGACACTCTCGTTTCCTGGTCTGCAGCAGGATGGCCCGCTCTCTATCCAGGTGTCGTGGTTGGCAGCGCTCATACAGGTAAGTCTCAGGAATGTTCTGCCTGTCGATGCCCATGCAGTCGATAAGCTGCCACGCGCTGGAAAAGAAGAAAAAAAAAAAGAATCATGGCGAAAGAGGGTTAGTAAACTTGTTTAACGACCGCTGGGCTACATGAGGAAACGCTCGTCCGGCGGACTCACCTGCACTTGTCGCAGCAGATCATGTAGCCGTCATCGTGGGTGAAGCCACAGATGCAGCGGGTGATGTCTGCCCCGTAGCTGCCATCTTCTGAGGTGCTGAGCGTTGTGCCCCTGGATGCTTCGTCCTGGCCTCCTGGAACAAACAACCCCCCCTCTCCTTGTCGGATCAACATGGAGGGGGGAGGGGAGGCCGGTGGAGTGGGTGGGGGCCGCGCCCCATAGTTATGGTCCTGATGGGACAGAAGGAGAGAGAGAGAGAGAGAGAGAGAGAGAGACGGTCACCCGGGTGGAGGTAAATGACAGCTTATCATAGGGATTATTCACACAAGGAAAATCTCTTAAATGTGTCGCAGGGAGGAAGGGTGGGGGAGGGAGGGGGGGGGGGGGGGCAGCCATATGGGAACGGCAACCACAGAATAATGTTCCTTATAGATGTATTAAGTATTATTATTATTATCATTAAATATTTGAGAAACTCTGAACTGTGTTTATCCCAAAATAACCATCAACCAGCCCCCGCAGCTCAAATTTCCTGTATCACTTCCAACACCATGGCCCATGTTTGACGTTGACCTGAATGGGAGCGAGTCACATTAAGCTCAATGATTAACCGTGTGGGAAGGGCCCAAGGTTTGCAGGTTATTTGTCTTGGGCTGCGCAGGGAAGTGTGTACTCACGGCGTACGGCAGGCCAATGTAACTGTGGGAATGGTGAGAGCCGCTGCTGTAGATCTGGTGCGGGTAGCTGGACTTCTCCACCACCACGGGGCTGGCCTCCACCGATTCTGGTCTGCTGAGCAGGGAGACAAAACAAAGAGCCCGCGTTACTCTCGAGAAAGAAAGAAGGAAGAGAAAACAGAGGACGGCGCCACGTGGAGCGAATGTTCTTCCCCAAACGCGGCTCGGAAGTGTGCGCTGCATGCCGAGCCGGCTGCTGCTGCTGCTGCTGGTGGTGGTGGTGACACGGAAAAAGAGTGGCGAGAATATGGATGCACGCTAAAGACAGCAACACTGTCGGGGGACCTGGGGCAGTGGGCCACTGCACAGCCAGTGAGGGGGGAGTAGATTGACTCGAGTACTTAAATAATGCACAATCACGGACTGTACTTTCCATTGTGTGCTTTTATTGCATATTATTCTTTCACATTGATAAGATTTATTGTTTATAGCAGCTATAGTTTGTAGATTTCAAGCACATGTTTACTACATTTCCCTATTTAACTCCTATGAAAAGAAAAGAATACACATTTGTGTGTCTCTCGTGGTGCATTTCCTGCAACATTCTGCTCTAATATGCTTCCTTATAAAAATAATTTGAATACTTCTGCTGCGGTTACGCCACATTGCCTTTAAAACTCAGAAAAATGCAATTGCTACAGCTACTTTGTGCTTTAACCCACATCCACAAGGCAGACATGCACTACAAATGGGCCGTCCGTCATCCACACAACACACAACCCCGTACTCCTACAAAACCTGTAGATCCGCTTTCCCCAGAGTCACAATGCAGTTGAGCAGTGAGCCCGTTTGGCCGTTTGAGACCAACCCACCCTTATTATGACATGACTAATCTATTCTTCAGTTGCCAAAAGGGGAGGCTCTAGAGGAAGAGAGAAGTGGAACTGGACTAACGCATGGCATGTGACAAGAGAGTTGGTTATAAAGAGGGAAGAAAGAGAGAGAGAGACAGGGAAACACACTTCGGGACAGGCACGATGCCTTTGAGCGGGTTCGGCCGTTAATTAGATAAATGCGTTAGTGGATCATTCGTGCCCACACATCACTCGATTGTCCTCTTTTAACAGATAACTATCTAATAACAGATATTCCAAGGAGGGAGATCGACAACAGCCGCCAAGGAGCGTCGGTATACGTGACAGCTGCACGGCTCGTTTGGTTTCTTCCTCTGCTCGGTGTCTCTCGACACTAAAAGTACACCATGCAGCAGCCCGCTCCACGAGAGCCGCCGCTACCAAGTATCTGTAAACGGGGCCAAAAGCACAGCACACTGGACAACCTTTCAGGTACACACGGAGTAAGACGGGTACAAAAAGGAGTATAACAGGCTATGTGGGCTAGGAACAGGCCGTGCAGCATTTCTCTTCAGCTTTGATTGAGACGTGGCTCCAAAAACTGCTTCATTTGCAAATCGTTTAAGCAGAAAACAAGTAGAGAATGGAGATATAAGCACCAATGAAATAGCCGGAGCGAAGTGTTAATGAAAATCAGAGTTTGAATCAAGAATCCCACAGTAAAGAGGTGGTACGATACCTGCGGGAGCCCTCGGCCCTATCGCTCGCGTCGCATGCCGTAGGAGCAATGTGCACTTCCTGTATGCGTTGCCGCTCAAGCACTCACTGACAAAGTGAAAACGTAACTGCACGCATGAGGTCCGGAGGCGGACCCAGTGTAAGGTGTGGGTGTGTTGTTGTTTTTTTTACAACTGTGTGCGCAAAAGATTAACTCACACACACAGAAGAATCCAAACTGTTTAACTGAGTGTAAAGAGCCTGGCTGAAAAGATAGGGGGAGAATCCAAAAATCATACTTAAGAGACTGCAGGCGGCTCACTAACTTTCTCCAATTAATGTTTAACCAGATCAAAGTCTATTCTTTTTTTATAACACATGGTTGTATGAAGCATGTATGGTTAAGTGGCTACGAGGGGGGAGGGGGGGTGGGCGGGATTAGTGAGCGGCAGAAAGACGTGCAGAAGGCAAACATGTGAGCGAGCCTGTTCAGTGGGAAGGAAGTAAGCTTGTTGAATGTACGTGTTTAGAGGAGGTGGAGAGAAGGGAGGAGGGGGGTTCGTTAGGCTGCTACGGCATTGAGTGATCCACTTCTATCCAAACGAAGAAAAAAATGAAATAGTTGGTGAATTTCTTCAAGTCTAAATGAAGGTGTGTAGGCAGGTGGCTCCCATTTCTACTTTATAAAGAACCGATGCAAACACCTGCTGAGAGGCTGGAGAGGCAGAGAGGACGAGCGAGGAGGACGGAGAAATCAACAGCAGGACGGGGAAAGAAGAAAAAAAAAATGAGCAGCACCCAACAGCCAGCGGCAACGCCTTCACTCCTTAAGTGCTCCCACTCGCTGCCATGGCAACACTACGTATTCAGTCCGACAGGGGGGCGCGCGCGGCGGGCTCCGCGTGTCGCCGCGGACACACACCGCATTAGACAACAGCTGGTCACGCTGCTGCAGACTTCAGGGGGACGTGCAAAGGACGTGGCGCTGTTTTGCTGGTGAGTAACCAGCCCGGCTATACCGGAGGCGGCTGGCGCGCTCACACACAGCTTCTTAGGCGTATTGTATGTGTGTGTGTGCCCAGCTATGCCTTGTGGATGGGACCAGCAGGTGGAAGCCCCCTTTCAAGCCCGTTATCTGCGTTTCAAAAAATCTGCAGCGCGGCAATCAGATGCAGAGCTTGGACGTACGAAGCGTGAGGGAGGGAGTTAGTTCGAGGCGTACTGCTGGGACTGTTTAAGACGCCATGCCCGTGTCAGGGCACCCTGTCACTCAGGGCCAGTGACCATGGCAACAGGCCCGGCGCAGTGCAGAAGGTTTCGGGAGGGGAGCGAGGGACAGATGCCATGGCAACACAAGGTGTCACAGCAACAGCTCCCCCCTCCAAAAGTTGATGACGTGTGTTATTCTTCAGTCATGTGAGAAAACCGTGCCTCGTTTATTTAATCAGAAAAGAAAGAAGAAGAAAAAAGCCACGCCAATGTCCTTGACGGCACTGTAGGAAACAGGAGAGGAGGGGCAACGGGTGCCTTGTTGCCATGGCGCCACGCAGCCTCTGTTTGACTGACTCAATGCAGCGTGTACACATGTGTGCAAACATCACTGCATTAGTGAAGGACCAAGGGAAAACTATGATGTACACTTCGCCTCAGTGTTATAAAAGGTATACATCTACATTCAAGGTCTCCGGTTTAAGATTTCAGATGTAGTCAGAAGCTGAACACAGGAACAGAGTTGAACTGTGGGGGAAGAGATCTACGCGAAAAGACAAGAATTGTAGAGTTAAGGGAAATGATAACAGATCGGCATTCCCCGTCACAGAGAGCATGTTGGGTTTAGGAAAGGGGGGGATTATATGGACTAAAAGTGTCAAATGCAAAGGTGTAGCACAAACCTCTAGAACAGAGGAAGTGAAACTGTGTGCTAGAATGACTGAAGAGGCATTCAGAAAAAGGTACGAGAAAGCCGGGCGTATCAGTCAGGTGTTACTCACTCTGAGCCTGCAGCCATGTCCAGGTATGAGGCGTCCGCTGTGTCCACCCCTACTGGGATGACTATGCTCATGACGTTCTCTGCTGATCAGTTCTTGTCCTACTGAGTCCAGAGAATGGGAGTCCAAAACACTGAGGCATGCCAGCCACAGCAGTCATTGCAGACATCTAAGTGCATCCACAAGGCCTGGGCATGGAGGAGAGACGAAAGAAAAGGGGTTAGAAATGTGGACACGCATCATTACAAGTCTAGGTTCATGAACAGTTCAACAAGGCAAGATTTATTTCACAGTAAATACACTTGAAAGGCCGCAGCACCGAGCAGACCAGAGATGACAAATTCGTTAAAAAAAACGGGGTATTTCCAGAACATTCAAATTCATACTTTCAGACAGAGAACGGTGTTTCTACGAGTGTTTGACGGGAATTTCCGTTTCTGACAAAGCCACCGAGCGGAGCTGTAGAATGATGTCACGGGACAGGATACACTGTTGTAAAGCACAGCCGGCGCTGCTGCCGTGAACTGCGCTAAAGCAAACCTCTGTGCAACGCGCCACGGGCCGAGGAACGCAGAGGGCTGCACTGCGAGGAGCCTCCCACAGAGGGGAGCAAGAGAACACACAGCAGCCGGCCGCCATGAAGGGAGGGAGGGAAAAAACGCAACGGCACATAGAAGCCATTTTTCCCCCCTTCGACTGAAAAGGACTGCTCTATTCTCAGCACTGGAGCGCACTCCTCCAAAAGACGACAGACAGAAACACACAGACCCTCTGCATCTATTCCTGATATGAAAGGTTACATTTTCATTGGTACGGCAGCTATTCACATGGGGGAAAAGCTGCTGCAGATCAAGTAAGATCCTTTCATTAATAATTGACGGCATTAGGGCTCGGGCATTGAATGTAATGCCCCCCCTGGCCCCCAAGTGGGAGGTGGGTTTGGACTATACACTAGCAATACTATTGACGGGAATATTATGCATTTGATATTTGAGTCTGATGAGAGTCCAGACGGGAGCATGTGTGTCCGTGTGGCTGCCTCCGACAAGGAGAGCTCTGTTGATAAGCGGGATTAATGCGAGGGACAGATGCCGAGACAAAATAGGCTGGAGGTCACACCTCCGCCGGCTCATGCACACTGGGGCCAAACAAAGGCTCAAATGGTGGCCCGGGGTGTGCATTGGGACAAGGTGCCACAGAGCAGGAATACGTCAACTATTGAGTAGGGAATTTCACTTGAGTCGGGAAATAATTCACAGACTTAGCCGAGCAATAACACACCATCGCACCAAAACATGTCTCTGCACGCTTATGTGTCGACTGCCTGTTCCGGGCCCAACCGTGTCCTCTGAAGCAGGCGCACAAATGTCAACACACACACACACACACACACACACACACACACACAACTCTCTCTGGGGGAAAAAAAAAAATGACTTCAGTACCAGGTTTATTGTCAACAGCAAGGCCCCCGTGGAGGGAACTCATAGTTCTCCGGGGATGGACGCACAACTGAAGATTCTTTTTATTAAAAAGCCGACAGCCACGTCATTTCAGGTACTAACTCCCCCAAATGCACCATTAGAGCCGGCAGGCCTGGGGAGGGGCTCACAGACACGACATCTGTCAGCTCCAGGCCTAATTAATAGCGGGAAGAAGACCCCGGTGTCTCTGTGTGTCAGCCAAGGCTGCCCGACGGGATCGCCCCTCCAAATTCCCTCCTGGTTCCGTGTTCGGTGAGTGGATGGGTTAAACAGCGGGGGCACCAACCCCGGCAGAAGGCCTTTCATGACTGAGGCCGATGTAACCGGAGCACTTTCTTTCTGGCCAAAACACCGAGATGACAGACTTCTCCTCCTTTGTGTCACCTGACATGCACAGCGTGTTGTGGCACCGGCGAAAAGCGCTCCTCTGAAGCGGCCCCGTTTGTTCCCCCGTCCACTCGGTCGGTCTCCATTTCAGACGGGGGAATCCTGCTGTCACAACTAAGGAATGAGCCCACGTTCAGGCCCCACCCCCCCCCCCCGCAAACCACCAAAGACACAGATCGATAGATAACCCCCCTCGCCCTGTCCAACCGTTTCAAAGCAGTCGAGCAATGATAAACGCACTGCGCTACAGACGGACGCCGTAGAGACCAACCAAAGAAAAACCAGTACAGTGCAGCTGCATTCCTGACTAAAATCCGAACTGCGCTGTGACTGCCTCCGCCTGCTCCTCCCACTTCCTCTGGGAGACATGTCCATCACCCCAAAGAAACGCAGCCAAAGAAAGGAAAAGAAAAAAAAATACCCTCCCTCCCTCCCTCCCTTCCTGTGGCCAGTCACCCCGCCCAGCCGGATTTCTCTCCCTCTGTAGATTTCCTAAATAAACCAGAGACAGTAACGCAGAGCGGAGGGGAAGGGGAGTGTCGCAGACGCAGTTCCAGATGACACGGAGCTAGCGGGAGACCATTTAAAGTCACCTTTGTGCAGGCGGGACGTAGAAAGACGTGTTAGCACGCCAATGAATTAAAATGTTTGAGAAGCGGTGCCGCGTGTTGGGAGGGATTTGGGTCTGCGGTGCGGCTTTCTTTCTCTAGAAGCGTTCACCTTCCATGCTCTCCCTTCACAGATTCCCTGGCGCCGTAGGGAGCGTTGGAAATCATCCACAGGCCCTCCATTTCAGAGGGCAGCGGGGTGGGGGAGGTGTACATGGAGGCTGTCTGACAGTGACGCTACACAGCCAAGACCTGGGTGGACTCTGGGTGGCGGAGTGGAGCACGTAGCGTAGCCCTCTCCTCCCTCCCTCCCTCCCTCTCGGCGAGGGGACACAGTCACGTCATTGTGTGGGAGGGGGGGGGGACATGAACTGTCCTTTTAAGACCGAAGTCGGCGAGGGAAAACCCACACCGCCACACTCAAAACCCAAAATGCCGCTGCAGACGACAGTTTTCTTCTCCTGCTCCAATCCCCGTTTTTCCTCGCAGCCGATCCTCGGCAGATTACGCTTTTCGATAAGTAGACGGTATACGAGGGATTCCGAATGAATCCCCCTCCCCCAACCCCTCCCTCTATCGGCCAAGCGGGTGCGACTTCACACCATCCTCATAGCTGGCTGCAGTGACTCAGCTCATAAACAAACGGATCCAACAAACTCGTACAAATAGAGTCATGGGCGCGGGAAGAAGTATGACCCAGAAGGAATGTTGGCCTGGCCCTCTTCTCTTCACTGCATCTGCCCCATCCTCTATAAACCAGTGTGCCCACGGCTGCCACAACTCCCTCTGCACTGGTGCACTGGAGGTGAGGTCATACATCCATACGGTCCACACAAACAATTTTTGCGTGGCCACAATAAGAACTGTGCTGCAACTCGTGGTGCAGGGGTAGAGGGTGCGCTGGGAACCGCAAGATCGGCGGTTCGAGCCCCGGCAGCTCCATGTCCCATGTCGAAGTGTCCCTGAGCAAGACACCTAATAAATAAAGCCATGGGTTCAAAATGTAATGTATGTCGCTTTGGATAAAAGCGTCACCTAAATGACCTGTGATGTAACTAGTGAACAATAGAAGAACGGCCTGCAGTACAGAGAATGGGAACATTTTAGGCGGTTTTCCAGGGCTTAAATATCTGCATCACAACGAGCTTCCAGCATCCCATGGACCAAAAGTAAAATCATGTTTTAAAAGCCGAGGGAGTGTGCGAGTTGAAGTCTGTAGCCCCCGGATCTGGCAGCGAAGCTGGGGCAGCCCTCCTGTAGTCTGAGTAATGTCTGTTCAAGAGAAATTCCCCCCGGGGCACAATTTCTACATCTCCCTCTCGCTCCGGCTCACAAAAGTATCACAACCTGGCTCTGTGTGGTCAAGGCTGAAATCTATCCAACATTTGCAAAAGGCACAAATGTATGTAGCTGCAGGATAATTACAGCATTTGGAGAATGCAATGGGCAGCTCACAAGCATTCGAGGTATGCACGTCCATATGGGTCCAGGGAAAATGGGGAGAGGCAAGTCTGCCACTACGGGAAGGGGGGAAGAGAGGGGGGTGAACTATAAGAGCCCCTTTAGAGGTCCCATTACGGCAGCGTTCGAGGATCCATTTCACGCCTGGTCCGCAGTGGCGTTACATCACCAGCATTGATGGCACATCCGGCCTGGTGCTGCTGCCCGTGCAGGCCGTTGTAACACGGGCTCAGCACCAGGAACGAGGTTATGGCGGTGTAGCTTAAATAGGGATCGGTTACGGCCCAGCTAGCCGCACTAAAACAGGTCACCTGAGGCCTTCTCTTCCCAGCTGGGATACCATGTGACTGCGTTGGGCCCAAGAGCCGGGCCGCTTTGGCTCTCGGGCCCAGCGTCTGGATATCACACGAGTGAGATCACTGGGGGCCGGGCCACAGCCATGTGCACGCCTCAGCCCCACATGGTGAGGTCTGTATCTATAGAGACACACGCTTCACCTACACTGGCGTGATACTATTTCTGGGATGATTGTCTGGGGACTGGGAAAAGCACAATAACAAGGGTAGCTCCTCCAAGTACAGGAAGAGAAAACGGAGCAGTATGCGGCCTCCACCTGCCTTATCAATAAGCCAATGCACCAATAGACTTCCTGTGCACCTGCTTGACTTCTTTATTGTCTCCCGCTTTCTCTCGATCTGCTGCGCACAATGAAAATGAAATCCTTCTGTACTGGCTACGTGGTCCTATGTTTGTGTTTCTGTCTGTCTAGGGCGAGAGGGAAGGTGTGTCATCTGAGATTGCTAGTCCCCCAGCCACCTGCCACAGTTGCCTGTCCTCGTCCCCGTGGCAGAGGGGGGAGTGGCAGCTCACTTCCCGTCGCCATCTCGGTCAACAAAGCAAGCAAACACACTTTGCCGCTACACGGGGCAACCAGGCGCGCACGCGCACGCACACGCACACACACACACACACACACACACACACACACACACACACACACAGTGGGGCCGGTATTCAACACTTTCAGCTACAATATGACGCAGACAGAAGGAGGAGGTAAAGAAGGGAGTATCAGTAATCCTTCACAAGCAAGAACAAGATGGCTTGGGACTTTGTGTAGTTTGTTGCAGAGACTGATTAAGCACTGCACTGAAAGGCCCGCTCACTCATCGAGCGGTAATAAACCCCCCCAGACAAGAGAAGACCCTTCGGCCCCTGCTATTATGTGCATGCATAACATGCATCATACAGGCAGCTGAACTTCATTACAATGACCCTCAACGGATGGGAGCTATGAAGGCCATTCCAGTGCTTAGTGATGTTTATGATAATAATAATAATAATAATAAAGAGACTTTAAACTGGCCCTCTATAGTCTGCTTATTTCACATGGTATGCTTTGAAAGGGCTTGGAGACCCGTGTCATGCGTTATTCTTACAGACAGATGCTTTAGTCACGCAAGCACTTCTGTATGAAGCGCCTATTAGTCTAACACGGATAGCTTGCAAGAGGTTGACAGCCATACAACATCCTCCCCCTACACCTAAACAGCTGTTAACCACCATGTAATGTGAGCTACAATGGAACTAGGCATATTTTTAAATAAATGTGCTTCAGTAACAGTGAAATGTTCTTTTTAGTCATTGAACTGAAACAACCACTCGGCATTAGGCAATAAAAAGGCATCCATTGTTAAACATGTCTTATCATTTGGGATTGTGCAGAGTCAATACGAAAGATAAACATCTGACTTTTGTCTACTTGAAGTATGTTCCGTGCAACTGTATTAGTCATTATTATCGTGCAAGATCTAAACATCAAATGAAAACCCTAACTATAACATAACTGACATGTTACGTTAGTTTAGGTTGAGTCTTGAGTTAAATCAGGAAACATTTATTGCCACCAATGAAGTATTCAACTGACAAACTCTTTCTCCGTTGACTATCCTTTCGGATCAGACAGTGAAATTGAAGATAATAATTACCCATTATAACGGAGCAGCTCACGTGACCATGGGTTACAATTATATACAGAGTGCATTCCTATCACAACAATGGGAATACGTGTTAAACAGTGAAGAAAGAAGAGCCGCCCTTGGGTATAAGGTACAGATCTGGGAACAGGAGCACGTCTTGATACATATATTTTAACAAACAGTTACGCTTGTGTACCTTTGTGAAACATAATGCTGTCAAAAAGTGATCTCTCGCTCTGTGTATTTTGATGTATATCAAATTATGTTTGATCAAAACCCTCACGTCCCAACATCAAACATTTACGACAGGAAACGCAGAGAACAGCATTCGCCGTGACGCACGTCACAGGGACACTTTGTAGTTCATTGAGGAAGAGACACAACAGCTTCAGTCAATGTTACTACAAGCGCCCCCCCTCACACAAAAAGCGCAGTGTAAACCGAGGCACGACTGTTTTGACGTTATTTTAATGCCTTAACTCCAGTAAAAAGAAGTTGTGTAGTTGCTTCCCCGCGAGCGTGTCAGCGCCGCCGATAGGGGTGTGGAGGGTACAACGTTGCTATTATGTTACCACAACACCCTGCTGCTGTCGCCATTTTCAGAGCGCTTTTTCTCAGGACTGCGAGGCAACCGTGTGGCCGGGGGAGCCTCGCCAGGGGAGGAAAACCCCCCAAGAATGCATTCAATCGCCTCTCTCACACACTCTTGACTTAAGTATCACCCTGCCGCTGCGGTTTACGTGTTGTTTCCATGACAGCTTTGCGGGGAATTCGTCGACGGCAACAAAAGAGAAAGCCAGGAAGCTAATCGGCTAGCAATTATGGCTAGCAAGGGGCCTATGGAAACGTAGCAGGCTAACGTCTAGCGGCATTCGGAGTAGCGAGACAACCGAAGCACGAACCGCCTTAACTCGGACATTTTATCTTTATTTAACCGCTTTCCGCAAAGCCAAAGCAACAACGTTTGGCACAACGATTGACTTTTAACAACTGTGTACTCGGGGTTGTGGGCGTGAATAAACGGCGAAAAGTGACGCACAAAAGCTAACGGTATCCGACGAAAGCTAACGGCGTTAGTGCTTGTAGGGTAACGGTTAGCAAAGGCAGCTATTTCCGACACGAAAGGAGTGGATTAATACGCGACTCGTCGCCGCGGGGGGGAAAGGGGCGACGGCGTGAGGCGTTGAGATACAACTTAACCGCCCGAGGTCAAATCCGAGCAGTGGTCACATTTACACATTTGTTTGCAAAGAGGTCGGGCGGTGCATTTCGTCGTGGCCAAGAGCGCCTGGATGGAGATGGGGTTGCAAATTCTATGGCTGGGGCGAGATGCCAAAAATGCAACACACACACACCCACCCTCCCCCACGCTTGCAGCATTTTAACCCAATACACCCCCTTTCTCTAAAAAAAAAAAACCCGAAGCGATTGCGAATGGCATTTTATGTCAAAGTAAAACATAACGGTCGTCCGCCGCTCGTTTGACATTGGGTCTATTTTCGATCGCCTCTCGTCATATCAACAATTCCATTAAAAGCTCAGTAGCCCGAGATTACTGCGCAATGTAGCTAGGCACCTAAGCTATTATAACAGCTGGCATTGCTTTGAGCAGTCTCGTAGCAGACGGAACATCTTCATGTATCCGTTCAACGTCACATGCATGTAAAAGCTCATTGTTCTCTGGCTTTCTGACGGTACTATTGTATGATTTTTCGCTGAACGGAAATGTTCTGGTAAGCAGGGTGGGAGGCCACCACGACGAATTCAAGTTTGTAACTAACGCTTAATGCACTGTTTTCATGCTGGTTTTCAGGGCTGTTGCAAAGATTGTAACACAGGATTTTAAAAAAAAGGCTGATGCGGGGTTTTTCCCCCCTTTCTAACTGACATCCACCGTGGCTTATGTGCAGTTTATTTCTTTCAAAATAAGCGTTTCATTGGGAGGTCACGTTTACTAAAGTTACATTAACGTGGATGAATCCGTGCGCACTATGGCCTGCAGTCTGTCAAACCGACATGAAGTGACTCCCCCGTTTGGTTCTGGTTCAAAGTGCGAATAACATGAATATTAAGGACACGTTAACTGTTGATTACCGAGTCGGTATACTGTGTCAAAGACGTTAGGCTGTGGGACAGCCATTAATCTAATTGCAGCGTTTTCTTCTTAACCTATAACGTGTATACGCTCTCGATACTGCCTTAACCGTCCAGCGGTCCATCGTGTTGATCACCGTTACCTGTAAAATAACATCTACCGCATCACTTTGTCTGACGTTTTCCTCGTACGGCCACACTGTCGAAGAGAAATACAAGAGCCCTGCTCGGTGTTGTGTAAAGCTAATTTGAGCTAGTAGCATGCGCTAGTTAGCAAAGGGTCTCCTGGCGTTACGCTTGCCAACATGACACTTTGGGCCACACAGGAAACCTGCGTCGCCCCGTTAGCGGTATTTTTTTCCGATCGAGGTAAATCAGAAGGCAATTGACATCTATACCATAACAGACCCTGGACGGTATTGCTCGGCTAGCTAGCGAGCTCAGCTGATACTACATCTAACGTTAGCCAGCAACAGCATGATGTGCCTAGCCGGCTAACTAAAGCCAACAATAGCCTTCCAGGTCGGATTTGTGCTCACCTATAACTACCACGCAATGCAGTTTACTCACCGTTTTATGTCCACTCTGAAGGATCCGATTAGCGATTTGGGGGACCTGGGTAAGACCCCCGTCGCTTTCCACACAGCTTCCACAACCAAAACAATACTTCTGTCCACACACTGCGGATCCCTAGCAAAGCTTTAAAATGCTTGTATATTAACTTGTCCGCCAAAGAGTCCTTTCGTGTGAAAAATCTCTTGCGTCTTTGTCTACGAGGTGTCCCGGATTTTTCCTATAAATCTACACGAAACCGTTAAAACAGTGCCCTAGTCATCGGCGACTTTTCGAAATTAGATCCCCTCAAACCAGTCTCTTTTCCCCTTGCAAAAATGGCGGCCCTGCCAGGACTGCCGAGACTCCGCCTCCCAACCCCCACGAGCCCCCCTCCTCCCTCCCTCCCCATCACTAAATCCGAGCTCCGCCTCCACACACTGCGGGGTTACACTCCCGGTTTCACAGGGGCGTCGTGACCGTGCTCTGTGCGCGTCCACGACAGCGATTGCTCAAGCCATGGATTTACCGCGTGCTTTACAAACGGACATTGACAATCGAAATAGGATCTTATAGCATGCGGAATAATTTATAATTGAAAAACAAACTTGCTGAAGTCATATTACAGGTGGATTAAGGCTGGATTTTGTTATGATTTTAGAAATAGACCGTCGAAATGAATCCTGCAGAATTTAATTGCCATACAATAATTTGGTGTGCTGGTTACGGTGATGTCCGTGCAATCTTCACGATAGTCTTGTGAAAGTACAGTCCGCTGTGGGGAATGTTTTCTTACAAGGAGGTTTGTTTTAAACTAACTTCCCCTCCTGTTTCCTTCTCTTCCTCTTGGTGTCAAAGGGGGATATTTTGTCCGCACACAAACCCTACACTCCATATCCACTTTCCTTTTGTTAGTTTTTTAGGTATGAAAACAGACTTTGGCAACAATTGACCCTAGAACACGTGACCTCAGTAGGCCAGACCAGATTGTTTATCAGCCCATTGTTGCCATAAGAATGAGTGTGTCGATCACAAACTCGATTTTACCACTGACATGGCAGTGAATACCACCTAAATAGGATACCAAACGCAGGAGTAGGAAACTAAGCTGTTATGTAAACCCCTTACACAAGAGCAGCATTTTGTATATTGAACTGATGAAGTGGGACCCATCGAACACTGACCAATAACCGTGTACCAAGAATGAAGATAGCAGACGATATATCTTAAACCACTCTAACGCCTATATGCTTGCACGATTCGAATAAGACAAATCACTCAATAAATCCCAGATTAAATCATGTGGAAATGAGGATGCATTTGTCAGGGCTGTCAGCTGTCAAGAAGTTTTGGATTTATTTTACAACCATTTCACTGGCTCCCGACACGTTTAACACACAAAACAATTATTCTAGCAGAATGTCCGACAGCTTTATTGTTGTGGTAAATCGGAGACTGTCACAATCTCCACAAATATGTCTGTAGAAATCCCTTTGACATCATTTGTTGAGAGAGGATGTTCTCATCGTTTCCATTTAGTGACCCCCCCGCCCGCCCGCATCCCCCTTAAACCGCATCCACCCGCGCATGTGCACTCGTGCAGGACCGCTGCAAAACCCTGCAACTGCTGGTGCACGGGCATTCGCGTTGTTAGAAACAAACCTTTTTGGGGGGGCAGAGGGGGGACGTCGGGGCCCGATCACCCGCTTCCACATGGGAACATTCGGTAGACGGCCGCGGAGGACAATGACACGCTTTTTTTCCGGAGGCACCGCATTTTATCCGCGCCGTTTATGCCCGTTTTCGGTGTGAAGATGATCCGACCCCCCCCCCCCCCCCCCCCCCCCCTCTATGTTTAGGCAAGAGACGACATTTTAGGGGGAGAGTGGGGTAAAAAAAATCTGTTAAAAAACAAAATGTGTTTTAAAAAAAAAAAATAGAGAAAACGGGTGTGTTTTTCTCTTTCTTGTTTGGATTTGGGACAAAGAGCCCGGTTTCTTAGAACACTCTGGAGAGAGAGTATTTGGGGGCGGGCTCTGAGCTGAGAGGGGAGAGGGGCGCAACCGGAGAGCGTCTGTGACCAGGCGCCATTAGGTACCAACGCGCCGTGCGTGTATTCGCATTTCTTTACACGGTTGATGGGGTCGAAAAAAAACAACGTATGTTTTTTTTCCACACACACGGAGAAATTGACCGTTTGCGTCCCGCGATGACAAAGAACTCTCGCGTCTTTACACCGACCGCATCGTCGTATTCTCTTCTTCTCTTTGACCGGGAACAAGATGGCGTCGAGGATTCCTTTCTTTCCGCGCACGGGTCGGGGTCGCGCACTCCTGGGCGGTGGCACCGTGCGCGTTCTCGCCATAGCGTTTTATTATTTCCTGTTCCACATCGCGAGGAGGTGACGGTCGTGTGAAACTCACAAACATGTATTCTGTTACTCACATTACATTTGTGTGTGGTTACTTTGGGCTGCGTTGTCCTATAAAAACAACTTCCTCCTTTCACAATGTGACAAATAAAAAAAATAAAAAATTTGAATGATATCTGTTTCCCACTTTCATGAGCACTTCCTCTGCCACTTTTTACCACACCGATGTTGAACGGTCTGAATCTAAACGAGGATATGCAGTAATGTTCAATGGAGCTGCCATTACCTTCTTTGTTTAGCTTTTGACCCCATCTAGTGGACCATGTAGGCAAAAACAGATGCATTTATGTGTTTAGTGACTTTGTTTTCCCATTGCATGTTTTTGAGTCACTGCACTTAAGGGTCAGAGAAGTTTTCCGAATTAGTGATGAACTGTTTGTGTTAAACCTAAATACAGAAAACAGTAATGCATGTCGTCTTTCAGAAATCAAGGCAGTCAGCTCCTTTATTTGGACACGTGCAACGTACCGCCACACCGCAAATCTCCATATATAAGACGGTTGGAGTTATGATAAAGCTTTTTATATTGTTTTAATCAAATAAAGACCTACAGATAAAAATAAAAAAATTGACATGAAAAAAGTCCCATGGAAAGCATGATCTCGCGGAGACCACAGGAGGGCGCTATACCCTCGAACTGTTAACAAGTCAGCCAATCATCGCACGTGAGCAACGGATGTTGTCACTTGCGGTCCAATCACAGCCGTCGTTACTGGAAGGCCGCTTATTGACGAGGAGAGAAGGTGACTCCTCGACGAACAAGGCAGTACAGCGGTCAACAAATTAGCCAAAATAAGACTGGTTTTGCCAAATTAGCAACCATGTCTTCTTTTGGACGGGTGCTGGGAGTCCTCCGGACAGGAACTCAGCTCCTTAGACGCAGTACGCAGAAGATAACGAACAGAAAGTAAGTGTCGGGAAGCCCGCTGACATTTTAGCTCCTAAGGCTAGCTATAGAAAATACTCGCCAAACAATATCGTTAAACAAAAAATACAACGTTCGTTGAACTCTGAACACAGCTTTAAATATCAGTCTATATTCCAAATGATCCAATACATCCGTACCAAGGATTTTAATGGAGTGTCCTTGATAAATGTGCCAGGGCCAGCGGTGGACCGCACATCGAGCCCCAGTACAGGCAGTACCCACAGCTAACCAAGAAGCAGAAGCTCGAGTCGGAGCTCCTGAGCGGTGCCATGTGGTTCTGGATCCTTTGGCACTGCTGGCACGACCCCGATGCAATCATGGTATGTAAACACGGCCAAGGACTCTCCATCAGTCCCATTTGCGCTGAGCATGACCCACTACTGCAGGTTACTTAAGTCGTGTTTACATCCACTATATAGTGATCTCTGCTTGAGTAAAGCGCAAATAATGTTATATACTATCGATATGTGTAGTACTTTTGCCAGAATTAGTTTTGAATGGATTTAATGGAAATATTTGATGACAATCATTGGGATTGTTGCAAGTTGTGTTCGTTTACAGTATGCCGAACTATAGAAACACACAGGAACAGGAACACAATCTGTTACTTTGAAATGGAAATGTTTATCCTCTTGTAGGGTCACTTCCCTTGGCCGGATGCGTCTGCGTGGACAGATGAGGAGCTCGGAATCCCAGCAGATGACGAGGAATAAGGTAATTTCTTAATTTAAATGAATCTAGTACGGTAACAAGCGAGGAAAATAATTACAAACCAAGTTTGATTTACCGTGACAACGTTGAAAGGTTTGCATTCGCGTCTTTTATCATCCAAACCGTAGCATCAGTTAAAGCTATGTGTACGTATTAGATTGGCAAGTAAATCTTTTTCTTTTTGCCTGTAGATCACCAGAAGGGATTCAAGCTGCTGGATGCTTCTTTGTGGAAATCGATGTTCTGAAAGTCAGTGTTGTACATAGACTAATAAAGTTATCTTTAAATATGTTTGTTTTGCCTTTTTTAAATGTAATAGTACAGTATGATATGGTGTGAAACTGGGATGCACAAAAACAAGCAGGTTATTTAGTTAGTTTTTTGAATTTTATTTACACGCAATTTTTGAAATGCATCAACAGTGTCACAGTTAGCCAGTGCTTTTGTTTATATTAAATCTTGTGGGGGGGAAAAGAACACGTAAGAACCAACGCACCTAAAACAAATGCCAAGAAAGCTGCATGAAAAGTGAAAAGGGAGAGATTGTGTACAATGAATACTACAGCTTAGTACAAACCCTGCCTGCGGGTCAGCTCGTGTTTTCAATGACTTGACATGCAAAAAGTTCAAAGTGTAAGGAAAAAAGGGGTAAAATCAGTCTGGCAATGTGAAATGCTTTGAGTTGGTTCTTTGTGTTGGGATTATGGGAAACACCTGACCAGTCACTCGCAGGTCACGTGCACTACTAGTCAACCTGAGCGAAGCTCTCCAAGCCCCCTCCTCTGCAACAGGGGGGCCGTTAAGAGCCAAACTAAGGTAACACTGATGGACCATACCAAATATCAACAAAAGGTCAAAATTAGCCCAAATGTACAATGACTGACTGGTTGAAGCACAGCTTGTAATTACAACTTAAACCACGAAATAAGGAAAACTAAGAAAAGCCTTGAGGAGGAGGGGAGTCTTTAAAGTCAGTGCCCTGCGTCCATGACGTGGCTGGTGGGTTCATCGAAGGTTATGTCCATGGCATCATTCCCTGAGAGTGAAGAACTGCGCACCCGGAAAAGAACACACACCTCACATCAGCACTGAATTTTTTTTTTTTTCTTTTGAAAAAGGAAGAATCTCACTCCGTTTCAATGCATCGACCACAGTGGCTCAGAATACTTGTGGTTGGTCTTTTTTTTTTTGCTAAATGAGAACTGGCACTAGTTGGAAAAGCTCTCGTGTAAATATGGATGTTGACATTTCTCAACCTACGCTAGTTTCTATTCGCACATAGCTACAGGGAGAAAAGGATCCAACCAGGAGAAAGTTGACAAAATGGAAGGTAAGAAAAGATTTGTAGATAAATTGCTACTCAACAGATGATCACATGAACTTTAAAACATCCACATTTACAAAAAGCATGTGTTAAAAATAAAAGAAATCAATCAATCCTATAAAAAAGGAGGGGGAAAAAAACTCAATAGCTGAGGGTCAAAATATAATAAAATCATTCTCTTTCAATTAATAAATACATCATTCGGAACACAAAAATAACAAATAAATTAAGCACAATCTCACACGAGATTTGTCGTCTACATTTTTTTTTTTTTAGACCTAGCGACTGACTCCTATTTCAAAATAATCCAGAGAGGCAGCACTTTGGGTGCCTTCCCTTCAGCCAAAAGCTCCTAGAAACTTTCCACTCATCAAAAACGGTGCAGATTTGAGAGTATATTTTGCACTAAATTGTGCGAGCCTTTAATGCACCCACTTCGATTTTAACAAACCGAAGAGTCTGGGAAGGATGCACCAAAGTGCCGACTCTCACCCTTTCCTCTCCTAAAAGTCATTATTGCTGGTGTGATTGAGATACGGGAGGGGGGGGGGGGTGAAGGGACAAGCATGAGTGGAAGAAAGTACAAACAATAAGCACCGTTCAGAAATTTCAGTTCCTCCTTGGCACCCCAAAACATATACAGCTGTTTCACCTGCTCCTCCATCCTCTTCAGGGCGTCAGCAGTGAAGCAAGTTATGGTTGTGCGGGGAAGGAGGGGGGGGTCAGCAGAGAGGGGAAGTATAAAAAAATAGGATGCAGGTGAACTTGGCATCATAAACAAGTATTCTTGTTTGTTTGGTAGAGCGCGTCCATTTCAATGCCTGCAGGAGGTTCGGTCGGCCTTTTCCCAGCATGCTCGCCCCCCCTCTGCGTCCCGTAGCTCCTTTCCGTTCCGTTCTTAGTGTGCTTGGGGCGAGGTCCTTGGCTCGCTTATTTTAAATCCAATACCCTGTCTCCTCAGCACGAAGCATGCACAGTGAGCGTGTTCTTTTAACGTGTCTCGGTGGTCTCCACGGAAACCGTCGGTAACAACACACACCGAAGTTCCTTTTTTTTGTTGGTTTTTTTTGTTGCTTCCCTTTCAAGAAAACCATCCCCCACGCATCGTTCTGCTTTTGGAAATGGGAACGGTTAAACAAACACCCGGTTTTGTCTGTTGAGTTTCAGGATCTTCCCCAGTCTCTGCTTGGCGGTGGCCATTCCTTTCTTGGGCCGCTTGCCTGGAGAAAAAAACAAACAAAAGGAGCATTAGAAGCGTGCGTGAAGAGGACAATGCGCGTTTACTTGGGCTTTACATTTGATCATTTGGTGACTGTTGGGTCCATCAACTGACGGATGTTTCACGTGCGTCTATGGAAACCAACAAACGTTTCAGAAGCTCAAGTAGATTCATTGTTGGGCATTTTTAGTATCAAGTGACACATTGTCACATTCTGGCTCACGTCAGAGACGTGTTTGTTTGGACGACGCACAGCGGCAGTTACCGTTACAACGCTACAACGCTAGCTGCCGCTGTGTGTGGCGGAGTGTAGTGTCAACGTGAGTAATGAAGTGCACCCGTTGTGAGCAAAACCAAAAAGGGCGGCAAAACCGCCGTGACCCGCAGCAACTGCCTGCGATCACTCAACAGACGCCGGAGAGAAAACCCGCGGCCCTGAGCAACGCTGGAGCGAGGCGTTAATGCCGTCCCTGTTCCCGGACCAGGTGCTCTGCATCAGGTAACCTGCGCTCAAGGGACAGAAGGACAAAAGCACACTTGGAGTGAAAGAGTATTTAACACCAGACGTGGTAACATGGCAACGGACCCACACACCGTCCACAATGAGGTGTGCGACTGGCTCACTCAGAGCTGGGATAGGCGGCGGTGCTCTGATTTGGTTTCCCCTTTTAATGTATGAGGCCACACCCCCTTTTGACAGATGTTTCAGAATCTTACGGTATGTTTTTTCTGGATAAGTGTCCACACTTATCATGTCCCACTTCCAGAAGAAGAGGACGAAAAAAATAGCACCGCTATTTGGAAGACGCCATTTTTTTCACCTCCTTGCTCTGCAGGAAGTGGCCAGTAGCCGCACCTTCCATCCATCTCACGCCGTCAGAAACTCAAATTTAATGTAGAAGAAAAACAGCTAGATTTCCAAACCTTTTGTGGCCTGATTGCTGATGGGCGGCGGGGGGTTGGGGGCGTGCCTCTTGGAAGGGTGCAGCGGCGGAGACATGGAGGGGTCACAGTACTGGTAGTCTGCCTCGGGGCGGTCGAGGGGGCTGGGCGGCCCCTGATTGTCCCAGGCCTCGCTGCTGTTGCCCTGGCTGTCCATGGGGCTCTTGTCCCCCTGCAGGCGGTGCTGCGCCTCCTCCCGCTGCCCCAGCGGCGAGCACCGGCTGGAAGCCGACCACCAGGGCTCCTGGGACGAGGCCGCCTTCTCCGGCTCCGACGAGCACAGCAGACCGGCCATGGACAGCATCCCCTGAATGGCCTCTTCTGTGCTGGGTGAGGTAGGACGTTCTCTGCAAGAAGCCGGGAGGACGCCGCTGTTTACCGCCGCTCAGTAACACTCAAGACACGCTAAGAAGGCAACATCCTCGAGGAGGTCTCTCACCGTTTGAGTGGTTTGTGTTTGTGCCTGAGTTTTTGGCCAGACGGGTCCAGCTCTATGGTGTGCCCGGAGCCTCTCTGCTGACGGGAGCCGCGCCCCCCGTCGTCCTCCGGGGAACTCCCCGAATCCTCGTCAGACGAGGACGACGAAGACGAGGACGACGATGCTTTGCGCTGCATCGGGGAAAGGAGAAAGGAGGAGTCAGGTTTATCACAGATAGTGTTGTATTTGTAATTCTGTGACTACACATCAAACATTTAAAGCTTTCCAGCGTCGACTCTCCTGCACCTTTAAATGTGTCCTTGCTCATATTGTGCCAGACGGACTTGGACGTTCAATGAAGTTAATTAAGCGCGGCCATTGTTGCATATTTTCATTTTCTAACAAATTAGTTCATGTGTACAGAGGTCTGTTCCCCAATATTTACCTCTGAGGAAGAGTCACTGTCTGAATCCGTGTCCGACACACTGCAGTGTCCCGAGGCTTCTTCCCTGAGTTCATTCTTCACCCTCTCCAGACCGCCTGAGAAACAGAACAACGTCAGCCTCAAACATCTTTGCTTTTAATAATAATAATGATGAATCATACCAGCCTGTGGTGACTTACGGAGGAGTGTGGGTTTCTCGTCCGAGCTGTGCTGCTCTCGGCTGTCCTGTGTCCTCTCCGACGTCGCAGAACTCTTTGGTGGGTCAACAGATGGACGTTCACCCTCCGACTTTACCGGACTGCTGACTGGTCGCCTTAAATCTCTACACAAACACGCACGCACACACACACGTTTGAATGCTGGGACAAAATGCAATTTCACCAAAGAAATACAGCGAATCTGCAGTATAGAACAGAAGACTTTACGGGCGCCGTTATCGAGTGAGCGTTCACCTGATAATCCTGCCGTTGACCAGCATCAGCCGAAGGTGGTTGTCCTCTAAAGACTCCGCGGCTGCCGATGCCGTCGACACTTTGTTGAGCTTCCCACGGACCTTGGCACAGAAGGCAGCATCCTAAGTGGGACAGAGCGACCACACCCCCCCCAGTCAATAAACGTGGACCGTTGCATCTTTTAGCATCTACGCAGCCTCTTTCGAAAGAAGAAAAGAGCAGACTTCTGCGTGCGCCTCACCTCCTCGAGCGGCCCCACCTCCAGCCTGCGCAGCACCTCCCTGGTGTGCCGCTCCAGGATGTCCAGGTTGGACGGCATTTTGGGGGCCTGCCGCTGCTGCTCCCTTAGCCGCCGGGCGGCCCGCCTCGCCTGCCGGGCCTGGCACAGCCTCTCCAGAGTGGTGCGAGTGGCCGGGCAGGAGGTGGATCCGGATGGCGCTCCACAGCCGGCTCCCTGAGATTTCACTGGCTTGCTGCCGCTGACGGGTTCCTCCTGTTTATTCACGCGGAGCATAATAGAGTCAAGTTTCTACAGAAGAAGTCCTTCATACTTCTTGGCCTCATAATCACGTGTTTATCTTTTCTTATGCAAAATAAAAATTCCATTTATCTTCTATATGTGGACCTCTCAGAATATTGACTATATTTGACTACATGCCACAGCATCACCAAGTGCTTCTCATTTACTTTAGTACATATTGTATTTAAATAAGCTCTGGTAGACTGATTCTCACTCGTGAGGAGTCCTTCTCTCACCGTGTCCCATGTCCTTACCTCCAGGTGGCGGATCTCCTTGGTCAGCTCTTTGATGAGATGGTTGGGCCTGATATGGTCTGGTACCTCACTGCTGGGCTCGGTCACCTGCGAAGCCACAGCGGACCACATTCAGACAGGAGGAGTGAACAGAGAGCAGCCTGTCGCTGGCCGCTGACACGCACCCGGCGGACAGGAGCCAAACGCGGTGGCGGGCGGAATGGAGGCGGAGTCGGGTCTCATGGCCGTGGGAACGCTCACCTCTCTTTTCAACCAGGTCCTCAGAGCGCCGATTAAAGCCTTGACCCCGTCCACCAGGTAGGTCTGTGGCGGACAGTTGTCCTCTCGTAGCTCTGAGGGGAGAAAACATACAATTAGCGAAAAGTATTTTCAATCCTTTTACACTTTACAATAATAGTCATATATTAGTGTATTAACCTTCCGACCTTCCGACCGGGCATTTAAAAATATATATATTTAAAAACAAACATGTCAAGAGTTAAAAAACAGAGCTGTGTTTGTTGAACATGTGGTGGAGATGCAAAGTGTCCTCAGGACAGCAAACACTGCACACGCCGGTTATTATGGAAATGAACAGTGTTGTAACATCATCATCATTCAGAGTGCACATTGCTGAACACACGCTTTCACCAGCCATCATTTACCATCATCAGGACAGGTGTAGGTGTGAAATATCTAGCTCTTACCTGACATCTAAAATCAGGTGTTCTCACATCTGTGGTTTGTACATATATATTGGTTTGACTCACCTTTCAGCGTTTCCAAGAGGTTTTTGGCCACATACCAACAGATGGCCTCGAAGTAAGGAAACTTAAAGAGGTCTGGGGTTTTCAGGCGACGCTCCATTTCGTAACACCTACAGAGGAGACACGAAAGCTCCATCAACCACAACGCGACCGAAGCACAAATGTTGCCAGACCAAGTCAACATGAACTCGGGGTATTTTACCTGAGCTGCATGTCGATGTTGAGGTTGTGAAGGAAGTTCCCTCCAAACGCCATGCAATCCTGAGCGGTGAGAACGGCATGGATCCAGCCTGCAGGGGGCGCCACAGTGCCGATGATCAGACAACGCACCCACAGACGGACTTGTGACCACTTTGGTCAAAAGTCAACCTTAAAAGCTGCCACTTGATTAAATATGTACTCATGGGGGACATGCATGTTTGTATGAAGATATTCACAGCACTAAAGACCCATTTCTGTACACAAACACCCCCCACCTTCCCCTAACCCCCGCAGTGAGACTTATATATATACACACACACACACAAAAAACAATGACGCGCTCCCCGTCAGAGAAACAGTGCTCCTTCTACAACCCGACGTGAGAGAAAGCAGATTGTGGGGGTCGGTGTAAGGTTGACGGACAGGCCTGATAAAGCCCTGGTTGACCGACCTACTGTGCTCTCTGACCCCCACTTAATTCCCACCTCTTCACACCCTCTCCGCCAAAAGCGCTTCTTTAAAAAAAGCTGCTGGAGGCCACTGAAAGCATAGCTGGAAGAATGACTGAGGACATCCAGCAGTTGAAGGGCCGGACGAGGCGCAGATGTGCGGGGGGGGGGGATTCAGCCGGACGACCGCGACTGGAGACGTCGGCGAGTGACAGCGTGTCGTATCCCGTGACGCGAAACACAAACATCCTTTCTTGTCCACAAACGCTTCTAATCCAACTTCTAATTAACGAGAGTGCCGCCGGTCAGAAGTCCCGTGCAGAGGGGCGGCGTGATGCACGCAGCCATCGTTGCAGCTCCATTTTTCCATGTTTTTCCATTGCAATCATGAAGAACGGTTAGGGTTGTTGCTGTTATTTTCCCTTGGCAATGATAGAGAACCTTCAGGAAGACTGTATTTTCCTGGCACGAGCCATGGGAAGCTGGATTTTAAATGCATGAGAAAAGACAAACAAATCCCCAGGACATGTCAGCTGGGTCGGTGCGGACGGGATGAGTCGTCAAACTATCGAACTACTGACGGTGGCAGATTTGGGGTTTTATCACTGTTTGGGTCGTCGTGGCGCAGGGGTTAGAGAAGGTGTGCTGGGAAGCACAAGGTTGGTGGTTCAATTCCAAGCTGCCCCATGTTCCATGTCGAAGTGTCCCTGAGCAAGACACCTAACCCCTAATTGCTCCCCAGGCAAAATGTGAAAAAGCCATGGGTTTAAAGTGTAATGTAAGTCGCTTTGGATAAAAGCGTCTGCTAAATGACCTGTAATGTAATGTAATGTAATCACTAAATCAAATGCTGATCTACTATGCAAATCCATCTGCAGGTGAGAACTGTCCATGAAGTGATCCTATAATAACCAATGTATATTTACATGTATGTAAATATTCCAGTCACACTTATGCTGATCAGCACAGTATCCAGCTGTTAAAAAGACTAAAAACGCAGCTTAAAAAAGGTCCTAAACAAACTTCCTGTTATTAAATCAAATCATTTAAACGGCTGTTTTGCAACAGAATGCTCTTGTTTGTATCCACTTTAAAAGAAACAGCGGAACAATTTTAGATCTTGATCTCAGAAGAGGTGCGGCACAAAACCTCTTCATACCAGCGTAAGCCTGCACCACTGACCTGTAGGGATGAGCAGGGTGGTTCCTTGGGGCACGATACACTTGTAGCACTTTTCCACTCGGTCCCCAAAGAACACTTCACTCTGATTGGGCGAGGAGCTCCATGCCTCGTATAGTGCAAGGTTGGCGGGGGTGGGCTTGATCAAGTAGAAGACCTTCTCACCCTGCAGAGGAAGAGGGGTTGATGTGTCAGCCAATCAGCTGCGGCCGCAGACCTTTCAGTACATTCACCAACACACTAAAAATGACATTGTGGATTAAACAACGCACGGGCGGTTTATTTTTCGCGGTACACGTCGATAATTCTCGAGGGATTCAGCTCTTTTTCGTGCAAACACTCACCCAGAGAACATGGTACCAGACTGAAGTGCCTCCAAAGTCTATGTGGAAATCTGTGTAGCTGTCCTTCACCCCCATAAGGCAGTACTTCTGGACAAAGGGCTTGGGGAAGAAGGAGTCGTCCGGCCAGTAGTTCTCCACCCAGGACATCTTCTGAGCCACGTCGGGAACCTCCACCAACTCGGACATCCTGGTTGGTGGTTGGAGCAAAACAAGTAGGTTAGACTTTCATTCCATTGTCAGATATTGAAACACGACTGTTCATTTGCAGAGGAAATTGATCATAGGTGGCAAAATCAATCCTTACTTTGTGTCAGAGAACTCCAGGCTGATGAGGTTGAGGACCTTCGGTCGCAGCGGGTTGCTGTAATACTTGATGAACTCGCTGAGCTTCATCTTGCTGTCCGCCTGCCGCGCCACATCGATCACGTCGATGACTTTGTCGCCGCCTAGGCAGGAGACAAGTACCGCTCAGTCAACGCGGCGTCACGTGGAGACGTTTAGCCGTCAGTGACTCCGGAATGAAAAAATATCTTCCAACTTTTTAATTGGCTGCTGAGTGGGCGAGAGGGTTCACTGGGGTCAGCAGCCTGCTGGCATCTCCATGTGCTCTTAAGAGATCAACCCCTGAGGGAAACTGGCACCAACATGGCAGCATGGGGAGGGGTCGTACACCAAGGCAAGCGAGACAATCTGTCAATCTGTCCGCACCACCATTCCCCGAGGAGGAGGAGTGGGTGGAGTTGAGAGGGCTGCTGTGTTCAACACCGATGTGTGCGTGGGAGACCTGGAGCACCGAGGTGAATACGCGTCTACGCGTGAGGAAAAGAGCGTGTGCACAGGCGTCACGTGGTGCAGTAAAGAGACACGAGACAGCTGCTGAGGAAAAAACAAGAGCTGAAGCTCCGCTGGCAGTCGGAGCGCCACAAATCACACTCTGGCTGACACGAGGGGCCCGGAAGCGGGACCAGGGTGCTCAGTGTGGAACCAGACAGCTGGTTGTTGTATTTTACCCACACCCCTCCCACTCACCTTTTTTATTACCACCCTGTCCTACACACACACACACACGCACACACACACGCACACACACACCTCTGACGGCGCAGCTGGCCAGCGTGTGATGACAGAGAACAGCTGGAGTAAGACAAAGCTGCGTAGAAACACAACGCCAGGATCGAACACCGGCGCCACAAACCCAACACCAACACAACCGGTGGAGCCAACACTCCTCCCTCCCTCCCCCCCTTCTCCTCCCCTGTGAGAGCCTGAAGCTTATTGTCATTGTTTCCAATTAAAGGCCTTTTTAAGTTTATATATTTGGAATTAATCAGCAATATGGTAAAAAAAACAAGGTTTTCCCATCAATATTATAGCATTTCCCCGTTTACTATTGTGCATTAGTTTTCTTTCTGTTACAGTTTGTGTAATAAACAATGACTTTATATCAAAGCAAACCGTACAAAAGTAAATAGTTGGTTTCTCAAGCGTTATCGTTACCCGCCGATGTGGTAGTTACATAGTTTGCATGCCCCAAAACGCAACATCATTTTACAACAACCTTTGTCTTAAACCCCTCTGGAGTTGACCAATCAAAAGTCCTCCGATCATCATCCCGTCGACTATGCAGCTGTTCGGACCCTCGTTCACTCACGTGGTGCCATTATCTTCTGGCTGTAGGAAATGCAACGCGACACCCAGTCCCCGGTCACAACACCTGTGCCTTGGCTTATCGCTCAATAGGGCATGTGAGAGAGAAATAAAGTGAGGGGGGAGGAGGTGGTGGGGGGGTGTAATCTGAACGTAATGCAGTAATGCATAAGCGGCCGGCTCGGTAATGGGCTCGTAATAGGAGCCGCGAAGTGGCCGGCCGTTCCAACAAGGAAGCGTCAGAGCGAGCGGAGTGAATGCTTATTTACGAATCCTTCAGCCAGCGTCCGATGCCCCGCACCCCCTCCCGATAAGTGGGCCGAAAGCCCCCCGTGAAGCGAGAGAACCTGGCGTCACGCTGGCCGGCTTGGTTGCGCGTCCTTACCCACGTACTGCTCCACGTCTCGCACGGAGAACGTCCGGGCCGGTAGTTTGAGTCCCAGGCCCTCCATCTCTGTGACCTTTATGGGGTAGTTGAAGCCGTGTCTCTCCAGGTACCTGGTGGTCACGTGCTCGCCCTTCATCTGCATCATGATCTCGTCGCCGCTGAAACAAGATCGCTCACAAGTTCAGACCTTTGAGCACGTCGCAAAAAGGTTTATTTACACGTCGGCCTTCGGAGGAACAGCAGCTTTGGGCCTCACTGCCTCCTCGAACACGCAGCTGCACGTCTGCGAACACGCCAAGCGCAGGCGGCTCTGATCGGCGGTGCGTTCGCTAACGTCATTAGCGTGACCGGAGTGTGCTTTAACCGGCTTACTGCAGTTAAACGGATATAAACCAGGCGCGGACGGTGACGCTCCAGTGGACAGCTCAGGCCATTCATGTGCACACGCGTGTAGGTGGATAGCTACCTGGCAAAGGTCCTGTTCTGGAGCTCCTTGACAAACACCGGGGTGCCCGCCTGCACCGGCCTCGACCCGTCGTTCGGCTCCGTGTAGTCGTGCCTGTGGCCGTTGTTGCGCCTTTTCACTGCAACGAAACAGAGACAGCCGAGGTTCACCGGGCCGCTTCCTTCTAACGCCATTGCGCCGTCGGCCCTCTGGAAGCGGGCTCTTTCAATGAAGTGGTGAATTAGTCACCGGGGGGAACTTTTTGTAAGGGCGCAAAGTCGCTACTCGACCCTCCCCCCCGCGCTCGGAGACGGGGCCGCGGGGGCTTGTCCAATCGAAGCGGAGGGCTTACAAAAGCATTCAATTAGCCGGTAAATGTCTGCCCCCGGGGCAGTCTGAGGTTGACCCATCCCCCTCCACAAAAAAGTCACACTTGGGTGACACTGCAGGCTGTTTTTCTTTTTCCTTTCACCCCTGTGACCAGTCAAGCTTACAAATACAGAAGTGCGAGGGGGAAACGGAACGAAGAATCAGAGGACGCATTAATCACTGGGAGACGGAACACGAACACACAGCGGTACTCACTCAGGGAGGGTCCGTGGACCACGTCACAGTTGGGACAGTGGTAAACGTCGATGTCCACGGCATGATGCTCTTCTACCTGCACACAGCTGGAGATGGACAGGAGATGCGGTTAGAACCAGTTTGCGCTTCTTCCAACGTGACAACACGCAATTCTCTCGGAGCACGTTCTGATGCTGATGTGGAAGCTTGTGTGTGTAACCGGAGGAGGTGACGGGTTCGAGCGCTGGGATAAACAAACACAGACATTGTTTGAGTCTGGAAAATAACCGTCGCTCTGATCAATTTGACCAACAGATATTCAACGAGTCACCGGAGACGGCACCAGGAAACTTGAAGCACATTTTAAAGCTCGAGCACGATACCATCCACACCCCTGTGCGGCACCAGCAGCCACCAGGCCTGCAGTGCGAGCAACCACCTCAGAGCAAACGGGAGCCCCCCCAGACTTGGACCGCCTGGGGGGTTATCCCCGTTCTTTCCATTCTGCGTTGCACATGTGGACGCAGAATGCGGTCAAAACCTTGGCCGACTGCTTGTACACATGGGCGGCGTTGTTGAGGATTTTGCTTCTCCCCCCCCCCCCACCTCACAGTGTCACTAACACAGCTACCCCCGACTATCCTGCAGCAGCCGAACCGCAGGCACCGACACACATGGAATTCCTCTCTTGCATACCAGGAGTCCATTCCAGAGCAGCCTGGACGGCAACCAAGTTGCCATTCGGCCTGAAATGACACCAGCGGCTATTTGGAGCTGCAGAAACCGCATGCTGCACGTTTGTGTGACTGAGCACGTGCACACAAGATTCTTTCTATTGCTATGTGATGTGAGAGAGCGGTCACGCACCGAAGGACCCCGTGTGCAGGCCACAGCAATGCTCTTCATTCTTCAGTTTGTTTTGTGGGATTGTAGCATGCGTCCCCACATGACCTAAAAATAGGCCGTGGGTCCATCCATGGGTGTTTGTTTACTTACTGGCGTTTCCATATCAACAGACAAACATCAACATCTTAAAAGCATGGATGTTTGGATGGACTAAGGTGGTTAAGAGAATTAATACTGTCCGGTTATTACTAGAACGACCCGATGGACCTATTGTCTCATTATTTCCCGTGCACTGGTGGATTTTAACTTTGCTAATGAGGAAAGACTCTGCACCATTAGCGCTGTGCAGGCGAACCCGAAAACGCAAACAAACCAAATAATTCACAACAAAAGTGTAAGCGCCCCGACGTGAAACCATCTTTCAAAGCCGCTGGCTTCGGTTCGACAGCCAGCACAGTGGCATCGGCTATAAATGATTCATTTGTGGTGGAAAGGTGAATGTCTGCGGGGGGGGGGGGTGGGGGGCATTTTGTCAGCTTTGATCTACAAGACATTGCAGGAAACTGTGAAAGGAAATAAAGCCCAGGGGCCATTAACTCATCAGGAAGTGGTGTGATTACGTGAATGCTGGCCTGGTGCCTCTGTAATTTACCACATGTAACCTGCTGCCATTATTGGCTGCAAATGCAGACAATTACATATCAACTGCCAAGATTTCTGCACATTATGTACTTTACTCATTTACTGATGAGGATATTTGATTTGCGCTAAGCGGGCTTGTCGATGCTGAAGTTTGATCTTCAAGTTATTTCTTGCCTCCGACGTTCAAAGAACTAAATATATAAAAATAGGAAAAAGTAGCCAAGGAAGTGCTGCTGCTGCTGCACGTGAGCAAGCGGACGCCCAATGACAGTGGCGTGCTTGGCTGCTGCATTAAACCTCGCTGGTGGATTCTGAGTTTTGGTTGCTCAATGCTGGCTGGGGGGGGCGCATGAGTCACCGCTCTCTGCCGCCGGCCCACGTCGGATAAGAGGAGCGAGAGCGGCACGCGCCCGGCCGAAGTGTCCTCGTCTCGCTCGGTCCTCTCCTCTATGGAATACCACAGAGGGAAACCGGGGGCCCTGTGCCACTTACAACGGCCTGACTCGGCTTATGTGTCTCCACAAATGATTAATACGTAACAAGGAGCTGAAGCTGGTGAGACTGTGTGGACCCGAGATAGAGCATGGGGGGGGGGGGGGGGGAAACTCAACCGAAAAGGGAGAGAGGGGCCAAGTATTTCCTGTCTTGCTCAGGCTTGATGTATTGCACCACTGCAAAGTGTGCAAACAGTTCTTGCACCAGCGTGAACCTCATTCCTCACTCGCTGGGAAAGCAGTCGTGGCAGGTCATCTGAATCCTTAATGACAGAGTTACGGCACGTTGTGGTCGAGGTTGACAGAGCCTCACAAAAGAACAAAAACAAAACATCCCTGCGCAGGAGACGGGGAGGGTTACTCAGTGACGGCATTGCGGCCGATTACCAAACATAACATCCCTATCCTGAATAAGAGGAGACGTGTGTACTTGGCTAAACCCCTGCCGCCAACAGCCCCTCTCCCTCCACTTCCTCTCATCAAGGGCCTCCTTCCTGTGTGACTGAGAGGGCTTATTCATTAGTGCGTGCACTGTGAGGGGTTCATTGTCCTCCGTGATCAGTGGCGAAACACAAAGCCTGGAGGCGGGCATCGCCATTAACTTCAGCTCTGAATAACTGCTCCGCATGGGGCGGCGACACGCCCACATTAGGGGACTGGCAGATCCCTAATGAATGGGTGGTGGAGAGGGAGATAGAGAGGAGATGAGGGCAGTTAAACACACCTGGCCTTCTTTATCTCCCCCCCGATGGGGAGGGGGGGCTCCTGACTCCTCCAGGCCCTTTACCCGAATGCACGCAAACGGCGGTGGACTAGAGGACAAGAGCCACCGAGCCCAGAAGGACGAAATATAGATCCGTCATTCGGGCCGGGTTCTGCCGGTCAAGTCGTTTCAGCCGGCTACGCGTAAAAGCGACCCAGACTTTCCCGCAGTGGTTACAGCGTGAGAGAGAGGTGGTCAGCTGGTAAACAACACAAGAGGATCACTTTGTTGTTTACGGGGCGGCAGGGAGCCCCGGGGAGCTTTAACAACTTAATCGTTTTTGGGACAGGTCGAGTTGCGTCGGGGGCTCCAGGGACTGGGGCTCTACTTTCACACATGTCTTCAACGGGGTTGTCTTAAGGCCCATAAGTCCCTTGTAAAAGCTACAGCCATTAGTCTCTAGTGACTGACGAAAACGTCAGTCTGAACCCAGCAGAAGAAGCACCAACTTGTGGATGCAATCGTTGCTCTGCGCTCGTCGTATGATTTTTAAAATACATCAGGTATTGTGTTATTCCGAAAAGTGGAAAGGTGTCGACACTTCAGCCAGTCTTTACAGTTTTTCCATTGATTTACACCCAGTCACGCCCGGAAACATTCAAATCCCTCCCAAAAGAAGTTGAAAGCTGTCAATAAAGTGCACTTTAATACCATAATTCAATCCGACTGCTGGTCAACACACGAGGCCGTTGACCCCTAATCACCATTAAACTAGTATTAGTTTAAGGACGTAATGCAGTTTTTCTTTCCCAGCCGTGGCAATGAATGTAAAAACAGCCTTTTAACAGGAGTTAATCCGACATTTAAACAGATGAAGTGAAACGGTTCTTTCATGGACGAGAGTCGAAAAAAGAAACAAAGAAGAATCTTTCCCCTCGTTCAACCATCCACTTAGCGTAAACACCAAAAAAGCACTCTGTAGAGGCCATCAATCTCCCTTTGGCGTGCTCACAATCTGTGCGACATTGACGGATCGTGCACTGAACTTGGCTGGCTGGCTGGAGCGTCCATCAATCCCCCTCCTGTCCCATTGAGGCCCGCTAGTCCATCATCGCCCCCGACCATCCGTACCTAAAGCAGACAGCGGGCCGACTGGAGCGCCTGACACCTACGGCGGGGTGAAGCCCCGTGATCCAAAGTGACCCGGTGGGGAAATTGGCATCTCGGAAGCACTGGAAACAGTCAGTTTACAAAAGCCGGCCTTGTAATTAGGTGACGCTCTAAAATGCTAAATACCAGGGTTCAAACTGACATTTGTAATCCAAACCATAGGCTCCAGTAGCGGGTTTGTGTGACTAAACAAGCACTTAAGGGCAATGGCACTCAACCAATGAGGAATCGGCATCGAAAAATACATGCATTTAATCTGCAATAAACAATTTTTCTCTTCTTTCCTCCATCCATTCATACATATCTAATCCATGACAACACATCAGTAAAAAAAAGTTTGGTTCCGTCTTGAAACGAGGAGAAAAAAGCGGTGTTTTTTTTTGATAACTACAACCCGTCAGCTGTACGTCAACTAAAAGTGGTCTTTTGTGGTCCCCTTATCGACGGGGGAAATGTCTCTGTCTGTATTGTGATACAAGACTAGACTCCGGAACCACGTGTTTCAGGACAAGAGACTACACATGCAAGCAATTAAGAGCGCCATGTTTAGAACACCACGAGATCTTCTGGCTTCCCAGCTGAGCTCACTTATCACTACTTACGCCGACACAGATAAACCACGCTGTGTTTTTCTAACAATGCTCAAGTCGTCATCTGGTCAAAGTCCCAGGCTGTACTGTGTACCGAGGTGAAACTGATGGAGAAAGGGACACTCTCCAGAAAGACAACCCCCCCCACACACACACACACACAAACCCTGATATCAAACGGACAACCAGGCACCGGGACGTTGAACCCCTCGTTCCACTCCATCGGCGCGCCATCATCCAGAATATCCCTTCCCTTCTGGCCGGCCTCGTGGGAAAGAGACTGGAAGTGTGGCTGGTGTTGGAGCGCTGCTCCGTGTGTGTGTGTGTGTGTGTGTGTGTGTGTGTGTGTGTGTGTGTGTGTGTGTGTGCGCGTGCCTGCTGATTAGTCATCAAAGAGGGAAGCTCCAACATTTGTTCCTTTTCTTGCTGGCACATGACACACAGCCAGCAAGTCTTTTTTGGATGTGATTCGCCACAAACACTGGGCTCTGCCAAGTTTTTTGGCAGGGAACTTGATGTGGTTGCGCAATGGCTTCCGTCATTCCAACACAAGCAAAAAAAAAAAAAAAGATTATTGTATTCATAAACAGTTGCCGTGGAGATGCGCCCACACAGAGTGATTCAAGGGCCCGGAGAACTTGATCCGTCTTAAACTTGATCAATGTTCTTTCGCGTGTTAAAAGTTATGAAAGAACCTACGTCAGGTCTGACGCCGCGTTTGACAACAATTATAAAATATGGCAAAATCTTGTCGTCATCTTCCTTCACTCTCAATGAGAACAACGACTAGTCGCCTCAGCCGGCTTTACAGGTATCAATGGAGGTGATGAAATCACAATCAACCACGTCCCTTATTATATTCCATAATACATTCTCAGACAATAACATGGCTTAAATATACACAACAAATACATTTCCAATTATGATTTTGACAGCCATCGCCGACCCGTCCTCACATGTTACGCATCAAAAGAAGGTTTCTACAATTCCACTCAAAATCTATTGAGTAGGAGACTAAAGAAAAGGAGTAAATAGGACGTTAAGCAGCAGGACATGTGTGTCTGGTCCTTTTAAACAGTCCCCCTGTTCACCGCTAGGGGTCCGCTGCCATGTGCCTCCCATGCCTGAAAGGGGGATTTAAATTTCTCCAGCTGTCAATCAAAAGGCCGACCATAACAAGCTCCTTGTTCTCAATCTTTGGCTTGCTTAAAAATTAAACCAGTAAACAACGTATCAAAATACTACAAAAATTGCAACATCTTAAAATGTGTATTTTTGTATAATATAAAAGTTGTGATATAAAAATATCCTGTATGTGTGGTCCAAATAAATACGTCTCAAGTAGCGTTGCATTTGAAACGTTTATCGATGCCATTACCTCGAGTGACCCGCGGTTAACTGAAGCCTGAAACACAACGACTTTGAGTGGGATCTTAATCCGCCCGAGAACCGACATTAAACTTCCACCCGAAGTGACCACAAAGAGCAGGCGACCCGTGCAGCCGTTCTGTGTCACGGTGACCCCGCGGAGCTCCGCTCGGGTTGACTGACACAGCTCCGCCGTCCCGATGGATCGGCGTACTACGAGATTATAACTACTGGCAACGGGCTACATTCAGGTCAATATCGATCACTGTGAACGGATTTACATGTGCCATGTACATGGCTTTATGTTTGTGGTCGAACCGCCAGGAGAAACGACTCAATTCAGGCCGACCTCGCAGAGCGAAACGTTACTTTCTTCGGTAAAAGTCGTGTCAATAGACGGTTTAAAACCCCCGTCGCCCACCGCTAGCGTTAGCAGGCTAAGTTAGCTACCAGTCAACACCGCCGAGAGAACCGTCGCCTTTCCCCGTTAAACCCGCGGTGTTTGTCGCTTCCAATGACCCGCGCGGCTTGAATACATCAAAACCTACATACCCGCCGTGAAACCAGTCTTTACAGATGTCGCACTCGATCATAAACCGGCTAACATCGTAGGACTGCCGGCAGACACAGTACAGCGGGGCCGCCGCCATCTTCCTACTGTCCCCAAACAACGCAGGAATGAAGCGGGGCGGGGATTCAAGTCAACGTCCGGAAACAGCCGAAGGCTGAGCCGAGTTTACCCGAGAGCCTCCACGCTAAGCGACCCCACGTCTGACGTGTTTCCCAATTATTCATTTCCATCTGCTTGTGTAGGCACAACAACAGTAGACGCTAACTTTTTACAACAAAGGAAATCAATAATGACACTGTTTTAGGCATTTTGTCAGTGATCTAATAATTATGTTCAACCAAATTGGTCTATTTTTCGACTATGGATCTCTCGGGAAGTATTTTAAAGTATATATTGTTCATCAGCCTAGGTCATTACTCATATTAGCAATACATTAAATACATTTCTAGAAGGCTACCTTTTCTAAATTTTAGTGGATTCAGAAGTTTATCTTACATTTTAAATTGGAATCTTCACTGAAAATAGGCAAAAATGACTAATATGTATGAATGCACTGGCATTTAAAAGCAAAGACATATCTAGAAAAATATGGGTAAATACTAATGTCCATAATAACTTTAAACTAAATAATAAATACATTATAAAAGTAAGTCATTAAAAGCAATGTCTTGAATTTTCATATTTTAGCTCAAAATACTTGTACGTTCAATCAAGATGATGTTCTATGCTGTAAGGCCATGTGTCAAAACATTTTTAGCTGACTGAAACTACAGCATCAAGAACATTCTTTCAATGTGCCATCAGCATTGAATATGTCAATAACCTTTAAGAGCAGTTAATGTGATGTAAAGAAGAGGAACAAAGAAGAAGCGTAATTGTGTCACCCAAACTAAAACTGCTCCATCAGCAGAACATTTGCGCAGTTGCAGTTTGTCATACTTTGGTTCTCCCACCTCTGATAACATTCCCAAGCAATGGCGGACATGGTGTAATAGCATTACCAAAACACACCCCTGCACCCCTGGTATGTCTCCACGGAGAGCGTCTGACATGCCCTACGTGCCTGTGTGGAGAACAGCAATGGGACCACCGACCCAAAGCTTGATGCGTGAGCTGACAGCACCCATCCCCCAACACGCCCATCTGCTGCTCTGCATAGGCAAGCGGGCCGGGGTGCATGCAGACACTCAGGAGCCCTCACTGCACAGGAGACACATGGGATCCACAGGAGACACATGGGATCCAGCCATCTGACACTGGATATCAGACTTGTTGTGTTTTTTGGCTTTGGGACTTTCTCGGCCTGCAAATGAACATCTCCTCTTTTGTCCTTGTACTTGATTGGTTTATGAATAAATGCTCCCATAAACGTGTACCACAATTCACACGATAAAGTAAGAACTAACTGCGCTTCATATGCAAAAAAAAACATGATGAATGAAACAAAGCTATAAATCATCCGAGGACAACGTGGCTGGCTGTAAATATCCATTCTCAAAGGAAAAAAGAACTTTTACAAACTTAAAAAGTATGTTGATCAGATATTGATAAGTCTCAAAAGTAGCTTATAGTAACACAAGTGTAAAACAATACTCTGTAAAACTAAAAGTCCAGCACTGAAAACTAAGAACTATATAAGCAACTTATTGTACTACAGTACTGAAGGGAAAATGTAATAATATATATATATATATAATAATATATAATGTAATATGATATATATAATATATAAATATGTAAACATGTGTTTATTATATTATGTGACGTTACGTTACATTGATTCATTTACAGCCTTCTACCAAAAAGGGGCATCGTGTGCAGTACGGTGGCGCCACCTCGTGGCGGGATCAGGGAACTGCTCTGTGTGACGCGCAGCTGACGTCACGATTTACCCAAACAAGCAGGACGCGAGTCCGCCCCCTCGTATGGAAGAGTCACATCATTAAAATATCATTCGAAATGCAGCGATAATTCATCGGGTACGACCTCCATGGACCCTGTTCCGCGATTTAACAAATAATCCGATGATAAAAGAGGTAAGATGAATTGTAAATTAATGGTTTTGGGAGAGCTGCGCTCATTGAAAACGTTTAGTCAGTACATCTCTTCACATCTCCACCTTTGATTATACAATACTCTTTTGGACCTGAATATTTATTTAGATTGTAATCGTCTATCTTGCTGCAGCATCGCAGTGTTTCTGCAGCAGTGCGTATTACTGTGTCATACGGGTATTTTCTGTGGTGTTTGTGTAATGAGCAATTAAAATATGCAGCCTACCTGATCAACAATGGTCATGGACATAAAAAGTACAACAAACGAAAATAGGAAAGATTAAATACTATTTTCAAAAACCTTTTCAATAGAATTGCATTACTCTTATTGTAAGATGTTTACACAAACTACGCTTTGACTAAGCTAAGGAGCTTAAATACATTTAAAAACTATATGAAGAAAAAATACTGCATGTTTGATTTATCCGAGTCAGACTTTATTGAAGGTTTTTACATTGTATAATTTTATTGCAAATGAAAAAAAAATGGAGACTGAGGAAAGCTACTAATCAAGAGCACGTTATGAATGTGTCCCTCCTCGGTAAAATGTACATTTGCATCCTTAGTCAAAGTGTGACTTTATCTGTAACCCAGGAGGCCGGGGAGAGAAGACCTGAACCTGAACATGAGGCGGTTGACGAGAGGAAAAGCCCTGAGCTTGGTGAGGGAGCTGGACGCCTTCCCCAAGGTGTCAGACAGCTACGTGGAGACGTCGGCCTCGGGGGGAACAGGTGGGTCGCCCCTCTGGAGACAGAGACGTCAACGGGGTAAAGACATCGGATCGCTGACCCGTCCGTCTTGTCCGTCTCATCCACAGTGTCGCTGATTGCCTTCGTTGCCATAGCGCTCCTGGCTGTCCTCGAGTTTTTCGTTTATAGAGACACTTGGATGAAGTATGAATATGAAGTTGACAAGGATTTTTCCAGGTATTAATCAAACAAACCCCCAATATTTACAGTACATGGCGGAAAATGACTGTCAAACTGATATTACGCTGCCTCTTGTTTCATCATTTACAGTAAATTAAGGATAAACATTGACATTACGGTTGCCATGAAATGCCAGCGTGAGTATCTCACGGAGATGAATTCATCAAATAGCATCATAGATTTAAATATATGGGGCAGTCGTCATGCAGGCAGATTAAATGTGTGATTGCAGATGTGGGAGCGGATATTTTGGACCTGGCTGAGACCATGATCACATCCAGCGGCCTCCACTACGAACCTGTGAGTGACACACTGTCTCCAAGCAGTCATTTTATTTCGTGTTGCTTTTCACAAACCTGCATCTCTTGTGTTTTTTCCAGGTTATTTTTGAACTGACTCCCCAACAGAGACTGTGGCAAAGGTGAGCCATCATGAAGTCAAAATGAAACCCCTGAAAATTGATTTTAAAACGACGTGGAAGAGCTGGAGAAGTTGTCTTGCGTGCCGCCAACTTTTCATTTGGTCCCCCAGCGCGTTGCTCCTCATACAAAACCGTCTGCGAGAGGAACACGCCGCGCAGGAAGTCCTCTACAAAACCCTCCTCAAGGGACGTCCCACTGCGCCGCCGCCACGGTCAGTTACGTCACGCGCGTCCACTCCATCAGCCCTCCAAAAGGCCGTCATATCAAGGCCCTTAACGATTGTGCGTTCAGGGCCCCTGTGGAGCCGCTCGGCGCGTGCAGGATACACGGGCACGTCCACGTCAACAAGGTGGCGGGAAACCTACACATCACCGTGGGAAAGTAAGAGGAATTGGCACAAAAAAGTAAAAAGCCGGCAGGTACCTCTCACCACGGCGCAGCTGGAGGATGTGAGAATATGCAAAACGGAAACAATATGAAGCGCTAATACCTTTTCTCCTCCAGGCCCATTCACCATCCGCAGGGACACGCCCACATCGCGGCGTTTGTGAGTCACAACAGTAGGTCACTTTTATTATAGCAATTTTCCCCCCCCCGAGAAGTTGGAGATGCTCCACGTCCTCGATGTGACCTGAGCTCTCCTCTCTGCCCCACAGCGTACAACTTCTCCCATCGAATAGACCATTTGTCTTTTGGGGAGGAGATACCGGGCGTCATCAGTCCTCTGGACGGCACGGAGAAAATCACCTTCAACAGTGAGTGACTGCGTTTCAACGGGAAGAAGAAAAAATAAAAAGTGAAGAGTAATTACAGACTTTACCCACCTGGTTTCATTACAGATAACCAGATGTTCCAGTACTTCATCACGGTGGTTCCCACCAGACTGAACACACGCAAGATATCGGCAGACACGCACCAGTTTTCTGTGACCGAGCGGGTGAGTGAACAGTAACCATCACGCCCCCCCCCCCTCTACCCGGTGAACCTGGGGCAAGACACTAACCGCCGCGCCGTCTGGTTGCCAGGAGCGGCTTATAAACCACGCGGCGGGGAGCCACGGCGTGTCGGGCGTCTTCGTCAAGTACGACACCAGCTCCCTGATGGTGACGGTCAGCGAGCAGCACATGCCCCTGGGGCAGTTCCTGGTGCGACTGTGCGGCATCGTCGGGGGAGTTTTCTCCACCACCGGCAAGTCTGATTTTCAACCACCGCCATCATCATTTCAGTATCAGCAATAGGGGCAGATTAAGCCGCACTAGATTTTTTAAATTCAAATTCTAGTGCGGCGGTAAAATGAGGCCTTTTAAATCTTTAGGAATGCTGCACGGGCTTCTGGGCTTCTGTTTCGACGCCATCTGCTGTCGCTTCAAACTTGGAATCTACAGGCCCAGAGAGGAGAGTCCCGACGACGCGGCTCAGCGACCATGATCGTCCACGTCAACCGTACGGATCGAACAGGCGAACCGCGTCGATTCCACAGGACGTGCAGCTTCACAACGCAGACCAGCGCCCGACTGCTTCGTCGGCCAGAGACGTTCCTTCAGGAGCAGCCGTGTTTCAGTCCAGTCACTCTACACAGCTACATAATGAAACTGTTGCTCTCCGTGATGGAGTTTGTTGCTTTAGGTCTTCGGCTCCATTCACAATCGTAAATATAATAAATCAGTAAAGTTGTAAAAACCGCAAACTAAATTTTCTTTTGGAAATTATGAAAAAGGTTCTTTGAAGTAAAAAAAAAAAAAAGATTGGGATGGTCTTTAAATACTTGGATCTTTAGTATAGCACGAGTTTATGTTTAACAGTCAAGCATCAAGAGGATTGCTGCACAAAAAAGTGTGAATTGTTTGGACCGATATTTGACCCCTAACAAACCTGTAGCTTATAGTCAGCTTGAGAGTTAAAGAAAATGATAGTTGAAAGTCTGAAGACTTAAAAGAATAAAATGAAGACTATAAAGTTAGAAATAAGTGACAGCAACTTTTGGGAAAAAAAAAACTAATTCATGAAGTAGAATCACAGACTGCAGCGGCGTCATTCCTCCTCCAGTTTATTTCAGCTTTCCAAAGCAGACTTTGAATGAGCAAGTTATAAAAAAAACGGTGATCAAACATTTGGTAAATTACACCCGAAAATACACAATAAAATCATTGGTTCCCTGCGTCTGTCCTCGGGGACGTAGGGACGGGAGCTCCAGCTCGGCGTGTCCCGTGCAAACTGCATCCTGCAGCAAAGACCGCACCTTGTTGTGAAACGCACAAAATGTGAACGACAACACAACAGCTGGCAAAACCACTTCTGCATACAGGCGTCGTACAGCTGCAGGTGTTCTGGTTCATCACCCCCCCCGGAGCTAGGACAGTTACCATGGTTACAAACATGGGCATTGCATAAACATTTAGTTGCGTCCCTCTTTCTCCCATTTTGGCTCATAACTATTCTGTCAATCCACATAAAAGACAATTCACGGTTTAGTAAAAAAAATCGGACTCTCCTCTCAACACTTTTGGTAAACTCTGCGGTGGAACGCGGTCGAGAGCCACCGAGCAGAGATCCACAGTCAAATACAATTTTTGGTAGTCTATAAAGAATATGTACTTCCAACTATTTACAGATCTTTTGAACAAGGGCGACGGATTTAATACCAGGAGGACTTTAAATCGCTCTTTTATCACTTAGCACTTCTGTGATTTAGGTCCAGGCTGACATCAGGTCAGTGGATCTTGCTTAAAAACAAGAGCAAATTTTCTCATCAGGTCTGCGACACAAAAAAAAAAAAAACCTACAGCGTCTCAGACTCCTTTGACTTCTTATTCTACCGAGGGCTGATGTTCGTTCACACGGACGTATTTTACGAAATGTCCTGGTGTTTCGTATCCAGAGGCCCTGCGGTGCCTTTATCTCCACATTCCCTCCAGTCATTTGCCGGCTGCATTTCCTACGACCTCCTCATCCAGACACAACCAGGGCTTCAAGTGCGTTATCGAGGGACGGATTATTTGACGCCGCGATTATTGAACTGGATTTACTACATCGGAACGCCTGGAGTCCCGTCGTTGGACCTGGAATGTCCAACGGCCACAACTTTAAAAGGTGCTGGGGGAGTTTGTTTGTTTGTGGGGAATTTTACAGGATGTTGTGTGGGGCTTTGCCAATAAACCTGGCTTATTTACATGTGCTACAATCGACCACACATATCCGACTGGCCTTTGACCCAAGTATAAATATGGACAAGTAGTAAACCTGGTCGCAGTACAAACAGGCAAAGACTGGATGAGCAGGTCAGTGACGTGTGTGTGTGTGTGTGTGTGTGTGTGTGTGTGATTAAATAAGTGACCACTTTGACAGCAGGAAAGGAGGCAGATCTGAATGTTGCCGTACGTGTTGTGATGCGGCTTTATGGTGGTCAGAATCAATCTGTGGATGGACCGTAAGCCAAATAACACCCGGCTGGTGGTTTGGGAGAGTGATCTTAAAAAAAAGGCAGTAGAACCACGTGTCGCAACACAGATCAAATCCCCCAGATCGCCTGCGTAGTGAAGTGGGAGGTTGGATGTCGGTAGAAAACAGAAAAACAAAAATCAAGCAATGTAGAAATTGCCCTCCAGTGAAGAACTGTCGTATTTAAAGTATGAAAAGAAAAAAAAAGACCCTCACAAGGCAAAGTTCAAGGGGATGAAACGATGAAAAAGAAAACTGAAGTTGCACAAAAGGCTTTGTGTTGCATATAGAATTGTCCGTGCTGAGAAGGTCGCTACAAAAGGGACCGAGCAGCCAGGACGCTTTTAAAAACAAATGACTCGCGGCTGGTCGACCTCCACTCTTTCCTCCGAGTGCTTCACACAACTGTAGCCCCCCCCCCACGTGTAGCGAGCCCCCCCCACCACCACCAGCTTATCCGCACATGGAGGATTCAGGGCGACCGTCGTGGACAGCCAGAGTCTCAGATGTGGCAGACAAGGCGGGAGGGGGTGGGGGCGCCGCCGTCTCCGGTTTGAGGACTCAGTTGGTTATGGTGCTGGACGCCCGGAAGTACGAGAGGAACTTGAACCAGAGGCTGACCACAAAGTACCAGATGTTTCTGGCCATCTGGGAGCGAGCGATGAAGACCCGCCAGATGAAGACGACCAGCAGGGTGTTGAAGGCGTAGCGGATGTTCCTCAATCTGGAAAAGAGGGAGGAGACAAAAAAGTGGATTTACTATTATTGGAGTTTCCTCTTAATATTACAGCAAGTACTCCTAAACCTAAAAAAAAAAAGACAATATTCACCGTTTCAAGAGAAAGTATTACAAGAACTTTATCAAGCAGCTTCTAGTCCCTCGCTCACTTACTTCCTCAGATGCTGCCTGGCAGCGGGGATGTCAGACATGTCTTCATTCAGGACGTACTTCTTGGTGCCGATGCAATAATTGTCAATGTACTCGGGCCAGTTCAACTGGCGCACATCAAAGTTGAACGTCTGAAGGAGGGCGGAGGAAAGACAAAACAACGCCGTTTCATTCGGGTTTGAAGGGAAATTCCACTCGCTCACCAGATGGCGGAATAGAGCCTCTAATATCAAGATGCCCAGGTAATATTTCATAAACTGATCATTTCTGAACCACAGAGTGAAATAGAAGCAAACGTGTCGTCTTTATTGGTGAATGAGGAACTGAACCTTTAATTTAAGTTAAAGTAGCAATACCTACTTTTAAGTAGTTAGTATCAGTTCACTCATTAAGGCATTTAGAACAGCAAGAATAAAAATCTGCTCCTTTCAAGTGTTCGTTACAGAATATTTTCTATTCAACCCGTTGAAGGTTCCTGAACAGGCAGGAGACGGGCGCAGCTTGTGGCTCCGCCTACCTTGCGGTCCTCGGGGGTCAGCTGGCCCAGCAGCATGCTCATGTTCTCAGAGTTCTACTCCCAGTCCTGCCCGCTGAAATACTCCAGCAGGCCGATGGCTCTTGTGCAGCCGGGTTGAAGATGCGCATCATCCTAAAGCGAGAGCAAAGGGAGGTAAGGGGGGAAGGGGGGGGGGGGGGGGGGCGTCAGAGACGTCAACACGCGTCTAAGATTTACGGCGCGGCAGATAGCTGCGAGTCTTACTGCGGCTTTTGTCCGGAGAGGCGCAGCACGAGGTCGTAGAGCAGGGCGGGGAACTTGTGGCTGACCAGGATCCAGTACTGGTTGATCAGGTAGTTGGAGGTGATGTTGGCGTTGGGCCTGCGGAACGCTTGCTCCAGCGGGTTCCTCTTGAAGGACGACATGACGTGGTGCTCTGCAAAAAAAAGGTAAAAGTTCAACCAGCTGCATCACAAAAAATAAAAAATAAATGTCTCTTTCTACCAACAGAACATTACATCCTAATGCCACAAATGACAAAAGGAAATGCACCGCTGGCTGCCATATTGGTTTCTTTGTCTTTAAATAAGCAGTGAAAGAGACGCTTTATCTTCCAAATCAATCTGAAAAGCCTTCAGCCGAAAGATTAACTGGAAAAATCAATTGCTCAACTCTGACATGAATGCACAGGGAGGGGGAGTGGGGGGGGGGCTACTACAGCAAGTCTGCTGAAATGCTGAAAAGGGTATTTTCCAGCAGATGCAAGAAGTCTGAATCATCAACATCCACCAAACAGGCACAATGAACCGTACGAACACACAAACTTCTATACAAGGATCTGGACATGAACCCTCGGCCGGCCTTAGTCATCGCGCGGCTTTCAGCTCCGCTTCTCGTGGGAATATCAGGCAGAAAGATGCAGCGCGATGACCTCCTTCAACTGGGCAACCAAGGCGGCTCCTCCCAATCATAGTCGCCATCATCATCATCATCATCATCATCTCCCTCCTGCCAGCCAGCGATCCAGAGCGGCCACGTGACTTCAGACATTACGTCACGCAAACCAGGCCTCGCACCACTCGTTTCCATGGAAACTGATGCGCGAGGGGGGGGGTTTGCAGGGGACGAGCGGTGTCCCGATCGGCGCAAACCGCGAGCTGACCTCCGGAGGGGTGGGAGACGGACAGCGACAAAAACAAAACAAAAACAACAACGTGGATCCTCCGCCTTTACTCGTCTCCCGTTTTGTGCTCGGTTGCTACATGTGGCCTGGAGACGAGAGCACGCGGCTCCTCTTTCGTAACAGAGTTGACGTGGCGAGGCCTAATCCCGCCACGAGCCATCTGGGGGCAATTTCATGTCCCCTCATGTTTGCTAATCTGAGAGGAAACAGGGTTAGGGAGTGTGCCTTGTCATCCTGCCAGGCTGACACGCACAGCCCTCTAATCCCACTGTATCCGCAAACAAGACTTTTCACTCTGGAAATTCATTGCTGCCATCGGGAAATATCAGAAACCGTGAAGAGCCATTAGCATATCGATACGAGCGGCATCGAAACTCTGGGGGGGGGGAAATATCCGTCCAGAAGCTGCGTTTGTTTGGAAGTGAAACTCGTCTCGAGTGTCCCACATCCAGCTCGTCGCCACGGCGTCCCCGATCACGGGCCACACACACACACACACAATGGTTAGAGGTGACAGACAGCACAACAGACAAGACAAACGTATACGGTTTCAGACGATGTGCCTACCGATCTCTCCCCAGTGGAACGGGTTGATGCCGCCGGAGGTGCAGTTGTACACCAGAGCCGTCTTCGGTCTGCGAGGAGAAGGTCACAATGAAGCCAAACAATAGTTTGTATTTTTTTTTTTTTTTTGGGCTGTGCAAGAATCCGGCAATACAACAAAGCGGGTTCTTTAAAGCATATTAATGTGAGATTACTCCTGCACGTTACAGAGTATCCATCCAAGCGGCGGGAAAACTGAACCTTTTAACACATTTTCCAATGCGG